TCAAATTTAAAAACAAAACTATAATCGACCGTGTCGTATTCCCGCGATTTTATTGAGAGACAAAATGATCATCCTAACGTAGACAGAAGCAACCAACAGGTATCACGGTAGTCCAATATCTAATAAATAATTTCTATCGGAGGATCCTTCAGTGCGAGAAAACGTGGTTTCGAGATAGAACCGCGGAGGTTTCTCAACGAGGATTGACAGGAGGTCGCGTTTCATTGAGAAATGGAATGAGGAAACCGATGGCCCGAAATGACGCAGGATGACACGGCGAACGGATCGCCAGTTAGAAATGATTTAAGGGTTGTTATCGGGAAACGAGACCTCGGTGAGAGCGTCCCCCGTATAAATTCTGTCTGTCCTCACGTCCCGGCGTCGACTTCAACTTTGCCCAACCGACATCGACATCGACATCGGTTCGAAGAATCTTTGCCTAGTTGGTGCAATTTTGGTCGATTGGCCAGCTAGCTGGCGGACGTATTATATTTAGTCGAACGTGTCCAGTATTCCGGGACGAGCCAGGCTCGCGCGACGATGCGCCAACGCTCCGGTATCGCCGATGTGTATCGTCTATCAGGCTAGGTTCACGCGCGATTGCCTCGAGGGGCAATGGCGAGTGATGAATTGGTGATTAAGATGAGCCGTCCTCCGTGAACGCGCGTCGTGCGTCGATCGATCGTTTCGCTTCCGCGCCTGGACCTTTTCCTTCTCCGATTAATCGTCGCCGTTCCCCGACACCGCAACGCTCTTTATTCTTACTTGGGCCTACAACGAGAGACCAAGCCTAACACAAGAGATCAAGACGATCAAGACGCTCGACGCTTCGACAGCATCGTAGAAAATAATTTCTTTCGTCAACGGATGAATGTAATTATAAATTCATCGCGTAAACAGTAAACAGTAAAGGCTAGAAATGAAAAAGTTCGAAATCGTTCATTCGAATATGTGCGAAATCGTATTCGCAGAATCTCATCCTTTGAGAGACGGACGTCCAGGAAGTTGTCTGCCGTGTGTGAACGCTTGCACGGTGCTCTAATTCAATTTCATCGGTCGCAGCGGACCACTGCAACTCCAACGAGCTCCTCTAAACGAGAAAAAGAAACGAGAAAACGATTGCTACGTAGCGGACGCCTCTCGCGAGGAAACAAGCGAGAGCTGGCGAGATTATCGATCTAGAGGAAGTATAGAAGGACGCGATAACGGTGAAGTTTCCCCGGCAAATTGGAAGAGCCCTGCGGTAATCGTGCGAAATTGCAAGGCATCATCCCCGGCGAGAGAGACTCCGTCGCACCTATATTCACAGTTCCCAGTCACCAGTGTGTACCTGGTGTACGTGGATCCGAGCGTCAAGTTTATATCCGAGAAGTGGCATTGGTAAAGTTTCGCGCACAGGTCGGCCTTGCGCTCGATCCACGGGGCTGACTCGGTTCTTGGTTCGGTGCCACGTATCGGCATGCAAACGAGGGACGAAACGTTTCGAATAGTTCTAACTTACTAATACCGAAGATGGGAAAGGTCGAGGCGCAAGGCGTTTAGATCCATCTCCCTCCGATCTGAAGGGGAGCAAGATCGTTCGAGACGCTCTTGTTTCGTAATTGCTACGCGTCGTTCGTCGGTCGGCGAACACACACCTTGTCGTCGAATCGTCCAGGAATATGTCGGTTCGACGCGAGATCTCGGACAATACGCGGCTCGTTAGCTACCTCCTTGTCTCCCGGACAAAACGACGTTGAATTAATTCCCCCGGATGAAATACAACTCGAGGAATGCTCGTACAAAGCACACCCCGACCTTGCCATTTTTCTCCCGGTCGAATGGAAATTTCGAGAAAATTCCGCTGGTCCCCCCCGTTTGATTTATCGCGCGACAAAGGAATCAAGAGACCGTTTGGCAAAAAGCGGAGGCATTTTCATTCGTTGAAAAACATTATTCCTTCGTACGATGGAAAATACCAGACGTGGCCATCTCAACTTACGCTTCAGAGATAGCGAGGGAAGTATTAACGAGCCGAATGAGTTTTGGCACGACGAAGGGAAAAAAGAGCGTAACTTACGAACGAGAGAAAAGCCCGCGTCACGGTGAGCACGCCGTCTGGAAAAACTAGCAAGAAATTCAACGTGACCGACGAAAGAGAATTCCGCTTGTTTTACGCGAGCGTCGTACCTTCCCTCGGAAAACTCGACGTCTACGTATTCTTCTTTTATTCCTCCCTCCCTCTGAAAGGAAAGATAGGAGAAAATAATTATTTCTTTGATGAACGTGTTAAATTTTGATCGAAAGTAATACAAGATATCATTTTGTATATTTTGCAAGTACAACGGTGACGTGATAGATGCTACGTCATGAGACACACGGTTGTTTGCAAAAATATTCGAACATTTATAAGAATATTTTTATAAAATAAATCATTTCGAAATTTCGCTAACACTATTTTCGTAATGAGACGCTGTCGTGATTATGTTGGTCAAATTTGAAACAAATGTAAAGACATATATAGGTATTACAAGATGATTAATACAAGTATACTTCGTTTGCAAACATCACAAAACAACCAATTAATTGTTGTGTTAATATATCAGTACAATATTCAATGGCCTTATTTAATTTATTACATACTTAAACCTAAATTCGTATGATAAATGTACGATTTATCATTTATTGCAAATATAGTTCTGCAATTAGACGTACACATACATTTTCAGATTTCATCGGTTTTAAATTTTATTCATGACACTCCTGTTTATTAACAAAATTTCGAAATGCCTTGTATTACACACACCATTACGTACACACATACCACATTAAACGTCCAAAATTTAAACACTTTATCTCACGTTTTATATTTAAATTCATTATAAATTAATTTCCTGCAGAATTAAAATTCTGTCCCGTAGACCTTTTCTCGCCCATCCATCCGGGGATTTGTCACGTAATTCTCGCGGCTGCGTTTTCACGAATCTGAATCTAAACGTCGCCAACCCAACGAACAAAAACACATGAAGGTCGAAGGGCAATTTGCTTGCGGGTGCAAGAATACTCGCGTCGATGATGCACGATACACGAGAAGCGAAACTAATTTCCGACGACGTTACGCAGCTAAGAGACAAAGAGATTGATGCGAGAAAGGGGAGGGAAAAGTAAATTGGCGAAGAAGCTGAGGAAAATTGCTATAATCAACGTAGCAATGAAGTAACAATTACTTACGCGTCACACTGTCTGCAAGAATCAAAGGGATTCGCCGTGTTCCGTCGGAGACAACGACACTGTGACACCAGGACGAAAGCTTCGCCGGTGAGATTGAGTCGCTTCCCGCTGTCGCTGAATGAAAAGGCGCCAGGGCAAAGAGAAGGTTCTGAGAAGCGATCTCGAAACTGAAGAGGAAACCGGTCGAAGGTTGACGACGTCTGCTGCAAATTCATCGATGCCTTCCGAGGAGCCGAGGAGCCGCCAAGTTCGTCAGCAATTTCAATTAACCAGCCACGTTTTCCTCTCTGACTTGCCCGCAGATCTTAACGAAGCCAACCAGATTCGTTCTCGATTCCCATTCCGCATTGTTTTTCCATGAAATTCGCTTCTCCGCGGATTCTATAAATTTCGAAGTCGAGAGATGTTTCGAGTATATTCGTACCATTGTTCTTGTTTCGACGATTCACTGCCAACGTTGAACGATCCGTATCTTTCTACGATAGATCAAGTTTCAAAATTCTTATATCAATAAAAATTTATTTATTTATTTCAAATACACATTGTCGTTAATAAGAATTTGAAAACTTGTATGGTACACATCGTGAATGAGTATTGATTCTGTTCTTTCTGTGATTTTTAACAACCAAGGTATTATAAAATTTGGAAGGTACATTATATTTCTCAATGACGAAATTTTTATGTAGATTAATTTCTTTCTTTAATAGGAAACTCCGTTATTTTTCGAGACAGATACTTGCATTAGTTCCACTAAATGACTATGCTTTGAAAAACATCAGTACTTCACGTCAATTCTCGCACGCATCTCTAGATACGATCCAGACTCTTTATTCCAAGGTTCAGTGTAGCCCGATTCGTTTCGTTTCCGTAAAAAGTTGAAGATCCACCGGTACGAATCGAACGATCTACGAGATCTCTCGTTTCCTTTATCTCCCGGACACCTGGAGGAAAGCGGACACGACGCGGCGCGTCGTTCCCTTCCACGAAACGTGGAATGAGATGAGACGGTCGACGAGGAACGTGACGTTTCAGTCTCCTGGAGAATTTTAATTTCATTTCTTATCCGTGCGAGTAAAGGAAGGAGGGCGATCCGGCGAACGAAAGGAAGAAGGAGATTTAGATGGAGAGTCAACTGCGCCCGTTTGTCTCGACGTGACGAGAATGGATTTTCACTGAGCAAGATGATTACACCCTCGCGAAGGATGTCCGACAATCCGACGGTTTCTCACGCATCTTCGTCCTTTCCATCCGTCGTATCGTCTGTAGATTCCTATTTTCGCAAATTCCTATTTACGGCTGCGACTGGCCATCAATTTCTTCGAATTTTTCAGCGACTTCTTTCCTCACATTCAAGCAGTATCGTTGGCAAGCAAGTGAATCTTTTTTTCTTTTTTGTAATTAAAGTTACAAAATGACGTTCACACACTGACAGTCATATCTTTTCACAAATACAATGATACACATAATCGCACTATTTTCTTTTTTTTTTTTAAATAAATCGAATCCTTTCCCTCATTCTACATAAAAATGTACTACGCCTGGCAACAAGTTTTCGCCCAAACGTAAGTATTTAAAGACCGTTTAAAGTATTTGTTACATTTGTGAAAAGAATATGTAGTATTATACTATTTCTTCTCTAGCATTTTTTTCTAACTTCAATTAAGGAAAGGACGTAACTCGTATAGATGATCGTTAAATTATTAAAATTTGGAGAATTCGATTTTACTTCGTGATAGAGGGATTAACTAAATTAAATACTTCCGTATTTTTTGTTTCGGCATTTTTTTTCAAAACCCAAAGAGTCGTGAGGCAAGAAAAAATGACGTGCCGCGGTCGTTGGGGCTGCTTTTTCGAAAACATTGGAGCGCGCGGGAATGAGAAAATGGATAAAGAGGGCAGAGAACTCGGCTCAAGAACGCGTACAACCCCGAAACTGGCCAAGTGCCATAAAAGTAGCTACACGTGGTCCGTGAGATCTTTTGCTTTCAGGAGAAATTTTTATCGTTGCGGAGCATGTTGCCGAGAACAAAGAACGACCACCTATTTATAACACTCTTCCCTACTCCTCTTCCGGTATAGGTCGAGCCGTTATTTTATTTCGCTATAATTCAAGCTTCTCCATTATTTCTGCGGAAGCCGAGTAGGTTACCAAGCTAGGCCTTGTTGCGTGTCTCGCGGAGACTATATTACCGCCTTTTAATTCTTTTGGCCAACCTAAACGGAGAGATAAACACACGAATCTACTCCAATATTACACGTTTGCGACTGAAACAAATTTTTATCATTAACTCCTTAATATCTGTAATATTTCGTTTATAACGTTGCAAACGTAATATTGTTGAGTTTCATAACTTCTTTATAATTTCTTGTCACACGGACAAGAATAGAAATTTCCTTTCGAAAAATAGTATTTTATAGGATGATAGCATTATAGATGGAGCTGAGAAAGTTCCATTCCATGTATTTTCAAAAGCTACTGATTCTTCTCTAAATGAAACGATAATAAAATAATGTAAAATGAAAAAGAAGATACTGCCTCTCGGCACAGTTTTCTAAAATTCGGTGAGCCCAAAGAGGATCGATCGAATCTAGCAAGTGAAATTGCCTTCGTTTGCTCCTCGAAGGATCTAAACAAACGAAAATAAACATCCACAGTGATAAGTGTCCAAAAATCCAACACAAACTGAACATCCAAGAGCGCGAGAATCACGGCTCAATTGCAGGAAATATTTCGAACTAATGGATGACTAATTAACAGAAAGAACGAAATGGCGTCGACTAACGAAGAATGAACAGGAATGAAAATGGGCGGTTTCCATCGAAAGGAAAGAAAACAGGCACGGCGGGTGAATGAAACGGGAGTAATGCAACCAATTAGTATGAATTAGCATCAAGCCGCCAGAAACGGAGGCAGAATGAAAAGACGAAAGGGGTAGGGGTAGAAGGAGGAGAAGGAGGAGGAGGAGGAGGCAAGTTGCATTCTCTCACCCTTTCGCTCTCGTCGGTAAAATAATTACCGAGCGTCTCTTCGACCTCGCCTCTGCCTCCTTCAACGGCACCGCTACTATCACCACCATTCCAACCCATCCCTCACCCCTTTACGATCACGCTACTCTTTCCCAGTTAAATGATTCCCGTGAACTTTCCGCCGGCGGTAGATAGACGCCGCTCTAGCTGCTAGTAGTCTATCGTCGCAACTACCGAGGCTGCTCGAGAGAAGCTAAAGTAATCCTGACGAACGGTTTGAGCAAGCGGACGTAGCCCTCGGTTAGATATTCCCGTATTCCAGACACGGGGAGACCGTAGGAACAAGCACCGAGCTAAGAGAGAATCTCTTCATGTCCTGCGTTCCTACGAAGCGGCTAATTTGTTTCCCCTCCCTTGAAGAACAATGCACGGCGGTAATCCGGCCGGCGAGTAATCGCGAAGAAATGATAAGTAATGAGGAAATTTGTTTCGCCAGAGTTGAAACGTTCGCCCGCGATTGATCGCCTTTATTTGTCAATCCCGCAGCCGCCTCTCTCCTCCGTGAACGATTTCCCGGGATTAATTTGTCAGCCCTCCCTCGTCTCTCTCTCTCTCTCTCTCTATCTCTCTCTTTCTCTCTCTCTCTCGCACGCGCGCGCGCCCGCGTGAAACGAAACGAACGTGTCAGCTTATGAAGCTGGTGCCGATCTATATCTATGTATCCATATCTATGCAACACCGTGAGAACAATATTTCGCATTCGGGGAGAAACTTTGAATTTCCAAGCGTGTCTGGGGGTCGCAACTGTTTACGCAATTACTGACGAATCGCGTCAAAGCGCGACCGTTTATCAGCGCGAACGTGAGAAATAGGGAAAAGCAGGTGCAAAGGGAAACCTGGAAAGGGTTTCCGTTCGACCGGCATCTCACTGGGTAATTTGTTCACGCGAAGGAAGCGATGCACCGCTAATTCGTTTCACAACGGGCAAAATTATTGACTCTAATAAATATAGCTCGCTCTGTTGCTAATTCCTGCGAAGAGGTCTCGTGGAAACCTATCAACGGTATAACAGAGTCTTTCGAATTAAAACGCTGCCCGCCTTGATCACTGGGAATTCAACGACAACAAATCGAATGGGCAACGGAGAAAACTAACTTCTTGATTACCCTGTTAACGATTAATCTCCAGGACGTCGACCACGCATTTCGTTCGACAAAGTCTCCGAATTCGAAGTTAGAACGGAAGTTAATTAATTTTGATCAGCTAACAGTAAAAGGTGTTAACCTTTAGGATAGAAAAATTGTTATAAAAAGGGAAAAGTATTAACACGCACGAGACCGGTAACTTAATTATTAACGTTTCTATTTGGTAATTGGAGACACAATGTTTGCGTTATTGACTAAAAGCGATTACTCTTCAGTTTTTACGATAAATATCATTATCTTTGTTACTTATCCTTTTGCGCGTCAATTGATTTTAGGATAGAAAAATGATTTCGTGCAGCCAACGACACACGTGATATTTTTTTAATAAAAATCATAGTAAAATGTAATTATCTTGTTTCAGCACAGATTTTACTACAAGTGAAGAAATATCGTCGGCTATCGAGGACAATTTTTCTAAAATCCTTGAAACAGTCTCGAATATGTTAACTTCAAGGGTATTCAAAGTAGCTGGAATACTCTTCAAATCGAAGTGCGTCACGAATTGCGTGTATTTTTTATTAAAGAGGAGACACATATTGAATTAATAACCACCGTGTAAATCTAAAATTCAAGCATATTTGCCGAAAATCTATTTTGTATAATTGTAAGCAATATGAGCGATAAAGTCATTGGACAGGGTGATTTCCCATACGTTTCGAACGGCGGGCATTTACACCAAAACGATTACGCACACCATCGCCGGTGCGTAAATCGACAAACGGAACAAACGGACATTTTAACAAAAATATCGCGGAATAATTCGAAACGACACGGCGCGCTGATCGAACACACCTATTTGTTCGCGTACCTTCGGCTGGTTATTAACCGCAACCCGCTGATATGCTATCGTTGCAAATTAAACTGATCGGCTGTGCTATCTCGAAAAACCGTTATTAAACCATCGAGTCACAATAGTTTGCGTAAAGCCAATTATGAACTCATCGCGGTCGTTTTCATTCGCGCTTTTCCCGCGGATAACGAGAGAACATTTTAAACAGCGCAACACTGATCCCGTATCTTTCTCTTTTTTTTTTTTTTTTTTTTTTTTTTTTTTTTGTTTTGTTTTCCGTGTGTTCTTCTTCCCGCGATTTCGCGTGCAATTTCAACTGGATCGTAATCACATCCGAAACAACGATGGCCCATCGTTGGCCCGCGTAAATTGCATCGGGGCCGATCAGCGCACGAACGATCGCCAATCTGCCTTGCAGACGGTCCGAAAAAAATCCTACGGACAGAAGCCGGAATAATAAGAGGATTCGTTTACGACAGCTCGTAAAGCATGACGAACGTTGACCAGCTGCGGACCTCGTAAATATCAGTCAACGTTACACCGCCTCATGAATTTATGGACTGGCTCGCAATATCGCTGATAAGAATCGGCAAGTGTCCAGTTGTCGCAACTGTGCGACCCTCTTACACGGGGGCCTGCAAATACGATTACAATCAGAGAAATCGAGAAGCAACGAACTCGAGCAATTCGAGTGATTTTATTATTATTATCGTCAGTTCAATCCGATCCATCATTTGCCTTTTAAACGATACGTGCAAATTCGTTCTGCTCGCGGACCAGAAATATCGTCCCGGTGGCGAGCTTATTCTCCGTCCTTGTGTTTATTCCCGTTGCATTTGATGTGGACGCTCCGATCAAACGGATTCTTACTGCAATTATGACAAAATATCTATTGGCAAACGTACAGAAATAATCGCTAGATCGTTGCAGATGAAATAACTTTGAGCATTATCTTTTATAACTTTCGGCGTTCCAATCGTTTGAAATTAAATTTAAAAATTTCCCCTGCCTCGTATGTTTCGTATTTGTATTTTCTAACATAAATTTCTTTAACGGCAGGTTTCCTCTGTTGTAATAATATTACAACAACCGGCTACCTTCGGTAGTAATTTTCACCAGAGGCTGACAAATTTAATTAAAATTTTATAAAATGCGATTTTTGCTGAAATGCCAGATCAATAACTGTAGCTATACAAGCTGAATATGTAAATAAATGAATATAAACGAACTCGTATATTAAAACTTATTGTAATTCATTTTTCAGCGAAAATCACATGACATGATAATAGCATCATCGATTACTAAATAACAATGAGAATCACATGACGTTAATGCGATGGCGTCGCTGATCGTTATAATATTATTAATGTAACTTTTCAGAAGACTTTTCAGAAACCTGCCAATTAATGCAATGTTTACTTCATAGAACGAAATTCTAAGTTTTATAAAAAAAATGCACTCGAATTCGATGATTCACTTCTTAACAATAAAATTATGTTATTTTCAATAAACTTCAACTCCTGATTAAAATTTCTAAAATTTATAGGAGAATTGATTAACGGAATAATAAATGTACAAAGTAAAATTTTCAAAATGTGAACATTCATACGGATATGTGACTTTCAAATTAAACATTATAGACAGTCGAATTGACATCCGTGAATAGATATTATTCAGCTCAGTCATCAAATTCTAAATGATTCCATACGCAATTTCACGTGCAACAATCTAAAATAACGTGTGATATCTAGATTACGGATTTTCCTGCAAATTCCTATTATTGAGAATATAATTTAAAAAAAGAAAAAAAAAAATCTCGGTAAAAGAAACGCGAGAAAACATTATGCTTTGACTATTTTATATTTACTGGCGATTTAAAATTTCTTGCAAATGCATGAAAATCCGCAATTCAGTAATACCTGCATGAGAAACATGTACCTTCCGTGGGCAAAGGTATAAAACCACCGGAAACTTTTTTCGATATTCGTGTTCGTGCTACCACGTTTTCTAGTTTTTATCAAATCTCCTTCAGATTGATTTGCGCTCCCCGTTTCCAACGCTGAGGTCGGTTTCGTGGTAACTGTAGCCGAATTAACTTTTGGTGAAATTGCAATGTATTTCCAAACCTCATTGTCCGACGATGGTTTCTCGATCTTGTTACAGGGGACAGTAGAATTTACAGAATTGCACGGAACCCTTTGAAAGACTTGTGATACTCTGCCGATTGGACGATTCGTGGGATTGAGGCTTATATTTTCGGATTTCGCTAAATCCGAGATTTCCTGAGAAATAGAAGAGCCACTTCCGGCATTGGTTTTCTTTAGAGAAACGTGTCCTTTTATCTCATTAGATTCTGCCGTGTTGAAATTAACGGGGAGAGTTAATTTCGGCATTGATCTTTGATCATTAGAATCCCGTAGCCCCGAAATGCTAGTGGTGGCAGAAATTAAATTTGTCGTCTCTCCGCCGAACTCCGTCGTTGAAATTTTAATATCTCCGTCGGTGACGGAGTCGTTTCGATTCTCATTTAATTTGTTTGTTGGAAAAATATTCGCGCAACTGTTATTCATGGTGAAATTATTCCCAGTGTCAGCCGTGACGTATTCAATTGCGCTCGAAGTTGTAATCTCTCTGTACTTTTGTTTCTCGGCGCTTATATATGAAAAGTCGATAATATTTGCAAAAGTCGTCGTGCTCTTTTCATCGATTTGCTTGCTCGTCGGACAAAGCATTGTTCCATCGACGACGGGTGACAGTGTAACTTTCACCGAAGGGATATTATTACGCATTGCATCAAAATCGTCGCTTTCGACTTCGCTTGTTACGCTCGAACTCGCAGCTGTAGTTCGTTTAATTTCGATCGTGCTATTCGATTCTTCGTTAAACGTGATAGTTGAAACTAAATTCATCGAGGTTTCGTTTGTCTCTCTCGGATCGGTTATCGTGCTACCGAGTTCTTTTGTTTGATCCTTCGAATCAACGTTAATAATGCTTTCATTCGTAGACAACGTGGTTGGACTGTGAAAATGTTCGATCGAAATAAAACAAACAAAAGAAGCAAAAAGAAAATTTTACTAGTCGTGAAGAGAGAAGAAGGAAAACTTCAAATCGTCAAGTTAAACTTACCAAATGTACTTTTTCATACCAACCTGCTCGTACTTAAAGATCCAGATTGCACAACGTCGAAACGTTCTTCCATTTGAAAATAGGCGGTCACCAAGATTCTGAAAAGACGACCCAGTTTCTTTAACAAAATTGATTCCCTCGGTTGCGCCCTTTGCAGAAGCAGCAGTCTCGCCCAGTCCGATTTCAAAGCGCCGAACGGCAAAGCTGTGACCGGACATTTGAATTCGCCGATCATCATACTGATCGTCGGCACATTCTCGAAATTGAGCTTCGACAAGTAATCCTCGAGATCGTCGACATCGAACTCCAAACAATTGTCCGGCTGCACGTGCGAGTTTGCTTCTACGAGGAAATGGCCCTTTTCAATTTCACCTTTCATCAATCGTGCATGCTACGTAAGTACTTACGTATATTAAAAAAAAAAAAAAATAATAATAATAAAAGAACACTTACTGGAAAAAGCGACGAAGAAGGAAGCTAATAAATAGAGGAACACACGCGGAACCGCCGCTTGCGACATGATTGCTGTGCGTCAACTGAGGCGATGTAATATTCTATTTCGTTAGAATCGGCACATTTCGCGCGTAAACGCTCGCGAATATTTTCGACACGAACGATTCAATTCGAACGGGAGCCCACAGAGTCAAGACGTGAAAGAGCAAAAGATCGGTGTTAGTTCCTACTTTATTTTCGATCGACTCGCTAAGACGCTTACGCATACGTATCCGTTTCCATATATATATATATATATATAAAAATTATAATTACAGGTATATCTCTTATACACACATATATATATATATATTCGTAGAAATTGCAGAAGCAGCGTTCCTTCGCAGCAGGTACAATTTATGACTGGTCTGGTGAGTTTGTCCGGCAAACGGACGAGGAAAGAAGGACTCTCGAAGAACCACTTTATATTGTACTTTCGAAGAAGAAACAAACCTACACTGTAAACACTACACGCCATGATATATGAAACTTTTCAGGTCCACGATCCATTTGTCATCTTTCTTGGCGCACGCACGTTTCGCGAGAGAAGCGGAAGCGTTTTCAAGTTGCGCGACCATACCGATGCAAGTAAAATACAGAGAGAGGATTGTAGTCGAATTTGTTGCGGATGAACTCTATATATATATATATATATATATATATATATATATATATATATATATACGTACGAAGTTTCTCCCTATCGCAGCAAAGAAGTTCGTTAAAAAAAAAAAAGTGACATTAAAGTTGTACTCCTTTCGCAGCGGATGCGTTATCTCTCGCGGTGTGCAAGCAAGTATGCAAGTCTCGATTTACAATGCAAACAAGTCACCGTATAGTGTTTTCTTGCCATTCTTATCTTTATTATCATCATCGTTATCATCATTAATACTAATGTTAATATTCTCTATCGTTATTATTATCATTATCGTCGGCATCGTCATTCTTATCGTTATTACTGTTATAATACGTTACTATTATAATATGTTGCTCCACAAATATATTCGCGCGTTTAATTATTTAATATATGTCTCTAAATTTGTATCATTTGTCTATTTGTTGGTTGTTGGTTGAAACCCCTGAGACTATGATTCTACCGCCACGGCGAATCGGCGAATCGGATAAAACACGTTAGAAGGAAAATGCCTATAAAATTCAGCGACACAGCGTTGAGTCCAGTTTATAAAATCGTGTAAGAACGTACGAACCAGAGAATGAATCAAATCGTTTTGACAGTTGATACTGTTTAATGTCAGTCTGACGTTTATCACAACGGATTCTAATAGATTCTATTTGAAATTTCGATCATTATAAGTTAACTGTGGTAGAATCTTGAAATGGATCTGTCAAGATATCATTAGGCCTTATATAAAAATTCATTTACTCGAAAGCTTGTTTCCCTCGCAAAAAAACGTGACATTCCAGAAAAAGTTTGAAGAAATGGATTGCGAATTGAAGTGTCAATACGTACATCGATGTACGAAAAGAAATCAATAGACTGCGGCGATGGAAAAAAATATTAACGTATTTGACAGGAATAAAATTGAAATATCTTTAAATCACACGAGACCGAATGGATTTCCATTGATACGAAACTCTAATACCTCCTATTTTGGACGGTACAGATACTATTATCATCTGAAACCAAACATTGATACTAGAGAGACAATTATTTTTTTTTTCTTTTTAAACGAACAATGTTTCATATCGACACATGACAAGCTCCATCAAAACGTCAACTATTGATTCCCTGGCAAATATTCGCATAAACTAAGACAAACATTTCGATAAATCATTTGACATGTGTCAAAACAATATCCGACGGTATTCACCAATGAACGATCAATATTTGATTCTCCCCTTAAAACTCATGATTTCTTTTGGCGCAATTTGTAGATTTAAAAAAAAAAAAGAAAAAGAAAAAGAAAGAAAAAGAAAAACCCATGTTATTGGAAAAGAAGGAAGAGCACGAAACAAAGTAGGCCAGAAAAAAGCAGAACAAAAATTCGCCGTGGCTTAACAGCGATTTTCTCTTTTCCTTTTTCCGCCATCGCATTCGTTGCATTATCTGTTTCGTAGTGAGGAATGAACCGTAGTAGGTAACCAAGAGAAACTAATGGAGGAAGGACACGCAATATGTAAGCGTTACTGTCAACTATTTGCATCGTGTATTTAAATGCAGGAGGTTTAAACAAAGTTTCAAATGTTAGGAGAACGAAGACGAAATACACAAATAAAGAAAACTAAAATAGTCGCCGCGATCGATTGACCGATAAGAAAAATGTAATCGCATGTCCTGATATTATTGCACTCTGAACGTCACATGATTACACCGCTGTTTAAACGACACAAAGTTTCGAGCGACTCGATCTGCCTAACGTGTCTAATTTATCCTAACATTTATTCATAACTTGTCCTAAAACAATTTACTTCTTTCGTGTTAATATCGATTAATCATGAAATAACAAAAAGCCGATTCGAAAATCGATAGAAACCTTGTGTTTCGTCGCGTGTAACCGGCAAAGAAAAAACTCCATTAATTTGCAATAAACGGTTTTTCCTCCCTTAAAACTGAATATTTTACGTGTGAATAGTAGCTCCTATACGATATTACGATTCCTCGCTTCGAAAAAAAAGCAATATTATGCGCAAGATCCGTGCACAGATCTCGTAACAATAATAACTAGATAATAAAGATCCCTGAATACATACAATATAATAATATAATATAATATATACTCTCCTACGTTCTCTGTGTGGCACGCGCGAATAACACTTCGCAATCATTTCAACAATCGATTAAACTCTTTTTTTCTGCTTTCCCTAGAACCTGGCAACCTGGCCAAAGGTTCGTTCTCGAAACATCTTTCTCTCACAGTGTCTTGTAAAAAACAGCATGACGCTAATTAGAGAACGATCCAGCCATTCTTTCGCTTTTCCTTGTTCACTGTTCACAGCTCTGTTCGCGTAATTGGTTCAATTTGTACAACAGCACTAAATTCATCTGCTGAATTATAACTATGGATGTTTAATGCAGTACACACATCGATTTTACACTTATCAATCTTTACACTTAATGGTATTAAAATGTGCAGTTATTCTATATAAAACGGCATATATCTTAGACATTCTTAAAAATATAAAGTTCGCGATCCTCTAATTTCAAATTGACTGGATTTTTTCTCTCTCTCGGAAAAAAGACATGACTAAAATAACATTCGAATTGGAGCTACGTATAATTTTGATTGAATTGGTAGTATTTGGTAACACGATGCTAACTCTATAACGTCAAACACCCACAGTTAGTACATTTGCATTTGATTTCTACGATATCACTGGTTCGGTGTCACGATCTTACGTAAATGAAAACGTTTTGTTTATTTGGTAGATTCTTCTGTCTGGCGACAGATCTTTGTAAACTATCCTAAAATGAGAGCTCCGAGCATCTCGCAACTTGTACTACGTTTCCTACGTATGCTATCCTGAAATAACATCGTTCTTTTTTTTTTTTTTTTTTCTTTGTACCTGTAAAAGGGGTACTCGAAAAGGAAAGTTTGGTTATTTCGACGAAACAATATGCCTGATATTTTAAAGTGTTTCGCGAATTTCAACGACCGCTGGGATCACTGGCCAAAGCTCCAACACTTTTCACACTTGAAAAATAAAGCCTTTTATTTCATACGAGTCCTCCTTTCAGAGAAAATTAATAAAACTGCACACTCTCCGTATCTCCGCGATTCACTATCACTCACTGTTTTTCGCTTACGCCTTTTGGGGACGCATAGGAACGTACCCTACTCATTCATAACATGTTACAATTATACTACTGCCGTCCTTAATAATCGTTATCGTTAAATTGAATTCGAGTTGATATTTCATCGATAATATGCAGCTTCTAACATTTCTACGAAGAGCTTGTTCATTGGTACTTTCCCCGTTCGATAAACACTAGACCAAAATCTTCTAACAATTCCATCAACCTGCCTGAGACTGGGCAGCACTAGGAACATGTTTTGAGTAGCACGAAGCGCTTGTCCCGGTCTTACTGCCGCCATACAGTCCGATAAGGAATTTAGAATAGAATCTCGAAAACGATATAGCGCTTGTGGTTCATCTGATCTTGCATCACTGTTTGCTAATATTAACGCTTTCAGAACGTAATATTCTTCTCTGGTCAAACCCAATCTTTGAAGCCTTTCTACGATTTGGATACACTGTTCAAAAAACAGACAATATATATAGATGCACTCGATACATGTAAATGTACATAATGACTCGAGATCTACTCACGTGTGTGTACAGCTCTGTGCAATGGCATTCGCGTGCAAGTCGTTCGTCAAGGGTAAAATCTTGGGCAAATCTTAATCTACCATTATTTGGCATGCTCCTCCACGCAAGACTAAACGTCAGTATCTCGGCCCACGTGCTTTGGAGTAGCCGCATTTGATCGTTTAGAGCTAAACTACTGAATCCAGGAATCTGCTTTGCCCAACCTTCGAGAGAGGAATTTTAAATAGATTGGTTAAGAAATTTAATAAAAGAAATTTAATAAAAGATTGGTTAACCATAATCAAATATAACTTTATATTGATAAAAAAAAACTGTCGTTATATATTACCAATTATTCCAACCAGTTCCCGATCGTATAAGTCAGATAACTGTCCAAGTACTCTTTGATCTGTGTCAAGAGTATGAGAGATATTGGATACTTGCAGCATATCTGGTTCACAGGCAGCCAAAGCTTCCAGCATTTTATTATCTATCAATAAATTAAAAGATTTACCGTTTGAACATCTTGGGTCAGGCTTAAGATGATTTAATGTTAAGATGAAAAGAATCTACCAACGAATCAAAGTATCCGACTCGAATAAAATAAAGAGTGAAAGGACCCGATAGCTTACTTATTATTTCGTTAGAAGCTCCTGTCGCTATGTTTGCTAGAAAGAATAAAATATCAAAGATTTAATCTCGTGTTTGCGAGACTATACGGAGCTATACGTTCTATAATGATACGATCGCGATCGGAACATGATATTTATATATCAGCAAGAATTATTAAAAAAATCACCTTCCAACGGAGCTGTCTTCACCGGCGTGTAGGGATCGGTGGATCTTCTATATTTTTGCCTCCCTCCTCGGACACGATCCAATCGGACTCCTTCCTTCAACATGCCCTGTCTAAGGCACTTTTGAAACCTGCACGCTTGACATGCTTTTCTCCTACGCTTGTTTATTTCGCATTCCCCATTCGCAGGACACGTGTATTCAATATTACCTGTGAAATTACTCGCTATTTTATTGTAATATACATGGTTCTCATCCAGGTAGCACCAATATCAATTTTATGAATACATCCGCTTTAGAACAGTAGCACGTGGGTACGGATAATTAAAATATCCCGATACCAACAGCAAGGGAACAAGAAAATCGTATTGCTGCAACTATGTTATATTTAAATACTATGTGTATTATATTATATTTAATTATAGTTGCGTGGTGCTACCTGGAAAATTTTTCAGGAGATATCTGCAAGCGCAGAAAGAACTCTTCTTACCTTGTATGGTTCTTTTAAAGAAAGCTTTACACGCTTCGCAAGACGCGACCCCATAATGAAAACCACTCGCAACATCGCCGCACACTAAGCAAAGTCTCCTGGGTATCATGTCTTCCTCTTTAACGCCTTCCTAAATAAAACAACACGTTGAGTCTTGATACAAAGAATTGCAGAATAACCTCGCAAAAGAATACAATTTCAGCTATAGTTCGCACACTGTTTACCTCGGGTGTTCCTAAAGGCTGAGTGGTTGACGAACAATGATGCATTTCCGGACTACCAGGGCTACCTTCACCCCCACCATAGTCGGCTGGCACCTCTATTTTACTGCAAATTACCTGCAAAGTACAGAAAAAAAAAATTATGTAATACTTATTACTTTGCACTGGCTATTTCAAGTTATGTGAAATTTTTAATCGGTCACAATGTTCTCTCTGCGGAGAAAATTGCGCAAATTGTTCAAAAATACATACCTCTTGATGCTGTAGCGTAGTGGTCGGTGAACAAACTTGATAATTCTGCGTCGGGGTGGTAGGATTCTCAATTTCTTGTTTAATGTTCGCCATGGTCCTATTATTTCCAATCATATTTTCGGTGCCGCCACCGGGCATCATACAAACCTGAAACAATCAACGCAGAAGAACATCTTACAATTCCGCGTACGTCTCCTACTCTCTTACCTGTCCCCCGACATATAATACAGCCTTGACGACGTTTACTTTTAAACGAACCGTGGCAAATGCCGAAAAGCAAAAGAAGAGACAGTCTGCTTTCCAGTCAGCTGCACTTTTTTCTCCTGCCGCTATTTTTAAGCACGACCAACGCCTCAAGCATTTTTAGAATTGACTTCAGAAAATTCACGATACCGTAGGCACCGTAGCATTCCCGGAATATATCAGCAGCGTGTAGATTCTTAATTCAATCTTCTACTTTCTCGCTCATCTAATTCTAATTTGTCTTTCTCTTTAACGACTCGATAACGATCCGAGGGTTAGAAATCGTTGTTGTACGATGCAACACGGTAATATATATGAGAAAAAAAGAAAGAGTGAAATGAATCATAAGTTAATGAAAAGGAAGGTATCCTTAAAGGAACAGTGGATAGGTAGAGCGATAGTGAACAAAGTAACGGTGAAAGGATTGCGTAAGCCTGCTCCTCTGCCACCCTCCTGCCCTCGGTGTCGTATATTAAATGCACGCAGAAAGGGGGCCGAGGGGCAAAGGGAAGAGGCGCGGAGTATCTGGTTAGCCTTGAACTTGACTTTTCTGCGAGATGCAGTTACGATCGTTTGCGAGAGCTTGGGACGCGTGTCTGGAGATTTATGCGCTCCCCAGCTGCAATCTATCTCTCGCAGGCAGACACCTTATCACCGCAACGCGACCATTTTCGACACCGATTCATATCGTTCGCTCGATTTCAATTCTACGTGAATCGCCGAGCAGCCATTCACAAACAGAATAATGGAAAACGCCCGGCTATCATACCGAACGCCGGGGCTATCGATTTTATTCGAGTTCTCGCAACACACGCGTCCATAAAAAAAAAAAAACGGAACTTTTCTTCCGATCGAGAGCTCCATTTTGGCGAGCTCCACTTATCTCTCTCTCTCTCTCTCTCTCTCTCTCTCTCTCTCTCTCTCAACGACAGAAATCGATAAAGATTGGGAATTGTCAATCTCGCGTGGCAGCCGAAGGACAGACGAAAAAAAAAAAAAAGAAAAGAAAAGAAGGAACAACGACAGCGAGGAATTAAAAAAAAAGGAAGGAAAACACGAGGCATCGGAGCATCTGGTTAGCCTCGAACTTGGCTAGTCGTGCGAAGTACTTCACGTGCGCGTCTCCCACGTTTAGTTTAATGAAATAAAAACCGACACGGTGCGCGGAACACTCGGCCACGATACATAATGATGGCCGTGACGATAGTGACACAACTCCCTCGAGTTCCGTGCGAATTCCGTCAGAAATGAAAAGCGCGACGACAGAGAGGGAGAAGAAAAGGAAAAGGGAAGAAGAAAAACAGGTACGACCGAGGAGAAGAAAGTTTAAAGAGACGAAGGGAGAGGAGAGAGATCGGGATTGCGTAAGCGCGCATCCATGAAGCAAGCCACGGAGCCTGCGAGTCATCGGCGATACATTTGATTTTTTTCACATTCTCCAGATCCCCGTCACAATCCTCCGTTCGATTAAGCAGTTACCAAAACTGCAGACGGAAGGAAAGAGCGTGAAATGAAAAAGAGAAAAAGAAGAAAAAAGGAAGAGGAGGAGAGAAACGAATGTATCGCGATATCTGGTTAGCCTTGAACTTGACTTTTCTGTGAGAGAAGCGGCCACGTTCGCGAAGGCCGCAGAACCGCGCCAACACACAATTTTAGCCGCCGAACTCCGACGGAAACAGCCGACTCTGCCGACCTTGAGTCCCTCTGTCTGACTTTCCTCTCTTTCTTTCTCCCTCTGCCTCTCTGTTCAAGCCACGCTCTAGCTTCTCTCTCTCTCTCTCTCTCTCTCTCTCTCTCTTATTCTCTCTTTCTCGCAACAAATCCCCTATTCTCTTTATCTATCTTGCTCCGTTTCAGCTTCCTCGTGTTCAGATGCTCCTCGTGCACATCTATCCGCGCTCTCATTCTCCCGTTTCCCTCTGTGCGTTCGTACAGCTTCTGACGGGTTTACACGTGGAATTCCAACAATTGGCCCGGATCAAATCAGGCCGGAGAGCTACGCGATGTCTTCCTGCTCGATGAAATCGATGATGATTTTCTCATTGAACACTCGGAGACCTGCATACCTTGAGATTTGCGCGAAATCGTTGACTATATTGCTTCATTCCGCGTAAACGATCTCCGCGTGTATAACACGTCGTGGCGAACAAGGTCGTTAATTATTCCGTTTTGAAGGAGGTATTCGTGTCTTCTCGCATACGTACACGCACTCGGCGTGTAAAAAAAGAAAACAAGAGGAAAAGAAAACGGAGCTTTTAATCGGGCATCCATTTTTAGAGGAAGCCATGACCTGAATATCGATTGTACCTGGCTAGCCGTAATTTTATTTCTATCGCAATAACGCTGCTTAATTACGATCAAAAACACATCCCCCGTAATGATTGTCATTCATCGTTCAACAATGTTCAACAACGACTGTCTTTCGCAAGTTTGTATACATGTGTATATATATATATGCAAGTGTAAAGTATTTTCGATTCGACGACCAAGTCGCTATATCGGCGACCATCGAAATTTTCGAGGTACGCACGAGATGAGTCCAAACTTTTTTTTAAACGAGCCCGATTATGTAAGCGGAAAAAAAAAAAAAGAAAAAAGAAGTCTAGAGGTGGCAGAAGCGGTGGCAAATAAAAAGCGGTTGTAGCTGCGATCGCTTTATTTTAAGTCGTGCTCCTCAATCACGAGTCCTTGTTGCAAATTAGATCTCGTCCCGTTTGTGCCAACATTGAAAAAATGGCATCCGCCAGCAATGTTTTACAGAAATCGAGAGAACACTCGAGTCGGTTCACACACCGAGATCTTTTGCAGAGAGCGTTACACGTACGTGCAAACCAATTGGAAATTTCGTGGAAACACGCCGCCGCCTAAACTCGAACGAAGCTCCAAACGAAATGATGATTATGTATTCGAATTTGTAACGTATTTAACGCTTGTGTTACATTATAACTTGATCCTGATACTCTCTTTCTCTCTCTTTCTCTCTTATAACGATTGAAAATCATCACGTACATCACCTTTGCGTGCGATTACCTAAACCGCGAATCGAGCGATAAGAACAAGGCGCAAGGGAATCGTACGGTTGATAAACGAGTCAACGACAAACATTTCGGGTCGAATCGGTTGAATCACGTCGCTATTTTTCGCGAAACGATATTCTGCCGTTGGACGGAAATGGTTTTTTTCCAGATTACGCAAGCCTCTTCATTCGATAACTCGAGACACCACGGCACGTGATCGAAGACGATCGAAAGGAACCGGACACCATCCGATTCTCTCGTGTTACGGCGAATGTTTATTACCTATGGATAAATTCCCGATAAAGGAAAAGCGCCGCGCGGCGTATGTCTTACTTACTTACACGGCACGCTTGTACGCCCGCAATTTCGCAACAAGTCGATCGCTGTGACCCTGAATTATTACAATACTACTCGCGAAGTGGCTGTGGTTATGTTACGGGTTATATACAGGTGGATACAGAATTAGAAGTCGAGAGAGAACAAATCGATATCCCGAGGATGAAGACCCTGGGTCGCGGTCAAGGCCAGCGCTTCGGTAACGACCATGTTCCGATTTCAAGGCAAGTTTACCCAATAAAAAATAACGCAACGACGAGTCAGCATATAATAACATCAGGATTATCGCCGAGCTAATTTTGGAATGACGCTCTTTCACTTTTCGAGTCTCTGATCTCTAGCCTCGGCTAACGATTCGGTGAATTGACTGTCGTCTTTCAACGCGAATTTTCACCGTGCAATAAAGACGAATAAACGTCCCTCTTTTTATTTTAGACAAATACGTATATATATACACATATACACATATATATTTCAATAAAACTTGGACTTTGAATTACCCAAAATTTCAAACGGACTGAGAAGATTCGCAAACTACCAGTGAACGTATTTTACGATTGGCCAACCAATTCAATAAACGTGGAAAGAAAAACTAACGGTGACCGAGACGTTGTCTGTAGGAAAGTGTGCTTGTCCAAAAAGTAAAAATCATGCGTAGGTGTAAGAATTTGTTTCGCGCATTGGCCAAGGTTATGGCTGACCCAACTTCGAGATGACGTCATCTCGTAGTTTGAAAACTTCAATGCTCCCCACTCGGACCAAGTTCCGAAAGCTGGTGATTACGCAGCCTGTTTCTTACCAAACCAGACAACGCATCATCGCCACGACCGGTGCGGCCAATCGTCAATCACGGTAGCCTATCGACAGGGGCCCCACCATATCCGGCATTCAACAACTAGTCGATTCGAATAATTACAATTGTTCTGCCAAATCACTCGTTTGCACTATCACTTTCTGTCAATGCCTGTCTTTCAAGCATTTTTCATCTACCCTGTTAAATCGGCTCTCTACTCTATTAAATCGATTCATCATCGTCTATATGTATCATCGATTTTAATCGTCGATTTAGCAATTTGTATCCTCATCAACGTAAGTAAATTCGTTCAATGTAAATCGTTGAGACTCGCGATTAGAAAGATTTGTATTCCATCGAGAAAAAAAAGGCAACACGATGCAATTTTGTGATATACAGTGATATACAAATTAAATGTCTATAAACGCGCAAACACACGGAGATACGGCACGTAATAATTTCGCGGTGTGTGCGATAAATCGAGATTCGAGGAGAGAGAATCAAAGCGAAGATCCTCAGAGTGAACATACCACTAAGAGGATGATACTTTAACGTAGAAACAAATGGTCTTTTGTAAACGCAACTGAACGAAGCTAGTCAATCTTTTTCTTTTTGGTAACGCGCTCCGTAGAAATTCCTAGCTTCGTGTAACAGCATTTACCTTATGGTTATGAGCAAAAACACAAACCAGAGATTTCAACGCTACGATTTAATAAAAACTGCTGAACAAAAAAGAAACCGTATTTGTTTTAGAAATAAGCGTAGGGTAGGAAATCCATAAAGATACAAGGCTAGACTTGAAACAATTTAAAAATTTCTCTAACATGAAATAAGGACCGGGATGTGTTCGAAAATATCTACTGACGCATCCTCGCGACGAATTTTTTTCTTTTTTTTTTTTCTAACTTTCCAACAGCATCCCTTCTGCTAAACTTTCTATGTTGAAATCCACAACTTTAAATTGATTTCCGTTGCGGTGTCAGCCTAACCCGATTCATCGATTTACCATATGCGTCACGTGCAATCAAACCCGAAATTTCGCGAGTGATTATCTCTCGCAAACATTGCAAGAGATAAAATTGGCCAATATTTATTCCCTGGCAAAGAGAGGGTTTTATCAAAAATCGGTATCAATGAGATTCAAGACCATATTGGCACACGATCTACGCATTCGATCGAAATGCTAAGTATAATGAAATTGAAAAAGTGAAACCAGCGATTCCACATACATATTTGGCTAATGCACGTGGAATTGCGTAAGCCTTGTATCGCGTGGGTACAGATACATACGAGATCGTTTTATAATTCGTTTAATCAATTAAATACCATATAAGCCATGAAATACGCTGTTACAAAATTGTCACAGTTTCTAGCAGAGAGAGAGAAAAAAAAAAATAATTCCACCGACATGACATGTTTCGGAGATGGATTTGTTTGCGCATAATAATTCGAGAAACATGTATATGTGTACGTGGATATATTTAGTGTGATATATGTATATAATTATCTTTGTTATCAATAAAGTGTAAGAGTGATCTTTGAACGAACACATCGATCTTTGAAATGAAAAAAATTCAAAAGATTTATAGACAATTCGCAATCCCTAACAGGTACGTATAAACTTATTTTTGTTATATTCGTTATCGTTGAACATCGTCTTATACATATCGGGTCGCGAAAAAAGTCAATTATCGCGAAACAATTGAAACGATTTTAAATAAGAAGGCGAGATAATTGTTACGTGTCCCTTTTAATATTTCAAGGTTAATAGAATTATCTATATCTTTTCTCTTTGAAAAATTAACGAGTCATTATTCCTCATGCACGATCGATTACTACGCCCGCGAAGACACGAATTTCCAAATTTCAAACAAAACTGTAAAAAACAGAGAATTAAGTCCAAAATTCTCGAAAACTTTGATCAAAAACCACGGATGTGAAAAAGTATTTGGTAAAAGCTTCTCGGCTAAGGTCGACCAATTTAGGCGTTTCATTGCCATCAAAATAAACAACTTTTTCATGACAACACTCACCGACACACGTGTATGCGAATCGTGTATAAAATATTTCCAGTCAACACTTACACGGTACCTTGAACTTGTGTTACAGGTTTGTTCAAATATTTTACGCGTATCACGCGTGTCAAGCTGTTTAATTCGAAGCGATCGCCGCTCCAGTTATTAATTAACGGAAACGGGGGATTGCAAAAGATCGAAGTAATCGCGAGTGAAACGGTAACGTTAAAAACCGGCAGGCGTGGAAAAACGATCTGCGAGTTACAGGATAGATTACCTAACAGACACGTCGTAACGTAATAACCGAGTTGTCGCTAAAGCTGACTGATGGTATGCGACAAAGATAATATACATGCACGTATTCTTATTGCATCGGGAAAACAAGCGAGTTTCGAACACGCCGCGAATGCAATCAGACCGATCTGCGTGAAAAACAAGAAAGAATCATGAAATTTGCGGATAATATCGAGAGAGAAACGAACATGCTCGAGATATATCGAGAGGAACTCGATACGAGCACACGGCCTGTATGTAATGTTCAGTTCCTCGAATTAAATAAAAGGAAACTGAAGTTTTGAACGTTCTTATTTCGAAACGATCGTGACTCTGCTTCGTAATCGATCGAACGGATTAACGGAAAACAGCGGGGAACGCGCGCGCAGCAACGTAAACAAAGCCACGAGATCGAAGGAAAGGAAGAAAAAGGTTATGTATCGACAGCACCTACCACATCGTACATCCATGCATCCATGGCCGACGACTCTATCCAAATGGCACCGGTGATATTGCGCTTTTGTTTCACGCTTTCTCTTTTACGTTTACGTAAAGCGAGAACGATCTTGATGCCTAATGTCCGGAGCACTCATGAGCAAAACACGAGCGAGCACACGCGCGACGTATGTACATACCAGCCCCCTACCACGACGTTGACGGCACGGCGAGCCGTACACGACTGACGGCAATTCGGAGGATACGGTAATAGCCAGCCGATCCTAACACCGGGCGCCACGAAATCCACCAAACGTATACTTCTGCTAATTACCTGATCGTTGAATAATTGAACAGAATTTTTGTACAACATACTTGTTCGATTAATTAATCTCGTATTAGCAGTTTCTTACAAGCAGATAAAACAGAGCATTTCGTATAGAATTCATTTATTACATTTTATCGATAGAACGATAAACGTCCTCGAGATCACTATGGAATAACTATAAGAATGATTTCTATTATCCAGTTAGCTACGTATGAAAGATAAAAGTATCTACTATTCATACGGCACAAATGAAATTTTTTTTCATTGAAGTATCCCTACGTTCTACATCAAACCGTTTGCATTTAGAAGCTTCACGAAGTTAGATCGGGCTGTATTTATCGGTGATAAAATCAGCGACCACAAGCTCCAATCTAAAAGACAACTGTCACCATACTGTACAAATACAAAAGCGAGACATTACCGTGAATATTATCACGATCGTGGATCAATCGGTCATTAACCCTTGGTCTTAAAGCTACGTTCAATCGGATCTTTCGACAGTTGAATTTCCCCTTTAAAGATGTTTCAGATGCAACGAGGGGGAAGAGCGAATTCAATTTTCAAGACGGAACAATTCCTTTGATTGCAAAAGATCTCTACGACGAGAATAAAGAAACATCTCGGGAATATGTGAAAGGAAGAAACGGTGTTGAACTTTCAGGACGACTAGGTAGATCGATCGAGCCTCGAAACGCTCCCTTTTACCCCCATAGCCGAAATAGTTCTAAGTTGATACGTTACTGACGTTATGCGTGCTACGTGTATACCACGATGGAAGGGTGAGAATAGGTGGGAGGCGGGGGCGGTGGCTGTGGGTATGACGGCGGCGGCAGCGGTAGTGGTTGTGACGGTGGTAGCGATGGTGTCGCGCGGCAGCAGTGGTGGTACTGGAGGCGGCGGCTGCTCACCATCGCGTCGGCGAGGGGGGAAAGGAAAGTAGCCGGTGGCCTTGAACTTGACTGCCGCCGTTTTTGCGCACAGCCGTCGCCCGCCCAAGACAGCCCACCAGCGTAGACTCTCGGAGAATTTTCATCTGCCGATGCCGTTACCCACCTCCCCGAAAACCTACCTATCTATCGGGTCTCCTTTTTAACCGAACGTTTTACGTATCACATATATATGTGATTTTATCCAACGTTCGTCTAAATTCTCCCTTTTTTTGTTATGTCATCGGGTGTATTTTGCTGTTTTTTTATTGGCAAAAAAAAGAAAGAAAAAAAGAACTCAGATGACCAAAGAAATGATCGAAAAACCGTAGCAAGCGTGGGAAGAATTGGTATGTAAACAAGGAAATGTAGGTTGAACGTTGATATTGAAAAGTTACGCCTTGGTAATTTTTATTACGCAAGGGTAATGAACTTGCGTTTCTTTTCTCTGTATTTAATGATGGGAAGTGAAAATTGTAGTATTCTAGTCGAAGTATTTCTAGATTCTAGATTCTAGTCAAAGTATTTCAACAATGTCTTTTTTTTAAGAGGAGATTTTACAAATTATATTTTTTAGTCTTTTTGACACGTAGTGAAGAAAATTAAGTAAGTCGCGTAAATCAAAGAAAACATATCGGTCGTGTTTGTGTAGAATTCATATATAAAACAATTATTTTACGACTGTTTATTAATAACTATGTTTTAACAAATTATTAATATAATATAAACGATGTTGCATGTATTTTCAAGATTTCCCACACACTTCGCGCGAGAAGTAATAGCCATCGAGAGATTTGTATCAAACATACAAGTAATAGTCATCTCGCGTTTTTAATTTACCAATACGAAAACGTCAAGAGAATAAAAGGCACTCTTTTCGTAGAAAGAAAGATTGTGCACAAAAAATACGTGTCCTCAAGAATAAATTGACAAGTAAAAATACAAGAGAAAACCTATGCCGATGAAAGCGATCAGTAAAAGTATAAGTAGGGTTGAGGTAGGTAGACTTCAAACTAACCAGATCGATATGGCACTCTCGCTTTCTCATGTTCTCAATACTGTGTCGTATCTGTGGTACTACGTAAATTCCGACATCTTTTTATAAATACAAATAAAATTTATATAAAAAAATATTATTATATATATTTCGAACATCTTTTGGATCGTCTCAATTAATTTGATTACGTTCGATTTAAACGCCAAACTATTTAAGAATCGAAAACTGTAGTAATATCAATCTAAAAAGCTTTATTTAATAAATATCTATTTATTAAATCAATTCTTACATGAAGAATAATGAAAATTAATTTCGCATGCACAAATACATATGCAAATTACATTTTGAATAAAAGACGTATTAAAAATATATATAAAAATGATCTTTTATTTTTTCTTCTACATAATTTAACAACAATAACCACAATAAAATTTGTTTCAATATTTATAAATAAATTATTCAACAGCAATGATACACTGAACTTTATGTAATGTTACCTTCAAAAATAAAAAAGATAAAAGTCGGTAATAAAGAAATTTCTAATTTCATCCGTCGGTATATATAATTAATTTTTCCATCTTTGAATATTGTAATTTTGATTATAATTATTTAACCAACGTTTACTTAATAACTCAAATATATATTTGTAGTAACGTTACAATAAAATAATCAAGAGTATTAATTATATATTTAAAAATTTTCGTATTCATTATTTACAAATCGAAAATATTTCTTGGCAAATATATTTTTAAAAATCTTCAAATTTTTTACGAGAAATAATTTAAAAATTTTATTATTAACATTTTTTAAATGCATATGCATATTTTGTAAATAATAAATTTATTTGTTCTTCATAAAATGTAGTAAAATCATATACTATTTTATTTAAAATATAATTAATTTTTTAATTAATTTTAAATATATACACCTATAGAAATATTTATGTAATAAAATTTCAACTTTATATCTAACAGGAAATAATACCGCATTAGTAAATATTAAACTACTGATTTAAAGAAGACGAAAACTACAGTACAAGAGGAGTATCACACTTTTATTATCATCACATGCCTAATTTCATAACTATCGTTTTTTTGGACGAAAAAACCAAGGCCATAACAGTAATTGTTAAACCCACACAGTTAACTAGAAGATCAGAAAACAAATTCGAAGACGGACTTACAGAATCACAAATCGTGTCACGCATGTAATCAACCAACCAAAACGAATTTAATATAAAAACATGAGGTATGAAATAATTGCAAAAAATACAATACACACAGCAAAATGTAAACGAATTTGTAACAAAGATGGCGGAACAAAATTTGGCAGATCGTTGATGCCCAGTTATCTTTACTGTTTTTATAAAAATACATAGCAAAAAAACAAATGTAACAAGTAATCAAACAACTTACCTCGATACTCATATACACGTTTCTATTTCCATCAGAGATTAAAAATTTTCAATCACAAGAAAAATATTGGAGCAATGGCCGATTCCACAACTCACTAGAAGCAGAAAACTCGATGGCTCCGATTGTTGTTCGCGTGGCGCCATCGTACGTTTACGATACAGACAAGAATTTCAAATATGACGAGTGCTAACCTCTATCGGAGAAATAATAAACTCAAATTTTACTTACAATGAAAAAGGAATCATTGCGCGATTACATTTTTTTTTGTAAATAAAAGTATGAAACTAAAACACAAAGTTCTTTTTATTAACATATCTCAGATAATAAACAATGAATTTTAATTATTGAATATTACATCGCAATAGAAAATATAAGAGAACAGAAATATGAACAATCAGATTTTTGCAATTTCACAAGATACTTGGTTTGGATCCCATTTCCCGTCACTCACTGGCCGTACACATAATTTAGCATAAATATATTTGTGTAATCGTTCGGGATTTAAAATGAGACAGTCATTTAATACTTTGCAATAATGCTTGACGTCGGAAGGTAAAATCAATATATGCGGTTGTTTTTCAAAACACGCGTATTGTTTCCAAAGTCTGGTATCAAGATTCAAACCGGGAAAAGGAGGATATACAGGATAGAATGTGGACTGAGATAACAAATGGTCGGCTAAACGACCGAGCCTATCCGTTCCAGGTGCATTCCTAAAAAATTTCTCATTACAATAAAATATATATTTCATTACCTATATATTGATGCACTTACGATATTTCTTGCTGTATAAGATGTCTAAATACATCGACCGATGTTACTCCTATGTGTAAACCATCTAAGTTTATTGTGCATGGATCTGGAATAGTGTAAATATTCGCCGCATTTGATCCAAGTTTATTTGTATTTAGAATAAATTCTGGTGTTGGGAAAATCGGATGATGATGTACATCACGGTTAGAAGATACTAATACAATGCGTGTAGATTTCCTAAATTATGAAGAATAATAATATTAATAATAATTTATGGTTAACATTAACGTTTTAAGATTAACGTGATATTATTAATTGATATATACCCTTGCAAATATTTTAGAATCTTCGACAAAAGGTTATCAAAAAAATCTTGAAAAGTCTCCTTTAAAATACATTTTTTAATTTCTGAATGTGTATACTCTACAAAAGGTCCAACTAATATTAATATGTCAGGTTCGTTTTCTGCAACATGTTCCATAAGATCCCATAACGGTTGATAATTCAAATTATCAGAAGTCGTAAAAGGACCAACCGCAACGTAAATTTTAATTTCTTTTGATAACTTTGGTACATCAAATATTGGTGCATATCCCTTAACGAACAATTTTTTCGCTATTAAAGTATCTTCAGTTGCGATAATACCCTCGACTGCAACTATTTGACCAGAAAACACCGAATAATGTTTAATTGCTTTAAGATCCAAATATAAAATGGGAGCACTTTTTTTAGTTTTAAGTCTTTTGGTGCCCTCCAGCATAACAATTTTCCTGCCAGTAGATTTTTCAACTGTTACAAGTATTCTGCCCCATGTTCTAAATGCAACTGGTTTCGTAGGCGCTATGTTTCTCACGTAATGCATATTGAAATTAGGAGGTTCCATCGTGTTCCAAATATAGCACAGTCGCTCACCAAAGCATTGACAATGCTTGGTAAGAATGGCCCCTTGATTGGAGAGCATTTCATACATATATACTGCATCCTTCGGTACATGAGGACTCTCCGCCTTAGCGATCGATATATCAAGCTCGTTTTCTTTTTTCCAATTGTGAATAGCAGGGCCGAAAAGCAAAAGAACTTTGCCCCTAACGGCTGTACTGGGTGCACGTATTGGAACATCTCTATAATAATTATGGAAGTTTATTTAATATCGAATAAAAACGTATAAGTATAAAGTAAAAAATGATTAGATAGCGTGCTTACGATTTCGGTGTATAAGTTGGCGGTGTAAACGTATGATCTACTGCTCGTAATTTATTGTTACTTTCTGTCTCTGTAGTTGGACTCCTCGCTCTTTTAGTTTGCTTAAAAAAAAAATAGAACTACAATTCTATACAATAATATAAAACAATGTTTAGTGAAAATTAAAAATACATTTATATATATTTCATATATACAATATTTTCAGAGTAGAACAGATCACCGTAGACGAGTATGTATCTAGTCACGAAGTAAACCGTAACGCGCACCACATTCATACTCGTCTATGGAATTATCTGTTTTACATTATACTCGACTTCATAAACAAAGTTTTCGAAACGATTGCACGCTAATACAGGAAAACTTATTTTATAATCACTAATAAATGAAACGCTACGATGTTTGAACCTGAACGTGCTTAATGAGTGTGGATCTAGTCACAACTTGATCTCCTGTGCACTAGACCTTCACTCATTTGGCAAATTCAGGCAACTTTCTCCTTTTTTTTTGTTCTCTTTCGCGCTGTCGTCTTCACCTTATCACGTTGCATCATACGAATATAACGTCGTGCTTTTATTTAGATATATCGATATCTAGAAATTGTTTTCTGAATATTAATTACAAGAAAAGATGAATAAATACGAAAAGAGCAAGATAAACGATTATTTTAACTGACAACGTTGCAATGACAAGTATACAGTTGCGGCACAGTCAGCGTTCAGGAATCAACATAACGAGAAAGGTTAATTATTATTATTAACTTGATCAATCACGGCATTCTATTATGTATTGTTTCGATCAAGTTCTATTTCTTCTTACTTTGCATTCAATGCTTCTACATTCAATTAATATATTTAGTTTTCTTTCGCGATAACTGATCAATTTGCAGCATGTTTCTAATCCTTCGAAATAATCTATTCTCTCCATATAATTACAAAAGTATCAGAAAAATAAATTAGAAAATGAAATATACAGTCCCATTCACAAAATATATGCTAATACATTTAATGTTTCATTAAATATCAAGAGATGCGGACGGGAAATTTGTTTGAACGATAGCAGATCGTGAAAAACTTCGGATCGATCATCGAGCTGTCCTCTTTCCCCCTCTTTTCTGACGAAACACACAAAGTCGGGAAACTATTTCTCCTTCTACCCCTTACGAACTATCCGCCCCTGGCAATCTTTTGCCCCACTATTCAGAGAGATACCGTGGGAAATAACATGAAACTTTTACCAGATACAATTGTAACATGCCACCAAAACGAATATTTCATTCACTTTTCAACAAAAATACCTAAATACTTTTTTTCTCCTTTTTTATACATCGTCCAAATTTCTTACTTTTATATATATATATATATGAGAACGTCGAAGAGCTAGAAATTGGAGCAAGGAGAGGAAGGAGATCGGACTGTCAGTTGTTGGTCAATTGTACTTAATTGATAGATGTAAGCAACTCCCTAAAGAACAGATCTTTCAAATAACTACTGTTAAGAAAGCTACAATAGTAAAGTAGTTAAGAAAGCTAAATTTTTGTTATAATTTACGTACGTTTAATGTTACTAAACAAAAGCAATTGCGTTTTTTATGCAAATTTTGTAAACTTTTACAAGTGCAGAACGTCGTAATGGATCAAAAATTTCGATCCATTACCACGTTTCAATTCCAAAAAAAAATGTAAAATTACTAACAATAAAATATTGTCATACAAAAATAAACATGCCGGTGCATGTGAATTTGTATTCATATGCGTATACAGAACGAATTATGTATACGTAATTCTAGACATAAATATAAAAAATATACTAAAAAATTAATCGTATATATCTTTTGCTTCATAACCAGAGACATCATTATTATAATAATGTAATATCGAAAGATTGAAATAACAAAACAAATCTAAAGAAGCATGCGACTAATTGTGAGTCGAAGCAACAGGTTGCAGCGACGCGACGCGACGCTCAGAACTCTCAACCAACGAACGAACGGTCGACGACATTCGCGTACACACACAACTATAAGCATTTTTCTCTTTCTTATACACTATTGCTACTAGTGCTGTTCTTATTGTGAACAGTATATACGCGCGCGTGTATCAATGTGACTAAGGTTATCCGTAAACCTTCCTAACGTTAGCAAGTACATTTATCGTATGTTTCTTGCAACGACATCTAATGATAAATTCAATGTGAATAAACAATTCAACGCAATATGAATATCTTTTTCCGCTTTTTATGTAGTCAATTTAGCACATTTCTACAATAAATACGGAACTGTATCGTACGAAATGATGAAAGGAGCGAAGAAAAATTGAATAAACAATAGCAGCAACAATAGCAACAGGTCGTTATGACGCGGAACGTTATACGATTGGCGGAATGACTTTCGAGTATGAAATTCACTCAAACCGAATTTCATAATGGCTGACGCTTTACTCGACCATTTCAACATGTAATACACATTATACACTCCCCTGTGCAATATTACCCTACACAAATCATTTGCTATTTCACAATGAAATTTACACACAACGTATAGCTTAAATATGAACTGCAAAATACACAATTAACCGGCAAATCACTGGATAAAACACTTCGATTACGCGTGACTCGCTGACAAACAAGCGGTAGCGTCTTGACTCGACGCCATCGAGATATTTGATCGTACCGTATTATTTTTAAAAAATATTAACTATTAACTCGTGTAGAAACAAATCAATTATCGAACAAACTGCTATCCATGAATTTTAGTGCAACTCGAGAAACAAGTATACGAATAAACGGAAGATAAAACGCTTTGTTCGGAAATTCTGTAAGCGCGCGCGCACGCGCGCATCAGGATGATAATGGAGTCTGGGTCCTTGAAAACTGAAATCGTACCTTTGAAGAAATCTGGTCAGCTCTCTTAGATGGAACGAGAACCCCTCTCTATACGATATAAGAAGGCACACTGTCCTTTTTCTACCAATAAGAATGAATCTAACGTTCCCCTCCATCGAAGAGTGTCCTTTGTGGGAGACTGAGAAAGAAGGAGAGGGGATAATGGCGGCGATCTACCTGGACGATTTTTGTGGCGGGAATTACGGTGCTTCAACAAGATCCTACAACAACGCTTCGAAACAAGAAACCACCTGCCGGGAAATAGCATCAAAAATTTCACTAGTATTAACGTTAAACATCGACAGTTACACAACGTATAACAGGATACTTTAATTTATAATAAATGACACAACTGTTAATAACAATGTTGTAATCTCGTGAGATTTTCCATATTGTTATAATAAAAAAAAATATAACAAAATTTAATTACATGTAAATATACATTAAAACCTTCCAATATATATCTTGATGCAGAGTAAGAAAAACATAATTATACTGAAAATTTATTTTATTAATTACAGAAAAACAATAATCATAATTTCAGTAATCAATAATTTCAATTTCAATACAAATAAAAATTATCCTAATTAAAAATTATCCTAATTTAAATTATCCTAATTAAAAATTGTATATAATTCACTACATGTATTTGTTAATATAAATTTGAAATCGTAATATATTAACAAATGGAAAGATAGAAAAAAAGGAAAAATTTTGTAAAAAAGTAAAAAATAATATCTCGTATAATTTTGTAAAGTAGAATTCCAAACATTCTATGAAGACTAAAATCCTCAGGTAGAATCTTACGTCATTGCTACTATAGACCATAGATCGACTATAAAGAATGTGCAACGGTGTTGCCAAAGCGATGTATATCATTGCACTGCCAAGGTTGAGTTTCAATATAAAAGTCGTTTCGATATGTAATATAATAATCTCCTAAGAAAGTGTAATGTTTAAAAAATACTTATGTTGTATTTTACTGCATTAAAAAGACAACAGTTTTTTCATAACTTTCTTATAAAACACAACATCCTATAAAATTATGTAGGTAAATAATTTTATGAAAATTACATTTTAAGGATATAAAATCTCATATATCTTGTATAATATAGAACGTTTGTAATTATAATCTACTGACAAAACTGTTAAATCTTTAATACAATGACAGAAAATATATATTTCCGAACAAAATATTTTCATTAAGAAGCAAAATGCTTGTAAATATTGTTAATTATAATAAAATAGAAACATTCTATATAAGAAAATTTGATCATACATCAAATATCTAACTTAAGATTATAAACTTGATTATAATTTCAAATATTTAACTTAAGAAAGAGTAGTTTGATAAATCTGGCAACAATGGCAAAAAACCATTACAGGGGTAGAGACCTTCCCTCTTGTAAGAAAGAATAAGCAGAATGATCAATTTTTGAACTCAAATAGCCAATTTAAAATTAAAGGAAAATAAGACTTCACTATCAATAAAAAAATCAATAAAAAATACAACACTCTACATATAGTTATTAACACATTACATTTAAAAAATATTTTCATTAGAAAGAAAAAATGTTTTCAATAAATTATATGTCAAATATTTCTAAATTTTTTTAATTAACAAAAATATATTTTACTACTAAAGTTTAAATAACTAAATATTAAAATAAAAATAGTTCAATTAAAATCTTACCTTTAATGTAGCACATTCTCCATTGCTGTATATATCCAAGACATTATTACTAGTATTGCATGCAACAAGTATATGTAAGGATAATATGTAAAAATTACATGAACTTAAAGAAATAAGTAAAATAAGTGGATGTTTAATCTGTTACTAACAAACACATTTGAAAGGATACGTAATTTCTTCGTTAGATTGTGTATCAAAATGTATATTTGTTTGGGTAGAAAATTCTAAAGAACATTTGTTAATCTTTTCTAAATCTTCCTTTTCAAATTTAATAAGGTTGTCTATCGTTGGATTAATATTTAAAGATTGTGGAACTGTATATGCTACCCATAACTCTATAAATTTTTCCTCATCTATGTTATAAACGTGACAAAGCTTAATACCTAGTTAAAAAGAATTTTTTAGAAATATATTAATATATAAATTAATATATAAATCATGAAACTAACTTTCATACAAAATTCTAAATATATAAGTTAATTTTGTTAGAAGATACAAACATAATGATACAGTATAAACGTTCCAAAGTAAGGTTATAAAATATAAATTTCTCAAAGTTATTTTATGGAAGTTACGAAACATAAATATATAATACATAAATATATATTTATTTTATTATTATATATTTTATGAAAACATATATAACAGTATAAATATGAAGAATATATTTCTAATTAAATATCTCTAATAAATTAGGAAATTTATATAGGTTAGGAGTAAACACTTTACATTTTTAAAATAAATTCATAGATAACTTACATTTATCGATCACAGATTTATCGGAAATATCACATCCTAAATTAGAAAAGCACGAAATTAACGATTCTTCTGACACCATTTTACTACACAACACACAACTATGTTCTTCAGGTTTTTCCCGCCAATTTGATAAATCAATATACATGCGCAATTAAAATCCACTACTGCATGGACAGAAAAAATGCGCGCCATATATTCAAATATACTAAATTCTACGGAATGATTATGCTTTTTATAAAAAATTTTTTTCATAAAATATAATGTACAGATATTTAATTTCTATTGCATAGACAATAAAAGAACAAAAATTTATAATTTTACAAATATATTTAATCTTATTAGGACAGTATTTATTAAAAAGTAAGCCATTTTCTCATAATTGTATATGTATATGGTTTTTATCCATATATACATATACAAACATTCTTTTTACCAACATTTGTATCAAATAATTAGTTTTCAAGCGTGAAATGTTGTTTATCTTTTTCTGAAAGTTCAATAAGAACTTGTGAAACATCTGCAGAGGGAAATCTTTCTACCCAAGATTGAATCATTCCAGCAAAATTGGGTTCATAGTTTTTTAATTCTACTTCATTTTCACCTGTGTCATGATAAATAAATTAATAATATTGCAAAAATTCATGATAAATAAATTAATAATATTGTAATATTCATGATAAATAAATTAATAATATTGCAAAAATTCATAATAAATATGCATAATTACACAAATACAAACCATTCACAAATGTATTAGATTGTACAAATATCTTTCGAGGTTCTTTATGAGCCAAAACTATATTTCTCCAACGCCCCCATGGATGTGGTCCCGTCTCGGGTACTTCACTATATTTATCATACATCTTTTTGGCTTCTTCAATGTCACCCGTACTTTTATAAATTTGTAACTTGGTTAAAAATTCTCCAATTGCTTTTTTACCAACTGTTAAAATTTTTGTTCTATCAACAGTTAATAATAAATTCTTTTCTGGTTCAGATTCCACAACATTGACAAAATCACTGCCAACTTCTAAACAAACTCTAAGTAAGACATATCTTGCTTGAGAGTGAGCCTGCAACCACTTTTTAGTTGATGGTTGATACATTTCTAAAGCTTTCGCACAACCAGTCCATAATAATGATAACCAATTAACATACATTATATCATCAGCCACAGAATTTTCATGTCCAAATATACTCAATATATCTTTTTCTAAAGATAAATATAATCCAACTGCTTCTGCCCTGCACTCTTCATATGAAGATCCCATTGGGCCAAATTTTGAATCATATGTTTCTCCAGGCAAAAAAAATTTATTTATTGATTCTCCAGTAAGAGGATTTTTTACTTTTTTTATATCAAAATTGTATGAACCAGATTCTAATTTCTTCAATAATTTACCTGTTCCATGACCAAGAAGTTCATGCAAACCTACTTGTACTTCAAAACTAGCTATTCTATGCTTATTCATTAATGCTTGATCATGCTCAGATAAAAATGGTAGCACATCCACTTTCATGTTTGCAGGAAGTACATTACCCAAAGAAACATTTTTAAATCCTTCTGATTGCCTAATTTCATCATAATTTGGAATATTTATACCTACAGGAATACCAGATCCTGAGAATGTTAGAACATCCAATGAAGTAAAATCTGGCCTTAAATATTCATCTTTTTCAAAGTCTTTACCCCAAGGAAGTTTTGGTATAAATTTTTCTGCATTACTCACTAATGTAGCAAACTTTTTGGACATTTGTTTATTTACCATTGCTACAAATCCTTCAAACTCCCCTCTTTGACCAGCTGGATCTCTATAGGTTTCAATAAAACCAATGTAGGTTTCTATAACTGGTCCTTTGTCTTTAATCCATAAACGAGAACCATCTTTATGATCTTGTAAAGATCCTGTTTTGAAATGCTGTATATATTTATTTAACATATTTTTTTCAATTTCATTCGCAGCATATTCTTTTGCTTTTTGAAGATTATTAACAACTGAAATCAAAAGTTTACTATAGTCTCCTCTCGTAATTTTAAATTTTGCATTTTTAAATACTTCTTCTGACAGTGTAATGTTAGTATCATTATTGGTTTCTACAGAAGCCAATCTGATTTCATACACATCCATATATTTTGAAGTTTTAGAATCATTTTGTTGATTTACTATTTTAAAACATCTAGCATTATAAGATTCTAATCCTTTACTTTGCATAAAATCATTAACTAATTCTGCATCTTTGTCAGTACAATTAGCAGAAAAATAAGTTGTAACCCCTTTTTCACCTAATCCCAAAGATTTTAATTTCCCTTCTATAAAATATATTATATTTTGAATTTTATCCCAAATCTCTTCAATTTCTTTGGAATTATTTTTATATGCCTCTGAAACTTTTATTATAGCTTCAAATTTATTCTTAGGCAAGTTTGGTATTATTTTGCTATCACCAAAAGATTTATAATTACCAGCATTTGCAAAAATTCCACAAGAATATACTAAAAATGCCTAAAATATAATACAATTATAAAATTAACATTAAAAACTATTTTTCGAAAATTAGAACTGTTATTTCTATATTACTTACTGTAAATTCATCTTCACTAATACCAGCGTTAAATGCATTATTTTTCAATTCATTTATTGTTTCAGATATAAAAATTTTATGTAAAAGGGAAAATATTAATGGTGATTCTGGAGAAGTTTGTATATATACGATAAGACCACCATTCCACGCAGCTTGACTTAAATAATGTGCATATAATTTTTCATTTTTTGTTAATGAATTAAATGCAGAGTCACATTCTAAAGCAATTATTGGCTGATTATTTGGTAAAGTAAATAAAGAAATATCTTCACTCATTTTTGTAGATAACAATCTTACACTGGAATGCAAAGTTCTAATTTACAATAATAAATTTATTGACTATACTTGAAAAAATATATAAATTTTAATATATATATTATTATATATTTATATATTTATGTCTAAATAACACACAATTGTTAAATATTAAATAATAACTTCTCTATAATAATAACGTTTTACAAAAATATTAAAAAGAAATACGGTTAAAGCAAAAATTTAGATTTTTTATACATGTATACTCATATATATATATATATATATATATGTATATGTATATATATCACATTGTAAAATAATAAGTCATATAACACATAACCAACCTTGAAACAAAATTATTTCCTAAAGGGTTAACTTTTTTATTGATATTTAGAATTACAAATTCAACTCTTCTTTTCTTAATATTAGCGTTAAATGAAAAAGACCGTAGAAAATATTGAAACACAGTTCGTGAAATAATCTTCTGTCGATAAAATGGCCACATGTGTAATATATTTCGTTCGTGGTACAATTTAAATATTGCAATTTATGCGAAAACAACTATTTTTTGATATTTATATACACAATTGAATTATTATTTATTATTAAAGAATTATTTGTTATGCATTAACTTATTATATACATTTTTTAAGCAAAAAAAGAACGATTTAAACGACTAAAATTTCCTAGATTTTAGATAATCTAGTTTTTATATTTACTATTGATTTCTAATTTATTAAAATAGGTTACAAATAAATTTTTTGTGAAAGTTTCAAGTAATTTATTTTCATTTTTGAAGGCACATGTTATTCATATAAAAATTTTAGCTTATTTATAAAAATATAGACATATTATTAATTGCTACTATATATATTTGATATATTACTTTTATGTATGCCTATCATATATGTACCTCTATCATATATATTTTTTTTTCATTAGACTTTATCATATATTACACAATAACTATTTAACTATTTCTAACTTTACATTACTTTTTGTATAATAAAACAAATTATGTATACCTAATTTTAATTAAATACAAAAGCTAATTTATATTTTATAGAAGGAAGGTACATTTTAAAATAACTCTTTCAATAAACATAAGTGTTTATAGCAGAAACATAAGTGTTTAATACTGTTATTCTTTGACATCACCAATACCATCTGCGTTTATTGCAAACATTGCTTCACTTTCAGGCAAACAAGGTGAATCATAAATTTTGCATATCCTAGTTTCACCTCTACCCTTACGTAAATATAATCTTGTAGTACTTGCATGAGCTATAATATGACCACCAATTGGTTTTTTTTGATCACCACCAAACATACTAGCTGCACCATCAACTTGTGCCACAACTTGATTAGTTATGATAACAGCAATACCATGTTCATCAGCTAATCTAAGTAACATTCTGAGAAATCTACCTAAATGTGTTTGTCTAGCAGCTAGTTCTCCTCTTCCAGAATATTCAGTTCTGTATAAACTAGTTGCACTATCTACTATCAATAATGCATATCTAGATTCTGTCATCATAGCACTAGCCTGAATTAATAATTGAGTTTGATGGTCTGTATTATAAGCTCTAGCACATGCTACATTGTCTAATACAGAATCTCCTGCTATTTTATATCTTTCAGCTACAGCAATTAATCTTTCAGGTCTAAAAGTTCCTTCTGTGTCTATGTAAAGACATTTTCCTTCTGCACCACCCATATCTATTGGTAATTGACAATTAACAGCAAGAGTATGACATAACTGTGTCTTTCCTGATCTAAATTCTCCAAATATTTCTGTAATAGAACCAGTCTCAATACCACCTCCTAATAATCTGTCCAATTCACTGGAACCAGTCGTCACAAAAACAATATTAGAACGAATTTGATGAATTTCAGTAGCACTTTTAAATCCCATTACAACAAGTTTTGAAGCTTCTTGCAAAATTTTATCCGCTTTGGCCTCACTAATACCTTTGATAGCAATTAGACACTTTTTCGGTGCGTAAGCTACAGCTTCCACGGTGTAATAACCAGCTTCTTCTAACTTTTTTATATCGGCTGCTGTTATGCCATTTCCCTGAAAAAATACATATATAAATATATATTAAATAATTTTACATATTTTAATTTCATACATGATATAAATTATTTTTTGTAAATATTGAAAAAACAAAATAAAGAAGATATGATACAGGTTAAAAAATTAACTTATAACCTCAAGAGTTTTTATTAATTTTGCCTGTGGATTATATTCTTCAAAATCTTCATCCCCTTGAATACTAGCTGTGGTTGCCATAGCTGTCATCTTTTTTAGTAGAATATAATATAGCTGAACGAACAAAAATTAACACGAATTTAAAGCAAGTGTTAATTTTGAGCCAAAATATCACACCATCAATCCTAAAGCAAACTTTAAATTATTTATCATTGTCTCAGTTTTATATAGATAATGTAATATTTAACACTAAAATTATAAATTATTATTATATAAAATTTTATTTATATTAATTTTTGTTTATTGTCTCCGGTATTGTATCTGGCAATTACGTTAGTATCGATACCTGTTGCTATTACATTCCAAACAAAGAAATGAAAATATGCAAATATGAAAAATAAATGTGAACGAACACGACAAAATTTGTATTTTTAATTAACTCTGTTAATAATTCCAAGTCTATAAAAAAATGATAAAAATTAAAATCGTTTGAGGTTTAATATAAAAACTAGATTACGTATTTATCGACAATGAATACACAAAAGTTTCTCTTAAAGATGTCTCTTCATTCGAAATGAAATCAAGGAAGAGAAAAAGGTCAGGAGCGAAAGGCATTAGATCGAGACAAGATAGATATAATCTGTTCTGACGTCTGATCATTAAGACAATTGTATATTTGTCCCTGAGAGTGCTTTCAAAGGGGAACCATTACATGAATATTATATGTTTCTATGCCTCATTGAATCATCATTGGATTGATAACAAATTTAATTTCCCAATGACATGGCGACTTTGCATAAGAAACATTTTTGTTCATCAAATATATCTATAAGCGCTGTGTTTTTCGATCTGGATAATACCCTCATCGAGACTAGAAAGGGCGACAATCAAACATGTCGAAAGGTATGTTAAAATATTTGAAATTATGTTGATATTTAAAACCGTATGCATATGTATAAACGATCAGTATTGGTTAATGTATTAGAAATATGTGTTTACTACGTCTCTGGAGAGTGCGCGGGAGTTGTAACTGAATGACGAATGATATTTAAGAAACTTAGAAGTCATTCATATTACAATATTAATTTGTAAATTTTACAATATATTTTCTTGTTTTTATGATAATTTTTTATTTTGTTTAAAACAAAAAAAGTATCTCGTAGTAATTACGTTTACGTTTAATCTTTCAATTCCATTTGGATACGAGGATCGTACGAAAATAGAACCTTCTGTGTAATACGAGCTGACTCCCTGATATAGTGCTTTCTCTCGAATGGTTATTTTCGACCGATCCTACTGCACACTCCAGACGCTCAACAGAACGTAGAAAAAGCGTGTAAGCGCGTTACCGAAGATATTCACGCTCTTGAGATACGAGTTAATTGTACAATTGTATTCATGTGGAAAAGGTTATGTTAGAACCATGTGTATATTCGTTTTCCAATAAAATCCTATAAAATGTGGTTATTCTAAACGATTTTTCATATTGTTCTTTTTAATACGAAATTTAACATAAAAAATTAATATATTTCTTCAAATAAAAAGAAATTAAAAAAAAACGTTACTGACTTCATATCGCTAATAATTCATATTTGAATGTTAATGTACACGCATTTATGGAATTGACATTTGTGGTAGTACAGCTTTATTTCTGTCTGACTAAGTGAATGTGTCAAAGGGCAAGGCTAGTTTTAAGGCGTTTGATCTGGGAGTAATGCCAGTTGGCTTTTAGCTGTGACATGTGAAAGATATAAATCTCAGTGAATTTTAAATGCTATTTAAGTAAATATCAATATTCTAAAATTGTTTGTGAATTGCATTTGGAAGATTATTATTGTATAATAAAGAATAAAATTAGGAAAATATTTTGAGAATATAAGGAAAATAGGTATTTTCTTTTTGTCAAATTGTTACAAAATAAACTCCAATCATGAGTATTTCAAAGAATGTAAAGAAATATGAAACTATTTTAAAGTCTGTTGAAACTGATTCGGAAAAATTTGCTGCATTGTTTATGATTACAAAATTAGTGGATAGTAAAGATTGTACAGCAGCAGAGAAGAAAGTATTATTTGAAGCTATTGGAACAAAATTTTTAACAAAGTTATTATCTACACAAGTAGTTCCTGTGGATTGTCCTCCACAAGTATACAAGTCTGTAGCATTATCTATACTTTCTGCATTTTGTGGAGAACCAGAATTAGCTTCTCATCCTGACATGATTACTCATATACCTGCATTACTTGAAATTGTATCACAAGCTGATGAAGATGCAGATGATAACATGTTAATTATTGTTAGTGAAGCATATACATGTTTGCAACACATTGCACAATATCTTCCTGGACAACAAGTTTTATTTGAACAGAAAGCAATTACAAAAATGTGTGATATTTATGCAGAGAAAAGCTTTCAGACGGATCAAGCTTTGAACATTTTAGTTACTTTAGTTCAGAAATTTGGTCCAGAAGCATGGGATGCAACAGATTCCACGCCTTTCCATGTTATTATAAACAAAATTGCATTAGATTTTGAAACGGATCACACAGAAAGAAAATTTCAATTATGTACAATTTTACAAGCTTTATTAATGTCTTGTAGAAAAAACATAATTAGTGAAACTGCTAAAGAAGAATCTTGGCCATCTAGCATTCACAAGGCTTTGTCTGATATTCTTGGATCAAAGATAGGTAAAAACCAACGTGATCCAGCATTAAAACTTGTTTCTGTCATGCTAGATTTACTGGGAGCTGAATGGGCTTTATTAGATAAAGAGAAACCAAAAGTATTTTTGTTATTATTGATTCAATTAGCATCTATAGAAGTTAGAATGCAGATGGAAGGAAAACAACTAAAAACTATAATGGCAAATGCAGATTTGGTTACGTCTTGCTTTATCATTATTGAAATTTCTCTTGGATATATTACTAATGATCAATTGGACTTAGACCAGAAAGAAAAACAGTCATTGTATACTGTTTTAAAAGGAGCTTTTGCTGCAATTATTGGTTTACTTACTGCAGTATCTAAGATGAAAGAAATAACAGATGTTAAAGAAAAAATATTTATTTGTGCTGTGATAAGAGTATTAGCAGCATGGCTTACTCAGGAAACAACAGCTATGCGTTCTCAAGTTTATACAGTCTTACCATATGTATTAACAATAGCCAATGACACATTTTATGCGCACAGAAATAGAAAATTGTCAGAGAAGGCTAAAGCAAATGCTAAAATTAAAAGTGATGAAGCAACATCATCTGGAGAATTAGTTACTCATGATCCTTTAAGTGAAATTGACTTGTTGAGACTTCTGTTGCCAGCATTATGTTATTTAGCTATAGAAGAAGATGCTCGAAAGATTTTAATTAAACATAAACAAGAAGAAATCTTGTTTGAATGTTTATCTTATCATTGGACAATTGTACACCATAAAAAGCCACCAATACCAAAAGCAGAAAGATTAAAAGCATTAAAAGAACCAGAAAAAGAAGAAGATTTAGACCTTCACGTATCAGAGGCAATCAAAGATTCAAGGACAGCCATGGTTTCTGTGTGTAATGTTTTAATGAATATTACTGTATTAGAGGCAAAATTAGTGGAGGAATCACCAACATTTATTTCTTTATTGAAATTTATTTTCAATAATCTCCCAGAACTTAAACAAATTCCAGAAAATCTAGTCTTGCATGGTCATCTTGCAGTACTGGGATTACTATTATTAAAACAACAGGCAGCACGTGTCAAGAAAAATGATTTTTCTATATGTCGATACATTCAGGCTACCATAAGATTTTTGTGGGATGCATATATAATTGATGAAAGCAATGATCCCACTGAACTTGTTGTTGCCATGTCGTATAAAGAACGGTGGATGGAACTTATGGAATTATGGTTTCTTGGAATGCAAACAATGGCTGGAGTGTTACAAGTTATACCTTGGCTTTCACAGTTTACTCTTGAATCTGGTTGGGCAGAAGAAATTATTGAAATTCTCAAGAAAATAAAGATAGGAAGTCTTCAGCCAAATGTAAAATTTGCTTTTGAAGATCTGTTGTGTCATTTAGTTAAAGCAGATGAAAATGCTGCTTCTGTTTTGAAGAAACATGGAGCTTTAACAGTATGCAGAAATCATCGTATGATGGAACTTGGAAAACATCTTTTTGGAGACTAAAAACAGTTTAAAAAATTTATATCAATATTCTATTGTTATATTTAAATGAAAATATTATATATCTGCATATTGATAAAATAGCTAAAATATTTAATCTATTCTTTTTAGTTCTTATTAATCTATTCTTATGTTGTTAAGTAATAAGTTTATTTGTGTATATGTTTTTTTTACATTATACTATACTGCATGTTAAAGAAATTATTAATAATTGTCATCTCATCAAAATAACACTTACATATATCCTAGTGATTCATTTCAGCTAAAATTTTATAAACCTGTATACAATCATATATCATATAAAAGTAGGATAGAAATCTGAAAATAGTTTCCTGGCATGCAAAAGAGTTGTCAAATATTTCTATAAGTTAAACAGATTTAATTTATAGAAATAAAAGATAAACTTAAATATTGAAATATATATTAAAGGAGAAACTATTTTTACATTTTATATTAACTCGTAATGTTAAAAAATTTATATAAGTTTGATAATACTTGAAATTAATACAGTTTGTGAATGTATATATTTTAAAAAGTGTTTGTGTATAATGAATATCCTTGTAAAATAATAAATGGTCTTTTTATTAAAAGAAAAGTATTTTAAAAGTATTTTATCTTTTAAATTATTACCTATCTTAGCGTTAGAAAATCTAAATAAATTACATTAAATAAACTTCTCAAATTATATAAAAATTATTTTTTACGTTGCATTTAATACATGGCATACAATCTGCAGTAATAAGTATAAATGTTAACATCCAACAACCATTTAAGTAAAGCTTTTAGAGTTGAAGTAATATAGATTTGTTGTTGGCACAACTGATTTTGTTGTGATTACAGCAACGACCGGGTGCCACTTCGAGTGTCCACTAATCGGCTCGAGTATTTCAATGAATCAATGCATTTTCTAGGTAATCATCAAAAACTGAATTAAGTGACCTAAATTCCTAACTGATCATTTATATCCTTTTTCCCAAGAGTTTAGTTCAGTCATCATAATCCACATTCAATAAACAGTTCCTTTCAAAATGTTAATTACTCCTTGTCATAGATTCTATTTATCATTTTTCCCCAATTATTGAAACGCTATGCTACAAACTGTGTTGAATGTGGAAGTCATCATTTTCCTTTAGTGTGTACTTTATATTTTGTTAATTATTTTTATATTGCTTGATTTATCTATTGTAAAGTAAAAAAAACTGTCTAATAGGTAATATTCTAACTTTATCTGCAGTTGGCTGAGGAACTAACGCAAGACTATGGAATTCCTGAAGATCTATCTGTGAAGATTACAACAACATATTTGAAGCTCTTCAGAAAATGTCCTGATAATACAATTTACACCTTGGATACATGGCGCATGACTTTATGGAGTAAAGCACTAGGAGAAAAATACTCATATTTAGCAAGAAAAATTTATGAACGATGGTTATATCTACGATATTATTATTTGACTCTGGCATCAGATATAGTTTGTATGCTCCGTCAATTGAGGGTAAAATACCTCTTAGGTTTGATTACAAATGGCCCTTCAAATGCACAATGGGAGAAAATACGAAAACTTTCTCTAGAACAATATTTCGATGTAATACTTGTGTCAGGGGATCTACCATGGGAAAAACCTGAAAGTGAAATATTTCGAAAAGCATGTAGAGTTTTAAATGTTAAACCAGACAACTGTGCAATGATTGGTGACAAACTGGAAACTGATATCCTAGGTATTATATATTATTGTATATTTTGTTTATCATACACATTAATTTGCAAATTATTTAAAAGTATTACATTCAAATATTAATTTAATTTGAAAATATTGTATTTTTTTGATAATGAATTAGTATTATAAAGAAAATAATGTAATGATATCAATAATGATTGTTGACAAAATTATTATGTCTAGGTGGAATAAAAGCAAATCTAGGATATACAATTTGGATTCCAACATTGGATAAACCATCCTTATTAAAAAGAGATCTACAACCAAATTTTATTATAAAACACGTCACAGATCTTTTAAGTATTTTAAATGAAGGTCTTGATGTATCAGAATTTGAAGATTCTTCTTCAAACGCATCAGATGGTAGTTGATAAAAGAAGTTATTTTTTAGGTTTTTTAAAAATATTATAACTGCAGAAAATTTTTTTAGAATTTGCTAATTACTTTCTCATAATTAAGTAATTATTATTATTATTATTATTATTATTATTATTATTATTATTATAACTACGATAGTATGTAATGAATATTACATATTGTGAAAGTAATTTATTAAGTGATTTCTATATTTTATCTTGGTATCAAATAGAAAAGAAGTGAAATTATTATTAACTATATTCAAATATATTTGTTATAAATTTCTCTTTAAGGTTGAGAACGAATTTTACATTATTTACATATTATAATAATTATATTTTTAATAGAAAAATCTTAATAAGAGATTATTTAGTTGTTTTCAGACATTACTATTACCTTTATAATGAATTTTATAATGCTTCTGGCTTTTACAGTTAAATTTTGAAGTTTTAGATTATTACTATATAAATTTAGTATATAAATGAGAACAAAGTACAAAGTATACAAATTTATGTACAAAGTACTTTTATATACTGTGTACAAATACATTTTGTATCCTTCTATTAGAATTAAGAAAAAATTTTGTATGAATAATGACAAATAATTGTTTTAATTTTATAGCTACTATATAATACAGAATGTGTGTATTAAATATAATGATCTTTATCATTATCATTGTAAAAATGAATAAATTATATATTGTTATTACATATGCACATCAATAACATATATTTTTTTGTTATATATTTTATTTTATGTTGAAATAAAGAATGACAATGTAAAAGAATTAATAAGGATGAAAATAATGATGTGTAATACTTATTGTAAAACTAATAAAAGAAAGAATAACAATATTAAAATATCTTTCTTGATTGTAAAACAAATATAATTATAGATTAAATATATTTTTTGAATTCTTTTCTTTCAAAAGTATTCTCATAGTTTAGTATTATATAATTATTTTTTATGTTTGTACATCTTTACTCTCTTGTGTTATAAAATCATCGATCATTGAACTCCTTTTTGATTCATCTACTTTGTTTACATTATACGATTCTGTTAAACTGTTATTAAATATGTCAATGTTTTCTCCCATAGCATATTCTTCGTTTGGTTTGAACTAGAAATATTTATATTAATAAATAATAAATAATAAATAATAATTTTTGTAAGTTGCATATCACACTTAATTTACTTAACAAACCAATGATTTGCTTTTAGAAGAAAGTCTTCTATAAATTTTTCGAGCTTCCTTGGGATTGATATCGGCTTCTATTAATGATGTTAGCACATCTCTCTCAGTTATATGTAACTCGGGATTAGCATCAATTAATAGAACTGATTTTCTGCGGCTTAATGAATCACGCCTAATTTCGTCTAGATTCTGATAATCCGTTAATTTTTTAAGAACTCTATTTTCATTTAGAACTTTTGATGGCGTCGGTGGTCGAATTTCAGAAATATTTAATAATTGCTGAGCACATATAAGATCCTCTAATTTTTCTTCCTCTGAAGTATCCGATATATTCAAAGCGAATTTTAACTGATAAATCTCATATAGCATTCGATTCTATTTACAAACATAAAGTATGTTATTTTATATACTTAATATTATTTTGTAAATTTAAGTGAGAATAAGTAATATTATTCTGACCATATCTAGAAGTGTCTTGTTTTCTTCAATGTGCTTGTTAAATACTTCTTGTAGTTCTTTATCAGTGTACAAACCATTGAGTATTATTTCGTGTGTAATATCGTACATAAATTTTGCATACTTCGTTTCTTCATCTTCTGTACATGTTTTGTGACTATCGATTAAGTTAATAGATATTTGAGGAGTTTCGTAATCTCCGTAATTTCTCGATGTATTAATCTCCGATGAAAGATGATTAATGTTTTGTGATAAATAATCACAAGTAGATTCGTAATATATCGAATTTTTTTCAACTCTGCATATATTATTTAAGATAAATAACTTATCAATAAATAATAAATATCTACAATTTGATATAACTTATCAATACAAAATTTATTATAAAATTTCCTCTCACCTATCTTGAATTTTTACCGCAGTTTTCACACTCATGGGATTAAAAACTTTCTTGTCCCTATTAAACCGGGTATAAGATTGTTGCCTTTTATTTTTATTATCTGATATAACTGGCTCTAAACTATTTGTTTTAAAGGTCGATGAACTTGGGCAAGCTACGTGTAGTCTTGATCGTAAAGAGATTTCATTATAATCGTACAAGGGATCAGTGAAGTACTTTTGATCTTCATGCTGGCAGTAATACTTTGAGTTCATTCTTAAAAAATCCTATTAATTAATCATAAAAGAATGATTTGAATTTACATATTTTACGTGTAACTTTTTTGAACAATTAAATGAGTTACATATGAACAATTTACCGCTGGATAATACGAAGTATCATACGCCAATCTATCAATTATATTATTTTTAATTTCCGTTTTTACATATCGTGGTTTCCAATCTATTTGTTTACACGTCTGTTTTCTTCTACGCATGTAGGTTTTGTTTCTAGCATCAACAGCACATTTTGCTAATAAAACACGTCGCAAATGCAGGCTCATAGAATTATACGCTGTTAATTGTTCGAAATAACTCTGTCCATTTTGATTGTATGCTATGTATAACATAAATTTACAGGTTAAACAAAGAATTTTTTTCTATTTTTTCTCAAATAATGTAAAAAATCGATACTTCTATCAAATCGAAAAATATGGTACAACGAAAGAAATTTTTCATACCAGTGCTTTTAAGATTAACTTCACTCTTATTGCATCTTGTCATTTTTTCAGGCTTACAATATTTGTCGATTGTGAGTCTTATGCTTATTGAAAATTCAACGTATTAATTAAAAAAAATAGGTCAAAAATGCTAAACAATTAATGAAATAACACTAACAAAAATTTATATTTTATTAACGGCACTAAAAATACTGTAAAGTACATACACACATACATTATATATATATATAAACATATATAAATACAAGTTTAAAGTTGTTACTATAGAGTTACTAAGCAACCTCATTCTTCATTTTATGCTAGATATGATTAATTATGACAAGAATTTGAATTTTTTTATGGCTATAAATAAAATTTCTCTGACTTTTTTTTACAATTCTGATATATTAATATTCTACATAAATAATTATGTTTTTAATAATTTAATGTATTCGTATAAAATTAATAATAATGAAGTTTTGAATTTATATATTAGAAAAAAAAGATTCAGATTAATTTAATCATAAACAAGATACATTTTTTGTGCGATTCTGAATTTCGCAGCTTCAATTTATCTCTGCACATATTTACCACTATGTTACATACACATGTATGTTTCTTACCACATCTACTTATATATATATATATATATATATATATATATATACTTTGTCTGTGACTGTATAATTTGGTTGTGATTGAATAATTTGATTTTATGCTTGTATCACGATTGTGTTACCTACAACCGGTAAGTGAAATTTATATCAATTTTTCAATTTAGTAAATTTATAATTGTAATAATAAATTGTATATGTATACGTATATGTAGGTATATCAATATGTATAATTTTAAGAGCAAATGTTAAGTAGAAATCATAATTAGAGATAAGTATGTAAATTACATACTTTCGAGTAATATATATTTATATGATTTATCATTTTTTCTTGCAGGTTTATTTGATTTTAATGATTCATTACCGATATGATATCCAGAAAAATTGGAGCCATAACCTAAAATTAGGCATGTGCAAAGAATCGTAAATAGTGAAATATGCAAATTAAAAAACCTATTACAATGTATAATGTCTATGAGCAGTTAACTATTAAAGATATAGCAAATTGGGTCGCCTCTGGAGCAATAATATTTGGTGGTATTATTCCATATGTACCACAATATAGAGAAATTAAAAAAAGGAATAGCGCAGAAGGATTTTCTCTTTATGTATGCTTTACACTTTTAATAGCTAATACGTTACGTATTTTCTTTTGGTTTGTATATCTGCATCATATAAAAATCCGCTTTCATTTATTATATCAATTAATATACAATATAGTGTGTATTTTTCACAGGTTTGGAAAACATTATGAAATACCTCTTTTATTACAAAGTATATGTATGATTGTTACTATGTTTATAATGATTAAACTGTGTATAAATGTACAAAGCAGAAATCAAGTAATAAAAGCTAGAGAACGTGTATTCTCAGGTATATCTAACTGTAGGGGAAAAACAAATTATTAACATATACAGTAATGTATCCTTAATTTATAACACTTACACAGATTTTGATGCAAATTTTTTTTGGAAGTGGACAGATTTTCAATCTTACGTAGACTTCATGCTGTTGTTTGCAACATTAATAGGAGTTCTAACATATCTACTAGTGGATGTACCAATATTTGTTGAAACTATAGGATTACTTGCAGTATTAACAGAAGCCATGCTTGGAGTACCACAATTCTTGCGTAATTTTTTTAATAAATCAACTAATGGAATGAGGTATGAAATTACAACGACAATGCAGTTACCTAAATAACATTTATAAGATAACTTTTCTGTAATTCCAGTATTGTTATGGTTGCAATGTGGACATTAGGTGATGCATTTAAAACGTGTTATTTTGTTATAAGAGAAGCTCCAATTCAATTTGAAGTTTGTGGTACTCTTCAAGTTATAATTGACATTGCAATTCTAACACAGGTATATATTTATCAAAGTATAACAACAGTACATACTAGAGTTCCAGTTCGAGTTGATTAAAAATAATCCTAGTGCTCCATTTGTGAATGTAACAAATTTTTTTCTATAACTTTCATTAATTAAAAGATTTATCTATGTTATAGATACATATGTATTTATATGTACATTTGATTGTACAAAAGAAAAAAAAACAAGATGAAATACATAATATATTGTAAATAAGCATGTATCAAACTAACATTTCTGATTTTTACTTGAAGGATAAATTATATTTTTTTAATTATATTAAACTTTTGATACATTTTAATTATATTACAATGTACAAATTTTATTAAATAAAATTTTGTTAATATAAAAAGAAATCAATTTCAGTTGATAATTATCATTTAATTCTATTATATATTTAAAAAAATATTTATTCATGCATTTCATAGGTTAAATGAAATATACGAAGAAAACTGTGAATACAATTACAGAAGATCACAAATTAATTTCTTTTCTTTTTTTTCAAATTAAAATTTAATTTGTTTTTTTTTTATTATCATATCTTAAGCTTAGCATTAACACGGGATTACTCACCTGGGGGTCTAGTGTAGGTATATCCCGGCACTAGACCCCCACGTGGGTAATCCCGGGTTAATATAGAAGACATTAATCATATTGTTTAATCTACTTAATTACGCAAATTAAATTTAACTAGCTATCTACGTATAAATTATTTATAAAAACCTTATAATTTAATATCATTGACTTTGTAATAAATTTCTATCGCACAGGTGCATTAAACATTCCAAAATACGGATGATTTGATTATTTTATAAACACTGAAACACTAACTAGCAGTGAAATGGTGAAACTAACAATTAGTTAAGGTTAAGTAGAAACAATCAAAATTTTCATTTTGATGCAAAAAAAATTAGTTAGAAAGGTTAATTTGTAAACGTTGATAATTGCATTTTCTTAATTAGATTCTTAGCTTTCTTTTATATTTCACTCAATCTGACAAACGTACATGCAAATATTTATAAATTTATCAAGCAATAGATTAGAATCTATTCATACAATTGCTTATAAATTACATTCGAAATTTAAATCAAAATTATACATGAACGTATAGTTAAAGATCTCAATTTTGAAATGTATAATCATTATTTATTGATTCAGATACATCACAGAATTATTTAATAGCAAATATTTCTTTTCAATGTATTATTAAGTAGATATTTAATATCATTATGTTAGTAATTTTTTTGTTTAAAGGATAAGGAATTATGACATCTACATAGCTTTCTGTCTTATGCTCATTTTTGGTAATCTTTTCCTATTTCTTTTGCTTACAATTTTTTTTTTCTTTTAGACATACAACACTGTTTTTAGCTAAATTCCAAAATCCCGAATTACTGAGCTTATGCTTATGTAACTTAGGTCAAGTAAAAATTTCAGATATAATAGGAATTTGAATACTGGACTGCTAGAGTCCATTTATTGTTTTGAGTTTTGTAAAGTAATTAATGAAAATATGTTTAGTTGAACTTCCTATTAATCGGTTTATAAATCTTATAGCTGCGTAATAAATCCCAAGGTATAAAAAACATCCCAATTTTTTTCGACATCCTATTTTATCTTGTATCAATGCAGAAACTTTATGTAGGAACATTTAGGATTTATATCATGTCCACATTCACAATGATTGGTTGTAGCTATTAGTTTTAATTTACAAGCTTTTTGAACACTTTCAAAAAAGAATGCTTGACTTAACATATTTGTCGACTAATCAGTTTCAACTAGAATAAAAGCATTGATACAACAAGTCATTATTATTATTAATTATTATTTTTATGCAAAATTTATAATATACGTATAGATTATATCAGTCCGTGATTATAGGTTATAATAATTTTGTTAAAAGATAATTAATTTTAAGTAAAAAATCTGATGTCTGTTACATAAAGAAGTACACACATGTATTTGATTATTCGTATTTCTATAAATGTATTAAAAGATCATTTAAAGTATAATTTGAATTTAGTCAATTTGAAGTACATTGATTTCAATAGCTTCAACAATTTGATTATGATATTTATCAATGAAATTTATATTAAAATTAATTTATATCTATTAATTATAATTATAGCTAAACGTTGTAATGGGAGAGAGCCAGTGGAATGATTGGAAACCTTTTATTTATGGAGGTGTAGCTTCAATTGTTGCAGAATTAGGTATATGATGTAATACCATCTAATAAAGTTATGTATCATCATTTCTATAAATATATTTCTGCTTAGGTACTTTTCCGTTGGACACAACAAAAACACGTCTTCAAATTCAAGGACAAAAATTAGATCAGAAATATGCACATTTGAAATATTCTGGCATGATTGATGCTTTATTTCAAATATCACGACAAGAAGGTTTTAAAGCTTTATATTCTGGGTAAGTGTAATTTTTATATACACATAATTTGCTACTAATTAGTAGAATATCATTATTTTATTAATAATAATCTTTTTATTATATAGAATTAGTTCAGCTATATTACGACAAGCCACTTATGGAACTATAAAATTTGGTACCTATTATTCCTTAAAAAAAGCTGCTATGGATAAATGGGAAACAGATGACTTAGTTGTTATAAATGTCGTATGTGCTGCGTTAGCTGGAGCTATCTCAAGCGCTATAGCAAATCCAACTGATGTAGTTAAAGTTCGTATGCAAGTAACTGGAAGTAACTCAAATTTATCATTATTTGGTTGTTTTCAAGATGTATATCACCATGAAGGTATTTCTGGTTTATGGAGGGTATGTAAATTGATTATACATTTTAACAATATAAATATATATGATTTTATATAAAAAAAAAATTTATATGCAGGGTGTAGGACCTACTGCCCAAAGAGCAGCAATTATTGCAGCTGTAGAGTTACCTATATATGATTACACTAAAAACAAATTTATGATTTTATTGGGAGATAGTGTTAGTAATCATTTTATGTAAGTAAATTATATTCACATATATTTTATTTAATTCTATATTGTTCTTTGGTGATAGATGTATATTGTATTAAAACAGTTTATTTGAAAACTAGTTTAAATTGTGTACAAGTCTTTTTTTTAATATCAATATAATATAATAAATAAACCCTTATCCGGGCTATTTTCATATAGATGTAAAATATATTTTACTTCTATCATACTAACAAATACTTCATGATATTTTTAAAGCAAACAAATTTCATGTGCTCTTTTACAGTATGTGATGTCATGTGAGTATATTTAAATTAAAATTATGTGTTAATTTTATTTTACAATCCTTTCAATAACATTTTATAATTTTTAATACTAAAATTATTTATTACATCTCATTAAAAAGTCTTTCCATTTATGTTCTTTGATAACACAAACTGGTATGATAGATATGTGTAACTGATGAACAAAAAATCTTCATATTTTAATTTTAAAATGTCTACATAATATAAATGTTTTTTTAAGAATGGCAGGTAATGGATATTTCTAAATCAAAAAATTTGTGCTCCTCAATATTAATACTGGTTAAAAAGGAAGTAATATTTTTCTAAAAGTGAAAAATTTTATTTCCAGGTTCTTTCACACTGTGGTGCACATGGGCACATGCAGTACGTGGACATTAAGATGACCACAGAGAAAATGGAAGTTATGTTTAATATTTCTTGTTTATATATAAATATTAAAACTGTTATCCAGATAACTAATCACTTTGAATTGCATAATGAATTGTTTCATTTAGTATTTCATGTAAATTTTCTTAGAGTTACTCAAAATTATACTGTTTAGTTTCGTCTTCATTTTGTTATATATTTCTTTATTTTTTTCTTAAATATTTTTTTCTTAAATATTATTTTTAAGTATCTTATATGTTCTTTATAATTTTGAGAGACATCACGCTGTATTTTTCAATTTATAGAGCCTGGATAAGGGTTGCTTTAATATGGTATAATGAAATAGGATTTCAAATTGATATTGAATATATGTGTAGTTATATACATATACACATAATTACATATTTTAGGTCCAGTTTTATAGCTAGTATGGGAAGTGCAATTGCTTCTACTCCTATAGATGTTGTCCGTGTAAGTATAATTAAAAAATGTTTTACAATCTGTATATTTTACTTAAATGATGTCATTACAGACACGTTTAATGAATCAAAGGAGGATACGTACCACAGGTGGCACATTACCACCTCATATTTATAGTGGTAGCATAGATTGCCTTGTACAGGTATATGATTTGAAATATTAAATATATATTTCTTACCCTTCTCAATAATATCATGCAAAATTGTTCTTATAGACTTTCAAAAATGAAGGATTTTTAGCTTTATATAAGGGTTTCGTACCTACTTGGTTTAGAATGGGACCATGGAATATCATATTTTTTATAACATATGAACAATTGAAGCAACTGCATAATTCACATTTAAATAATGTATCGGATCGTTCAAGTAAATAGTAAATGGAAGGAAATGATGTGTGTATAAAAATATAAAAAAATAATGGTAGTAATGATAGGCTGTAATTGACATTTATAATGTATAATTTATTTTTATGCAAGATACATAAAAAAACTATACAGATAGTATATCAAAAATAAATAGAATTTATTTTCCGTAATATTGAAATTACAATCATTAATGAAAGTACTCATAGCAAAGGATATAAAATACCTAGTTAAAAAATCATGAATATTCATCATTTGATCTATAATTTAAAACGCACACATTCACATTTTATAGATTAAATGCAACTTCTTAATTTTCTAGGTTTAAATATAATTATTATAAATTATATTAATTTTATGTTCCTTGTATTTAAATTTACGTTTTTATAAAAAAATAAGACTGAGTGTTAGAATTTATAAAATATATCCAAAGAAATTGTAAAAACTATACATATCATTATATATAAATTCATGCATAAAAATTTGTTAAAGACTCAAGTTTGCAAAAAGCATATCTTAAAGAAACAGTATTTTAAATGTATTCATAATGTTTGTATTTAAGACCTTTTATAATCTGTTAGGAATGGATAACTATATGACATAAACTATACTAAAATATTATAAATGTACAACAGATGATAGACTATTAATATGAATATTGTAACAATTTTAAATGAATACAATATGTATATGCTAAATAACTTTTCTGCTATATTATATTTTCTAAAATGAAAAGTTTTACTATAAATTGATAATGCAATTTATAACTACAAAATCTTTCAGTCATTATAGATATTACAACATGACTTATACATTTTTACAATCCCATACAATTATTTTCCTATCTCTTCCACCAGTTAAAACTATATTATTTTCTATTGATACTGATAATGTATTGATTGGACCTAAAAAATAATGGTCTTTTTAGTTATTAATAAAATTATATATAAATTGAATATTTAATTTTTTCATGTAAGTGTAAGAAATTAATATATAGAATAGATACTGTACCATCATGACAACGTATTTGTGTGATAAAAACTGCACCTTGGCGGTTCCAAACATTAATATTACCATTATTATCGCCTATTAATAAAAAACTTTTGAACCATGTTAGTGTTAAAGGTTCATATTCTATAGTTGTACGATAAATTTGAGTACTTGTATAAACATCAATTATATTTAGTACTTTATCCTCTGCACATGATATTATGCTTTTCCCTTCTTGATCAAATACCATTGCATTTATTTTACAATTATGAGCTATAGAAAATGAAGTGAATATAACTTTTATTTTAATATTATAATTGAAAAAACAGTTACTTCGAAATGTACCTTTTGCAGTAAATTGCAAATTATACGTATCCATATTCCATAAAAAAATTTCTCCATCTTCTGTACCAGATACTAATAGCGTTTCATCTCTACAAATATTTCACTAATAAAGATTTTTTGAGTAAAATACTATCATTATATTTTATTTACAAAGTATATGAAATTTTACCCTGATATATTGATACAAGTTACTTTAGCATCATGATCTAATTGTGCAATAAGGCACTCAGCTGGCTTAATTTTTGTCCCAGAAGTATAACTCTGCCATACTTTTGCTGTACAATCCCATGAACCAGAAATAATAATCCGACGAGTAACACTTAATGCTAAACAAGAAACAGCATCTTCATGTCCTTGTAGTACATCTATTACTCTGCCGAACTCAATATCATAAAATATGCTATAAAAATAATTAATTAATAGAAGTATAAAAATAATTTAATTAATAGAAATATGAAACGTACACGTGAAATATTTATTTAATATGCTTACAGTGTATTATCCCAGGAACCGGCAACTAATATGTTACGATGAGAAGATGTATAATATGATACACAAGAAGAAAGAGGTAATGATGATAAAGATACATTACGCGTTAATTTTTTGTTTTTTATGCTATATAATTTAAGCATTCCATCTTGTCCAACTGATATTACTTCATTAATTTCTTCTTTACTTCTTAAGATAATGCTGCTTACGCTTTCTTTATGAGATTGGAACATTATTAATTCATGTAATTTAAAAGTTTTCTCTATAGGATTTTCTTTGTCTTCTGAAAGAAATTGTTTTTTATCATATGTATTCATAATGCATTTTATGAATTGAAATAATATGTCATATACCTATTTCATTCTCAATTGATACTGAAATAGTTTTAGTATGCAATTTATTTAGCATAAATACAGAACGCTTTGGGTGTGGTAAAGTAAAAATTTGTTTTGGTATTTGACCAAATTCCATGATTTGTATCTCCAAACCATGTCTATCATTAATATCTCTAATAGTATCTAAATCTACTGCTCCTTCATAACATAAATGGAAAAATACTGAAATACAATATATATGATAAAATAAATGTTATTTATTAGAACTTTTATAATTAAATAAATTACCATTATTAGCTTTCTCTGCTTCAATTCCTCTTTGTTTATATCCAAAAATTAAATCAATCCAATGATGAAGATTTTGAGAAACATAATCACTCTCTAAGGCATTTCTTAATACTTGTACAAAATGAACTGGTCCTAGGATTCATTAACTAATTAACATTAAATTTTAAATAATTGTTTCTTGTAAATTATAAACCACATACCATTTGCCCATAGTGGTAACTGTACATCTCCTATTTTTGTTCCATCATGTCGATAACCAAAATCAATACCATAACTGTTTACTAAAAAATCACCACCATTGCTTATGTCATAAAATTCCGGGATCAGTTCTTTAAAGTCAGACATGTTCACCAAAACATTTTTCCATACGTCAGCTACACTGTTAGGTGTTTTTGTTGGTAAGAGTGAAACAAAAAATCGATTCTGCAGAGTCGACAGAGTAATTATGTACTTTTACAATATAAGCAATTACCATAAAATTTTGCCTTGTCTGTGCAATTAAAAATTTTATTCACATACTCTTATTATCATTACTAGACGAATATTTTACTATTACCACCATTACAAACATCAGGAGATTGTGATGTTAACACTCTTAAAGAATCACAACAATATATATTTTTATAAAACATACATACCTATTAAACATTCTATCTGGATGATCAAATCTTCCATTTTGTAAACAAAGCATATATTGAGGATACTTCCGTACTAAATAAAATAATACAAATCCTGGTGCGCTATAATGAGACCCATATAAAAATTTTGGTTCAGACATTTCCAAATATCGTTCCTGAAATATAATAATTTTACTATTATCTTATTCCTGACATATATATTTTAGGTATCAGGAAAGAAATACACCTTTAATCTTTCTAATCGATTTAGTTCAAGAGCTCCAATAGGTTTTGAGAGATCTCTATAAATACTAGGATCATTTAAATCTATTGCGGTAGATGTATAATCTTGTAATATCCAAGGCATAACTGGATATTGAGTTAAATCATGGAAAGTTCTATCTGCCAAACTGAAAAATAATATTTAACTTAAATTGTAATATATAGTTTAATATTTATTTCAATTATTTATTATTATAAAAGTTACCTATTAATATACAAAAGATAATCATAATTTGACAAAGAACCATTTTGCCACCTCATAGTCATTTGATCTTGAGGTACTCTTTCTAAAGAAACTGTAGGTTGATTTAATAAATTTGTGTATAATTCATCCCTATCATTTTGACTTTTTAACGATATAAATAAATGTTCAAGCTTATTTTCTGGTTGTCGTAACCATTTAATTTCAAGTCCCTATTTTCAAAACAATTGATATATATTAAATTGTAATAATCATACATTGATAATAGTAAAGAAACTACACTTACAATTTGGCTTAACAGAAATCGTCGTTTATTAATGTTAACAATATCCTTCAGTTGTATTTTTAAAACTGGATGCTAAAATCATACAATTATTTAGATGTATTACAGTATTTAGGAAACAAAATGGTTATATTTTTGATCGCTGAGGGCGAAAATCAAGATCATTTTTTACAGAAATGAACAATTTTCGAGATATTCGTAAAAAAATTGTCAGTACCCCATTACAATGAATTTTGTTAACATATACTTATAATGTTGCAGTGTATATATCAATATTGATTACCGGCTGCATTACGGCAACCGACTAAAATGAAATCTAATCTAAACTTTTTTTTCTTTTATTTTTAGTTATATGAGAGATTCACTGCTGCACAGGGGCGAACAATTGCCATTCACTGTACTTGTGGCTGTATCACAGATACGTTTACTGTAATGGTATCAATAAATTTTTACGAATGTCTTAAAAATTGATATTTTCACATTTTCATGAAAAATGACCTTGATTTTCAATGATACAAAATACCTCTAAAATAACAAATTTGGATCAAAAATTTTGCTTTCCAACTACAATAGTATAGCCAACTATTTTTTCAATAACTTACTTTAATGATTTTATCATTACCATTGTAAAATACATACTTGATCTAAATTATTATAAGGTTGAAAATAAATTCTTGAAGTCGTTAAAAGTATTCTTCCTGGATTTATAACAAGAGGCAATACTTTATTTGCTTGAGTTTCTAGTACTACCTGTTCATATAAATCTTCTAACCATGATGTATCAAATGATACTCTGGATTGTCTAGAGTGCACAATAGCCATAATCTACATAATAATAATAATAATAATAATAATTTAGTCATATTTATCTCAAAGATTTTAACATAATAATATACATAATAACTTTAAAACATACCATGGCATTTTGTTCAGCTGTTGGCAAAGTAGCTGCTCTAAATAACTGGAGAATTTGTGGAAGACAATCATCTATTTTTGCATAATAAAAATAGAAGTGAAAAGTAGCATTTTGATGTATAAATTTATATGGTGCAAGTATATTTTTTTCTAACATCTTCACATACTGTTTGCATTTGACCAATAATATATTGCCACATCTTATAAATAGAATGATATTTGTTAATACAAAAAAAATTATTGTAATTGTATAAGAAAAGTTAGAAATACAAACTTTGCTATATCATTGTTAGACTGACATTGGTCAATAGCTATAGTTTCCTTAAGTTGAATTTTAATTAGAGATTGATTAATATCTTTGTTTACAAATACCAAGGATTTTGAACATAATTTTAATCTCCCATCTTTCCATTTTTGTTCTTCTGAAGTAGAAGAATTATCAACTACTTTCATTTGAACACTATAATCCTCAAAGAATATCTCTCCAGGATCCAAAAGGAGCATTGTAAACCTGATGCATTAATTTTAATATATTATTGCATAATTTAAAAAAAATATATTATCACATGTATATTTTAAGTTAATAAAATATGAAAAATATCAACTAGAAATTGATTATACTTATAGAAATACACATATACAACTAGAAAAAAAATTGAATTACCTTTCTTTTTCCATAATTTCAAAAACAAATGCAACTTATTATTAAATATATAGAATAAATGATACGCATAATTTAAATGTATACTTTTTATCCACCAAATTTACGTAATCATTTCTCAATAAATAAAATACAAAATTTATTTTAGGTTAATGACAGTATGAATCATCACATACGTATATACTATCTATGTACCGTCTGCTCAGACAACTATTCATCCAAACAACATGGTTTGTTCTATTTTGCGTATCTCTGCAGTATTCAATTTAAGCCCATAAAAATTTAAAAATCGAAGAAGATAAATAGTTGTGATTACTTAATTGAAAATCATATCAAAGTACAGCTTTATATGATTATAAATATATAAGTCCTCAATATATTTTTCTTTTTCATAGCATTCTTTGAAGTGGCATGACTCACTTAAAAATACTGTACTAAATTGAAATACGAAAACCGTGTGATCGTCATTGAGCACCACTGGATTTTAAAGAGAAACGAAAGAAGAGTCGAATATATTCAGATCCCTTCGTCTTATTTCTCAAATCACGCATATCATCAATACGACAAACCGGTGATCTATAAATCAGTCACTTTTGAATTTGTTCGGATATTTCCTTTTTTTTTCATAGTGATTTTGTTTACGATGGAGGAATTGCTGAAATATTTACACAAGATTAGAATACCGCAGAAAAATGATAAAATATATAAGGATGAGTGTGTTTATTCCTTTGATACTCCAGTAAGATGTCATAACGATTTTACAATTATAGACGATAATACAATAATATAACGAATATAATCATTTTTATTGTTTTTTCTTTTAAGGATACTCCTACTGGCCTGTACATTAATCTTACCACGTTTTTGGGATTAGGTCAAGATTATATACAACATTATTATCAATTAACAGAAAATCCTGTGTTCTTGCATATTAAAAGAAGAAGAAAAGAAGTGAGTATTTTAGTATATCTGGTGAGAAATATTGAAGCATAACATAGCATAAAAATATGAATTGTTTGTATATAATGCAAAATATTAATATTTACAGATTCCTTCTAAATACCAAGATGGCCCTGAAAAGAAAATTACTAGATTAGCAATAGGAACAGCAGATGGATTTACACCGGATCAACAAAAATATACTTACCATGAATCCTATCAAATTATTATTCTACCAAATTTTACCACAATACCTTATCCAACGGATAATTTACCACAAGAAGTAAGTGTTGTATAAAATAAAATTAAAATTAAGAGCAAATATAATTTACATGGAAAATTTACATAGGTTGAAGTTGCAATTAAATGTATATTGGAAGCAGAATCTGCAACAAAAATAGCAGAAGTAGAGGCATTAGCTGGAACCTGGGATGGAGAAGTGAAAGCAGTTTCAAAGTAAGAATAAAATTTCAAGCATGTATTAACAAAATATTCATTGTTATTTTAAGTAATTATTAAATTTATAGACATGCAGCAAGTCTTAAACAATTAGATAATGGAAAGAAGATACCACCTAGTGGATGGAAATGTGAAAAATGTGATTTAACTCAAAATCTCTGGCTTAATTTAACTGATGGTAGCATTCTCTGTGGACGTAAATTTTACGATGGGACAGGTGGAAATGATCATGCAGTTGAACATTATAGAGTTACCGGTTACTCGTTAGCAGTAAAATTAGGAACTATAACGAAAGAAGGAAAAGCAGATGTATTTTCATATGATGAAGATGATATGGTAGAAGATCCAAAGTTAGTAGAACATTTAGCTCATTGGGGTATTAATATTGCCCAAATGGAGAAAACTGATAAATCTATGATAGAACTCGAATTAGATCTCAATCAAAGATTTGGTGAATGGGTTGCACTTCAAGAAGCAGCAAGTAAATTAACACCTTTGTATGGTCCTGGGTATACAGGACTTGCTAATTTAGGAAACTCTTGTTACTTAAACAGTGTGATGCAAATGCTATTTGTGATTCCAGATTTTATTAAAAGGTTTGTAAACAAATAAGCAAACTTAATATATGAATAATTTTATACTGTATGGGAAAGAAATTTATTTGGTATTATAATAATTATTGAATTAATGTGTTTGATGTTTTATATTATATGTTTTTTTTATAATAGGATCAGTGTTTAATAATAGGAAGTGAATTTCAGATTTGTAGATGGTGCACCACAGATATTTCAGCAGAATTACATTGATCCAGCAAATGATTTTAATGTTCAAATGTAAGTTAAAAAGATAAAAGTATGGCATGCAAATTCAGTTAATAACTTTAAGATACAAGAAACTAACATTATAGGGCTAAACTTGGAATTGGTTTACTTTCTGGTAAATATTCTGTCCCACCAAATACAAATCAGGAACATGAATCACGTCAAGGTATTCCGCCACGAATGTTTAAAACGTTAGTTGGTCGTGGACATCCAGGATTTTCTTCAAATCGACAGCAAGATGCGCAAGAATTCTTTCTTCACATCATAAATATCATAGATGTAATTTTGTTATATTTTATATTTTTATATTTTGATATATAAAAATATTATTTCATTTTTCATAAGAAGTTACAATACTAATATCAGGAAATTGATCGCACAGCGTCACAGTCGTCGTCAAAAAAATCCTACTGATTGTTTTAAATTCCAAGTTGAAGAAAGATATCAGTGTAGCTGGTCTAACAAAGTAAAGTACACTTATCGTACTGAATATTTATTGCCACTTCCAATACCTGTAGAAACTGCCGTAAATAAGGTAACAAACAAAGAAATAATTTATATAACTTATAAATTTTAATTAGAAAATTCATGTTTACATAATGCATATTATATATAGGATGAAGTTGCAGCTTATGAAGCATTAAAAAACGAAACTGAAGCGAAAGGACAAAAACTGGATTCAAATGCTCTTGTCAGACCACGCATAAAACTATCATCCTGTTTGCAAACATTTATTCGGCCGGAAACAGTAGAACAATTTTATAGTTCAGCTTTAAATGAGAAGACAACAGCGCAAAAGTACGTTTTGATGTATATAATGTTTACTGTATATAATTAATAAGTGTATTTTTTTTATAGAACTACTAAACTTTCTACTTTTCCGGATTATCTATTAATCCATTTAAAAAAATTTATGATGAAAGAAGATTGGACACCAGTTAAGTTAGATATAGCAGTTGAAATGCCAGATATATTAAACTTAAATTTTCTTCGAGGATTTGGTTTGCAACCCACAGAAGAATTACTGCCGGAAACAGTTGGTGCCGCACCTCCGCCATTTGTTTATAATCCCGTGATATTTAATGAGTTAACAGATATGGGATTTCCACAAGAAGCTTGTAAAAGGGCACTATATTTTACGGAAAATTTATGCTTAGAAGCAGCTACAAATTGGCTAATGGAACATATGGCGGATTCAGATTTCGCAGATCCGTTTGTACCACCTGGAATTGATGTTAAACCAAGTAACAAATCGTTTTCTTCAAATTTCTCTATTAATAAATTTAATGACATTCATATTTGTTTTCATTTGTTCAATCCTAGAAAAAGATAAATTTATGGCAAATGAAGATGCTGTGGCTATGTTAATGGGAATGAGTTTTACGAGAGAACAAGCAACAAAAGCGCTTAAAGCGACTGATAATAATTTAGAACGTGCAGCAGATTGGATTTTCAGTCATCAAAATGAACTGGATGCTTTAGAGGTTGAAGATGAAGCAAGACATTCCAAAGAAACATTTAGAGACGGAACCGATCGTATGTTCTTCTTTTTTAATATTTAATAGTATAAAAAATTATTCATATCAATATTATATTTTCACATTTCAGAATATAAATTAGTAGGATTTATATCACATATGGGTACATCGACAATGGTAGGACATTATGTGTGCCATCTTCTGAAAGATAATCGATGGGTGATCTATAATGACGATAAAGTACGTATTACAAGTATAAAATAAATTATAATATGGTAGAAGTATTTATTTGAATTTATTTGAATTCAACAGGTTGCATTATCTGAAAATCCACCAAAAGAATTAGGATATGTATATCTATATCAACGTATTGATTAGATCATACAATTATTTTGTATAAAAAATGTATTCTATTACACTTCAACAATAAAAAATATAATAAGTAAGAAATTTGTATCTTTTAATTTGGAAAAAATTTGGAAGCACATAAATGACTTATTGTTTGTGCTTATAATTGCTGATAATTTTATATAAATAAAAATATATAGAGCGTTAATTTTTGTTAACAATGGCACCATTTTATGACATGCTATATAATTTTACATTTTCTACCAATTCATACAGCATTATTAAAACATAACATTAACATTAGAAAAATTTTAATATAATAATGTCAAATTTTTCACTGACATTCAACTTTTTATTATGCTCAGTGTAAAATTTGATTAATCTATATATTATTTTTAACATGAATATAAATTGTATTTTATAAATCTTATTAAATTTTCACATAATATATAAATATTCAACGACGGTGTAAAAATATATTTTCAAAAATACTTTAAGTAAAATGCCACATTTTAAACTACTGTATCAAAGAATGATACTTTTAAAGCAATACTGTGTTAATTTTCTTAAGATCTATGTATCATTCCAATTTAAAAATTTACAACTTATTCACATGAGTAATGCATTTAATTCTTATAAATGGAATGCATTACTTTTGATTATTTTGTACGTATTTACACAAAATAGTTTTGTTATACACTATAATCTCTCAATTAGAGAGTTTTTTTCCATTACTCGATATAGTATTTGTAGCTCGCATATTTGCACTAAAAATGTTTTGTTATTAAATTACTGTATTGTCGTTTGTTTTTGACTTACGAGTCTATTAGTGTTTTTAATATTATTTGTACATTAGTAGAATAAAAAAAATATTTCCACAAAAATATTTTTGTAAAAACATTAGTATATAGAATAATTTAATTTTAATATTTATGATAAAATATTAAAAAGGCAGTTGAAGTACTGTTTTAATTGGCGGTTCTAGATTGTAACCTTGTATTAGCACTTCCATCAATTATGCCGATTGATGGCGGAATGGCATATATGATAATTTCACCATCTTTCTTGAATGTTGGTTCTTCAACTTCAGGTTGTACTTCTACTCGTAGTACTTTACTCTTATTTCCTAGCATACATTTAAGTTTTACATCCACTGTAACTTGTAAATCAGCGGAACGTAATCTAGTATAAAATATAATATTTTAATACATATTTCACCAGTAAAATTTTGTAAATAAAATTTTAAGAAATGAGGAAGGAAATGTACTCACTGATTGTATCTATTACTTAAAATTCCAACAAGTTCTCCAACTCTGTCATCTTTTGCAATGATTGACATAATAAAATCGTTTCCTCGATTTGAATGAATTGTTATAAGCTGGTCCTTTCCAGGTGATACACTTAAACCTGTTATTTCTGTTATTGGCATACCTTTTTTCATGTTTTTGAATTTAAGACTTTCAAGTTTATATATTGCGTGTTCAGTAACGACCAATACACGATCTTTTGGTTTATTAAATCTATAATTATAATTCATTTAAAATGGATTTTATAAAATTCAGCATGTAATATAACTCTTCATACAAACCTGTTGGTTTTTCTAATAAATGCACTAAATAGAACTGCTTTGAAATGATCAGTATTGCGAAGATTATTTATTGAAGAGTTAAAAATATCACTAAGAGGATTTTCATCTGGTTTGGAAAGATAATTTCCTTCCCAGCGTCTATCTTGTCCCCAATAAAGTCGCTTTGAACGCAAAACTACTCCCGCAGCCATCTAAAATTATGTTAATATCAAAAATTGGATATAAAAATCAAATATTCTGACCAATGATATACATACTTTTAATCGTAGCTGAGGCCAATCCTCTCTAGGAATAAGTCTAAGAATCATCCATGCCCACCATCTTTCGTACATTATTTTTAAAGTAAATATTATATGTTTTACAGCAAAATTTTCACGAGGCCAAGGTAAATGTTTACCATAATCTCGCATTGTTTTTGCATTTCGAAACGTTTTTTCTAATTCTTTAATATAAGTATACATTTTATATTTTTGATAGTATTTCATTATGATAAGGACAGCTTTCATTTTTTTATATTTTTGACGACATAAATATCCTCTCCATTGTTTTTGTAATAATATTACAATACCTGGGATCAAATTGCTACGTGCCTAGAAATAAATATTTTGAAGAATTTGTTCCAATATTAAAAAAATAGACAAAACTAAATAATACAAACCTTTTCTAATGCAAAAAGCGTTTGAGGTGAACGAATAAATATTTTAGTGTGTCCATATTTTACATCATTACTAAAACCTTTTTCATCCATTAATGTACGTACACCATCTTTGTCATTTCCACCTCTAAAATTTGGCCAAGTGTATTGAGATATCATTTTATACCTGACATAAACAATTTCATTAATAATACAATCTAAAAATTTTAACACGTAATAATCATATTATTTTTTCGTATAGGAAATATAAAGTACAAATATAAATACCGTTTTAAAAATGTGTCATATCGTTGACGATACACAAAACCCGCTCTTCTAACTAATACATTTTCGAGAAGACCTAAATATCGTACTTGATGATTTACTCTTTCTTCATCAAATACAACTGGTGATTTAACTTCATTAGGTTTTATACATCTGACATAAAATGGTTCTTTGTTTGTTAAATTCTTAACAAGTGCTATCATTGAATTACGAAAAAGAGTTCCAGCTGTTAAAGGTCTCTTCGTTGTCTGAAATAAAATAGCATAACAATGAAAATAATTTAATAGACAAATGTGGAGTAAATGTATTTACATACTTTCAAAATATTTTGTGCACCTTCAGGCCACATTTTGCTAATTATTGGATTACTGCTTTTATAAAGTAAACGTTTAAAATCCTGAAATAACGTATCTTTATTTTTATCTAAAAAGCCATTAATATTATATATTACATCCCCAGCATAATGTTTAATTTTAAACTGAATTTTATGTTGAAGTTCTTTATTCATTGGCTTTAACTGTCGAGAAGTGTAATGTTTATGATCAAGTAATTTTTGATCCATAGCTTCTAAAAGCATCTAAAAAAAATTTAATATGTTGAACCTTGTAATCTTTATAAGCGTAATATGCAATAAACAATGAATTTCACTATAATAAATTAAAGAAACTGACCTCATCTGTAACTTTGCCAACATTAAGACAAGCTTCATCCATAATTGCTATCATTCCTTTATGAGGTTGTTCTACTAAGTCACAAATTATTTGATTATTGAAATAATCAATATTTTGCCATGCAATACCTTCCCTTTTATATTCCTCTTGTTCTTGTTTTAATACCAATTCTGAAACATCAAATATTAATTTTAATTTTCTTTTAATAAATATGTTTTTTCAATTTTATATAAATTTTTCTTACCAATAAACAATTGTTGCAATTTTTCATTACAGTAATTAATACAAAATTGTTCAAAACTATTTACATCAAAAATTTCAAAACCATATATGTCAAGCACTCCAATTACTGTTCTGTATCTCTTATAAGTTTCTGTATCATTTACATTAATTGCACTATTAACGCGAGATACAATTTCAGTAAACAATCTTTCATATATAGCCTGAAACATAATTTATTTTTTATTATTTAATAAAAATTGATTTCCTTTTTAAACACAAACTATGAAAAAAAAATACCTTAGCTAAGGCATCTCTACCATATTCTGCTTCTGTTGAAGTGTGGGCTTTCTGCATAACTTCTCCACCAGCTGCAATAACTCTTTGTGTAAGAGCTGTACTTAATTCATGTGCATTGATAGAGAATAAATTTGCTGTATCATTTAAAGCAGTTCTATTTTCAATGAAAAGTCTATCGTCAATAAGTTTGAAAGTAATATTGCCCTAAATCAAATCTCATATTAGAAACAAAACTTTTAGAAGCAACTTTTTTTTATTCATTGTTTTAATTACAACAAACCAAGTGTAATATGCCAGCAATGACATTCCAGATTGTTTGTACTTCATTTTGAGTAAATCCAAGTGTAGACATAGCAGAAGTAATTGTTTTATAGTCACTTTTGTCAGTTGAACTAGCTTTGTTAAAATTTCCAGCAGAAACATAATAGTATGCTGCTGGATCCCGTACTAAACGTAATTTATTTATTTCTGCTTCACTACAACCATTTAATAACTGCAAATTTTAAATAAACTGTTTTACAAATATAATATTTCATATGTAGTGAAGAAAAATAATATACAATGAAATTATTGCTAGTACCTGGTAAAAACAATGAAAATTCCGTTCACCATTTTGCTGATATACAACTCTTGACTTTTCCAATAAATAATTAGTAACATGGCCACCAATTGGATCTCCTTTGAAATTAAAATCTATATCCATGTATTTTCCAAATCGAGATGAATTATCATTCCTATTTGTTTTTGCATTCCCAAAAGCTTCCAATATTGAATTGGATTGTATAAGAATATTTTTTACTCTGACAGACAAAATAATTTTAGATGCTGTTAATTTTAGATCTTTTAAGCTATAGAATTCTAAAGACAAATCACCTTGGAAAATTTAACTATTAGTTTTAAAAATATTTATCTTAGATAGTTCATATACCTTTCTATTTCTTGTTGACCACTTAAATTTGTAACTGCAGCAATATATTTCATGATAATTTTACTTGCTTCTGTTTTACCAGAACCAGATTCTCCACTGATTACTATACAAGTATCACGACGTTGTTGTTTCATTTCTCTATGCACTGCATCAGCAATTGCAAAAATATGTGGTGGATTCTCAAATAATTCTCTACCTAAAATATAATTTCAAAAACATTTTCTTATATATCTGATTGTATTATACTGATTATCTGATTTGTATTATTTTGTTTAACCAACATATATTATGAACAATCATAAATATAATTTCTTACCTTTATATTTATTAATATAATCATTGTTATATATATTTATACTTCTGTATGGATTTATGCTGACACATACTTCTCCAATGTATGTATAAATTTTACCGCCATTGTATCTAAAACAAAATTAAATGTAATATATACAATAAGTGAATATAATTCAATAGAATTTAAATATATAATATGTATGTTTGCTATTAGAGGAACTACTTTTTATTTTCAAAAGATAAATTTTATCTCTTTATCAATTATCTTTTTATCATTGTACTCAACTATTTGCTATAATATGTTATAACATAAAAATCATACTTTTATATTTTTTTAGTATATTATATTTTTGAAACTTTATTTATTTTTTTATACATTCTTTAAAAATGTATTTGATTTAGCGAATACATATAAAACAATATATACATATAATATATTACATAGTTGTTGCGTTATTTATTATTGTTATCAATTAATCGCGCGTTTAAATCATTCATTTCTTCGATTGCTCTTTAAAATTTATTATATAGATAAAAATAAAAATTTATTATAAAATAAAATACAATTTATTATAAATAAAATAAAATGCAGTTCAATATTTTTTCATAGATAAAATACAAAAAACTGAAAATATCTTTATTATCAAGAATAGTCGGTTAGGTATCACGTAAAGTTTAAGTTACGAACCGAAGACGATGACTCATAGAATACAGAACAAGATAAGACTTAAGTGTTACTTATCATAAAACTAAATGTCTTAAACATATACTAGTAGTTCTCTGTATAAAACTGAAAAAACAAAATATATATTGTAATTACAGATTTTACATAAATATAAAAAAAGAAGATATAAACATATAAATTCATGGCTATTGAAATTCAAATCATATTCAGAAATTACATTATTATTTGACAATGAGTTCAATGTAAAATTTCGATACATTTTGTCATATCGTTATGCTTTGTAGGTCAAGTTCAAATCCGAATAACGAAGCCGAAATTGCAGCCACCTGCTAATATACGGTTAGCCACGCCCTCTTGGTGGATAATCTACGAAGTACTAATACTAATGGAATATAAACAAGACACCTGTCATCCTCCTTAAAGAAACAATCACTTGTATCTCTTTGTTTCCCGCCAATTTCCCATATTTACTGCCTTATTCACCGCTAGTCAAAATATGATCTTACCTTACTCGTAAATTATCCACAATTCTTTCCAATGTAATTTCATCCAAAAGAACCAAATCTCCAATACCGATTTCCTCTTGCGTTGCCATTTTTTTTTGGATAATAGATATACACGCCTGATTTACAGTTCCATATACGTATGAATCACAACTCGTTTCTTATTGGAGTCCAGCTCCTTCGGACGGATCGTCTTCGCCGCCAAGCGAATGACGAATGCGGTTAACTGAAGTCTCCAACCTATGTTTCACCCCTCCATAATCTTATAATTCCAGGAGCGTTGCTGCAATGTACATTATCATCTACAATCTACATTATACAATATATAATATAGTATACACAATATATTGAATATTTTACAAATGTACGTATTTTAGATCTATATATATACGATATTATTAAGCATGCATCGTGTGGATCACCCCTAGTATAGGTGCCGGAACTAATTTATATTGTTGTCCTTGTCGCACGCTGTTTCTCTCCTTGTCTACCGCGCGTATAAGTCTGTCCTTGTCTCACGCTATCGCCCTCCTTGTCTAATGACGCTAGACAAGGAAAGCAATAGTGTGCGACAAGGACATCCTTCGATCTATTGAAAAAAAATTCAACTTTTTACACACGTTTTTCTACGACAAAACACACATAGAAAAAAAGCGGGGAGCCTAATTTTAAAGAGGCATATAAAAAAGTTCGCAAATTATTCCTCTTAATTAGGTTTTTCTCGTAATTAGTGCGAATTGTCACAAAATGGACATGGTGGCGCCATCTAGCGGCGACTCAGCGGTACTAACTATTTCTCAAAATACTTATTTCTGCATTTTACGGGTCAAATGGGGTATGAAAAGAAAGCTAGGGTTCTGATTAGGGTAATACAATCACCAAAGTTCACAAATCATTTCGCTAAATTAGGTTTTTTCGCTTATGAAAATTTCTCTGTTTACTGTGTAGCGACCGTTACATCTTCAAAATCTACAGTAACGCCATCTATACATCATCCTGTCGAAAAGTACGATTCCTGTAAATCGACATTAAAAATTGTAAATTGATAGTTTATTTATTACTATGGAAATGTTATTGCCATGATTACTTGTTTATAGAGATATATATATAGATTCCATTTTAGAATTAGTTATTCATTCCTTAACTAACATTTGTTGAAAACATTTATCTATTTTTGCTATAAACTTCATTGTTATATAATTTATTATAATTTATAAAAAGTTATTAAAGTTACAAAGTTCTTATTTATTTATAGTATTATAATATCATTATAATCACTATAACTGGGTGAGAACTAGCGTCGCGTTGTGGCAGACCGGTGGAATTAAACGCTCTATGACCATATAAGGAGAGTAATTAATTTTTCACACCACAAATTTGCACTCCACGAGCATATGTTTCAATGCTATCAATTACGTTCGCAAATAAATCTAAATCTATTATTGACCATAGTTTGCGCGAAATTATGCACTCACTACTGGCGCTACTACTAACGTAAACGAAATTGAAACATTCTTTATATACGTAACTATACTTAAACAAAACGTAGAACACAAGCTAAGGGTCTCTAAAATTAAAGATGCGACCATAACAGTTGACAAATGATTCCACTTAATTAATTTCGTCTCGTAATTTGTGGAAAAACTATCACCTGCCAATGTTTAGACGCAGCGGTGGCGCCATCTATTGATAACTCGGCAGTACTAAAAACAGAATTTTCTACTTTTAGTACCACGGAGTTATCAATAGACGGCGCCACCGCTGCGTCTAAACATTGGCAGGTGATAGTTTTTCCACAAATTACGAGACGAAATTAATTAAGTGAAATCATTTGTCAACTGTTATGGTCGCATCTTTAATTTTAGAGACCCTTAGCTTGCGTTCTACGTTTGTTTAAGTATAGTTACGTATATAAAGAATGTTTCAATTTCGTTTACGTTAGTAGTAGCGCCAGTAGTGAGTGCATAATTTCGCGCAAACTATGGTCAATAATAGATTTAGATTTATTTGCGAACGTAATTGATAGCATTGAAACATATGCTCGTGGAGTGCAAATTTGTGGTGTGAAAAATTAAATTTAATTACTCTCCTTATATGGTCATAGAGCGTTTAATTCCACCGGTCTGCCACAACGCGGCGCTAGTTCTCACCCAGTAGAACAGAGAAATTTTCATAAGCGAAAAAACCTAATTTAGCGAAATGATTTGTGAACTTTGGTGATTGTATTACCCTAATCAGACCCTTAGCTTTCTTTTCATACCCCATTTGACCCGTAAAATGCAGAAATAAGTATTTTTATAATTAATTAGTACCTCTGAATTACCGCTAGATGGCGCCACCATGTCTATTTTATGACAGTTCGCACTAATTACGAGAAAAACCTAATTAAGAGGAATAATTTGCGAACTTTTTTATATGCCTCTTTAAAATTAGGCTCCCCGCTTTTTTTCTATGTGTGTTTTGTCGTAGAAAAACATGTGTGTAAAAAGTTGAATTTTTTTTCAATAGATCGAAGGATGTCCTTGTCGCACACTATTGCTTTCCTTGTCTAGCGTTATTAGCAAGGAGGGCGATAGCGTGAGACAAGGACAGACTTATACGCGCGGTAGACAAGGAAAGGAACAGCGTGCGACAAGGACAGACATATACGCGCAGTAGACAAGGAGAGCGACAGCGTAAGACAAGGACAGTCTTTTACGCGCGACAGACAAGGAGGGTGATAGCGTGAGACAAGGACAGACATACGTGTGCGATAGACAAGGACAGACATACGTGTGCGCTAGACAAGAAGAAAAATAGCGTGCGACAAGGACAGACATTTATGCGCGCTAGACAAGGAGAGCGATAGCGTGAGACAAGGACAGACATATCCGCGTCGTAGACAAGGAGAGTGATAGTGTGCGATAAGGACAGCAATATAAATATTGTTCTCATTTTTTATCCACTTTATTTATTGTCCACAATATTCGTTTTGTGTAAAATTTATAAAAAATTAATGTGGTATTTAGGATTTGATGTTTTGAATTTGTATAAAAACTGCATAATACAGCTCTGGATAATTATTCCTACGCATGCGCAAAATTTTACGCACGTATATACGAATCGGGTGCTGTTTGTGTTATTATTATGACTGGTATTATTCATTGTTATTTTTGGCGATTCGTATCATTTGTCATTCATAATTTCTCGAAGCAAACGCACATGTGTTTTGTAATTGGAAATCAAAATGGGAGAGAAGAAATTAAATTCACATTTATGTAGAATTGATGGTTTAATGACAGGCAAAAATTACACTGTACCAGTAAGGTTATGGGAAAGATTACAAATAAACGAACGAAGTTTCAGTTTTTTGCTGTTTATAATATCATTGACTATCGTCTTGGGAAAAATATACATAAATTATGGTAAGTGACGTTTAAATCTACTATCTCGTTGAGAAGTTTGTTTTGTAAAGTTAATGTGTGTGTTGATAATGTTGCATGTATTTACATATTTACCTTTTTATATAATTAATTAAATGTAAGGAATGTATTGTTTATAGTAACTTTTTTTTCAATATCTTCGTATTGACAGACTTCAAACAATAATGCAAAATTTATATGCACTTGCTTAGTATTTAATTAAATTCGTTTTTATTTTATTTTAAGTTTTAAGCATTATAAATTGACATGCTATCTATCGTTATTTTCTTAAATTTGTAGTATAAATAATTAAAGGTACAAATATGTTTTATAGAAAAATTTAGATGTATAGGAACAAATTTTGTTGCAGCATTGCATGTTAAATAATACATATACCATTGTGAATGTTGATGTTTTTATATCATCTCCTTAGGTAGTATTTTACAGCTGCAAAATAATGTTAAATATCTAGAGTCCTCAGCATCTATATTTTCAAATATGTCTAATATATTTGATCTATCACATATAACTGATGTATCAGAGTTCAAAGTAAAACAATTAGCAGCTATAAGTGAGAAATTTGTTAATGGTAGTCAATACGATGATGTTGTAAATGTAATGACATCAGTTTTTAAAACATATGGATGGCTCATAAAAGCAGCAGTATGTGGTCTTATTATGATGGGTTTTACTTGGTTTATAATTTACAAAGATAGCAGTATTCCTGGAATCAATCCACCTTCCCCTTTTAGTCCCTCTAAACAAAGGTAAGTTGTTTAAAAAAATTTATTGTAAATTAAAGAATATTTAATAATATATTATGAAGTTTGGATATTTTTTATATATAAATGTTTTTATTGCTTTTTCTTTTAAAAATATTTTATTTCTTTTTCAGATTTTCAAAAGTATCGGGCGTACAATTAAATTACTTAATTGGAATATTAAATGGGATACTAATTTTTGTCTACATGTGTCTTTAATATGTTAAAAGTATCACAAAAATATGGTAGTATTTATGTATATTAAAAAGAGTTGTGTGACATTCTCACAGCGATCATATTTATTATTTATATTGTACTATAACTAATAATATTATTAATTTAATAATTAGAAGTAGAGTAAATAATTTATATTGTGTAATAATATAAAAAAAAAATGTTTTCAATTCTATCAAAATAAGAAAATTTGGATCTTATATTTGCCTAATTCCAACTATTGTTAGAATTATAATTCTAAAGAAGCTTATAATTTAAAAGAGTATGCCTTATTTTCTGATGTTACACAAAAATTGAACATGCTAATGTTATGTGAAAGTAAAACATACTAATATTACATAAAAATTTATAAAACAATTTATAAAATGATATGCAATATTTTATATATAAAGTTGTAGAAAGTACAAAATTTATGTATTATTATTAATTATTATGTTAATCTTCATAAGACTGATAAAATGTTTACCTTTACTTATTGAATAATTAAAGATAAGTATGGAAAATTACATCAAGTATTATATGTAGTACCTTCTAGCCTTACACACACATACACACACGCGCGCGCGTTATTATGTTACTATACAATTATTGTATTATTCAAAATATTTTTAATTACATATTTTTGAAATTGACTTTCTAAAGGTAGCATCATTAAAATACACCCTTTACATTGAATTTCAAACATTTTTATTAATTGTATATATGTTTAACATAAAGAATTCATGAAAAAAACTAAAACATAAATTATAATTATTGTGTATGTTCTATTTATATGTTAAATTGTTAAATCTTTAATAGATTGAATAAATTAGTAAAAGCTAGTTATGTATTAATCTTGCAATCTGTTTGACATTCCACACCTATTCATTTTTTCAAATTTGCAAGATCTTTGCATAAACTTTTGAAATACCATACTTTTCCATTCGTAACCAATTATCATTTACATAGAACAGAATATAAAATTACAAAAAAATTAGGAACTGATTGAATTCATATAAAGAATTACGTAGTTATATAGGTAAATACATATCTCATATTTAACTTTATTAACTTTCATAGTTGATATGCGGATTGATTAAGTATATGACATACAATACATTCGCACGCCACGTTCTGAAATACCGAAAAAAATTCGAACATTTTTGCTTCCTCTTCGATTTACTATGGCTGATAGATGTAATCATTAATTAAGTTAATCAATAACATAAATTTATATAATTTTTATTATATTATATTACAATTTTAAATTGCAGGGAACTGTTTTATAGAAAACAGTTGTTTCTTTAAACAATCAATATATTAGAATATATGATATAAAATCCTGTAAGATGTCTACTCTGTACTATCTGGTTAAAAATGTTTTTTGTCAAATAAAATGAGTATACATAAATAATTACGAAAATTTATATGCGATATAATTGCATAATACACAATACATGAAAATTTATATGCGTGGTTTGTCAATGTAAAGAAACAACATTTAACATGTTAAAAACTGTCATTCTATTACTAGTAGGATGTTTCAACTAATGTAAAAAATTATGAAATAAGAAATACATTGTGTATTAGATTTTATATTTTGTTTTTTTTAGTTACTAATATTTTCACTTGACAAATAAGTTATTTGTTACTTTTTTTAAAACTGTTTTAACATTAATATGTAATGTCTATGGAAATCACTACCATATCTTTACTTTATTCATAAAAATAAATGTAACAGATCAAAAGAAATTAAATCTAATTGTTGTCTTAATTTCTCTTCTTGTTGCATGTTGTCAAACCACCTTGACACATGTACATATTGAGCTTTTTCTTGATGAGTTAATTCCCGCTGTAATACAAAAATAGGGCAAAGAGATTAGATTGATCCATACAGTCTACTAAGGATTCTTCGTATTCATTACCATTATTGAATGTAGAGCATAATACAATGTAACATCAGCAATGGTTTTTTTTGTACCAGTCAAGTATGTCTTGTCCGTTAATGTAACATTTAACTCCTACAAAAATAAATCTATTTTATTATGTAATTCTAGTTAAAGTAGCATAATTTGTTTGCTCTTAATATTATTAGATAAATAATTGGATTCCTATTACCTGTAAGACTTTTTTCGCATTATTAGGTGTATCGGCATAATTGATACAAATAACAGCGTATTCCAACCATTGTTGTGATAATGCCTTCATTTCATTATTAACACCAAGTATATCAGGATTCGAATTTTCAATTAATGATTGAATTATAGTACTAAATCCTTCTATTTTTTGATTTGATTCTCGTTTCGTTGCAACAACTACCTATAAAATGACGTAATAAAATTTGCTTATTATAATCCAGAAAACAGCTCGTTTTCATAAAAAAAGTATGTTATTTACATTTTCTTGCATTTCCAATGGCAATGGTGAAACATCTAAGTAATTTGAAATTCTTTCTAAACATTCTACGTTACATAAAACCATTGTTTCAAACTTTATACTTCTTCGACCTCTTGTTTTTATACAGAATAACTTCTAGGTTATGTTTAAAAAGTGCATAATATATACGTAATGGTTTAAATAAGCGTTTGATATATGTTTAATTATTTATTTCATTCAATGTAAAGAATTATGGAATACATAATAATAATAATAATAGTAATAGTAATAATAATAATAATAATAGTAATAATAATAATAATAATGATGATGATGATGATAATGATAACATATATAGAACATATTTAACGTTAATTAGGACTTTATTTCAAATATACAATTTTGTTCTATTAATACCTGTATAAAATTTTTGACTAACGATAATAAAATGATGTATCGTATTTTTGTTAATTGATATATTTAAGATTACAAAATTAATTAACTTAGCTTAAATACCTGGACCTAAATCTTTCATCTCAAAAAATAATTTATATTAAATCAAGATCATAAAAATATATTTTGATAAATTATATTAAAATACTTGATAAAATATAACCCTGGAACCTGACGAATTATATTTTTTTCTATCACGTTATATAGGAATGAACAATCAGCTAATAAACAATTAAGCTGATTAAATTTCTTTCCAATAATGTTCCCATAGTTTGGCATTTAGATTCTGAATGTTTTTGTCATTAGATTATCTTTTTCTTACTGCATTGTAGGTTTTTAAGAATATTATATATTTTTAAAATATTTTTTCAATTTCTTTATTGAAATCTAATGGGAATTTTAAGAAATGTACATTTTAGTTATGTAAATCAGGTACATAGAATGCAACAAGAAAAGGATATTATAATAACGTACAATTGTCTTGTTTAATAATTCTGTCATATCTATATTAATTAAACTAATTAATGTACTTGAAGAATGGCATATATGTATATACATATAAGTAATAAATTGAATGCAAATTACTACATTTATAGGATATCTTAAAAACTAATAAAACTTTTTTTCTCCTGTATGAATCAATTTTTTATACATATGTAAAATACATATTTATATCTTCTAAGTATATTATAAAAGATCGATTTTTTAAATTATTTAAAATAATTGTGAAACAAATTTCACCTGTCTATTGTTAAAAAAACAATTTGTTTCATATTTTTCCATGATTATATGTTCAGCTAGCAAGCACATATGTGAGTTCACATAAATTTGTTAGAATTGACAAGTTATATGCAATTAAATGCAGGTACTTTTCTTTTTGTAAGGTGCTCATTTTAATATTTTCCTATTTAAAAAAGTCTTTTTTCATATGAGAAAAGACTATGAACATTTCCCTCTTGTTGAGCAGAATGTGTTCTTCTTTCAAATTTCAATTCTCCACTATACATCATAGATCTTAACGTAGAAATAGATTTTGCTCCAATATCTTGACATCCATGCTTAATACCACACAACAGATAGGGTAAAAACTTTAAAACAGATCCTTTGTCAACTATTGAACCACTAACACCTTGAGCTACTTTCAACTTATCCATCTCATTATGAAAGTATCTATCCATTGCTGAACCATGAGCATCTTTTCTATTCATAGCTTCTAAAGAGCCCATGCCTCTATATTTCTTTAGACGTACACCATCACTAAAAAAATATTCACCCGGTGCCTCTGAAGTACCAGCCAATAAAGATCCCATCATTACTGTGCTAGCACCTAGACTCAAGCCTTTAATTATGTGTCCAATAGATTGAATACCACCATCAGCTATAACAGGCACACCAAATTTTCTTGCATATTCTGCAACTTTATATACAGCAGTTGCTTGAGGTCTTCCCACAGCCATAACTTCTTGGGTAATACAGATTGATCCACAACCCATCCCAACTCTCAAAGCATCAGCTCCAGCTTCTATAAGATTTTTAGCTTGCATAGTTGTTACAACATTTCCTGCAATTACTTGTAATTCTGGATATTCTGATTTTATGTATTTAATCATATCAATCTGATATTTAGAATTGCCTTGAGAAGAATCTAAAACAATAACATCCACACCAGCTATAGCAAGATGTTGCAATCTTTGTTTATCAGCATTGCGTGTACCAATAGCAGCACCAACCAATAATTGTTTATTTTCATCTTTACTGGCATTTGGATAACTACGATTTTTTTTCAAGTCAGTTCTTGCCATTAAAGATACTAATTCTCCTTTTTCATTGATTATTGGAAGTTTTCCTTTTTTTGATTTTTCAAGAATTATATTTGCCTCTTGCAATGTTACACCAGCAGTTGCAGTGATCAAATTCTCTAATTTTGTCATTATTGTTTCTAATTTTATGTACTGTTGATTTGTTGTACTTTCCAAAAAATCAATGTCTCTAGATGTTACAATCCCTAATAGTTTACCTCCAACTTTTCCTGTGTTTGTAATAGGAATACCAGAAAAGCCATGTTCAGCTTTTACATTTAGGACATCTTTGACTGTGTGATTAGGTGATAGAACTACTGGATCCCTAATGAAGCCATGTTTATATTTCTTGACCTAGAATCACAAAAATTTTTAAAAAGATTTAAACAACACAAAACTCAGAAATTCAAAAATGTAGTTCTTATCACTTTTTTGTTTTTAATACAAGAATTAATGAAAAAACTACACGCATAAATAAGGTTAATATGACTAATTCAATAAAGCAGGAAAAATCTCCTCTATAAAGCTTCTTTAATAGTCATTTATTCTAATAAGAAATGAATATTTACTATTGATCTATATGCTGTTGTTGAACATTAATGATATTATTATCGAATAAAAAATATCACAGATGTGTGTGAGATATATATTCTTGTATTCTTTCTCTATGAATAACAAATGAGCAAAATATCGTACGATAAAACCTACGCAGTTATTCTAGATATGCGGAAATGTTTAGATCAAGAACAGCTTACGTACCTTGTGTACTTCGTTGGCTTGATACTCTGGCGTGCAATTATGATGTATTATGCCGATTCCTCCACATAGAGCCATAGCAATAGCCATGTCGGATTCTGTAACTGTATCCATAGGAGATGATACCAGCGGTGCTTTAATAGTAATCTTCTTTGTCAATGGCGATAGTAAATCAACTTCCTCAGCGGTAAAATCAATGTAACCGGGTAAAATAATAAAATCATTGTAGGTAAGACCGTCGCCGGTAGTGAATAATTGTGATGCTGAAAGTCCATCGTCCGGTAGGGGTACATCTGCCGGTTTTGTGTCACCGATCACATAGTCTGCCATCGTTTTTTTACAAATCGACAATTATTCGTGTTTTTTCCACCGTAGAAGATAATTTCAATCTTAAATAATATTATGAACTACTGTACGACGAGGTGATATCTACACGCTTTCACAATACCGATGTTAAAAATCGCGGGTTTCTCCCGTACAAATCGAACCGTGGATCTCCAGGCAAAATGACCGAAATCAACGTGCGCACAGTGTATTTGTAGCCTGAAGTGTGTTTCTCACTTTCGTCTACTGATGACAGCACCATCATCAACGATGTTTCACGAACGTATGTCGAAATGACAACAGTGCCACATTATCCTCGTTAATTTTTGAAAGTGATTTTGATCTCGTCAGAATATCCGAATCTGATTTGCATTTGATGAATGAAGATACCCGAGATTTTCTAAAGATATACCTCCTCCAATAATTTCAATCACATAAGATTCAGATCCGTGGTGAATTGACGAAGTACTATTATAGTTTGTCATTCATTTCAATTTGAATATTTCGCGCTTTATTTTGTCGTAAATATGAATAATTTGATAATTAAACAAAAATATATCAATAAATAATAAAATAAAAATTTACAAAGATAAATAATCTAATGAAATTTTAATTATAAATATACATATACAAATAGTGAAACACTTACAGAGAGAATTAATTATAAAAATATTTGTTTAGTACAAAAACTTGTAGTAATTAATAAGTAAAAAGCAAACTATAATAAAATATTTTTTAACTTGCGCACGATGTGACGGTCGTCGGTTAATTTTATGCGACATTAGTGCATTTCTTACATGCGTGCTAGAAATCGTATAAAATTATGTAAAATTAAATGCCATTTTTTCATTTATTGAACATTAATAAATATTATAATTTCACTTGTAATCTTACTGTATAGAAAAAAATTTGTTTCACACCGTCGAATATACCACCAAATGCTTCTTTAAATGAGGATAAAATATATTCCACTACGAGTTCCAAGTAACTTAAATTTTCGTAGTCATCGTATTCGTCGTAATAAAAGTAATCATACAACATTGGTAAAAATATTATTAAAATATATATCATACCACCAAAAAAAACTAAAAATTTTAAAAAAATTACGTATAATTAATCAATTAATAAAGATTGATAAATCAAAATTTTTAAATGAAATGAATACTTACTGATGGATTTGAGTTCCAAAAATTGTTTATCGTTTATTTTATCCGCATTACGTTTTACTTTATTAAACTCAGGTTCATCATTTGTCAAGTGTGAAATCTTCTTTGTATTAGAATTTTGCGCATCTACTATATGATTTGACAATGTTTTCATGTTGTCATTTACATATAATTGTTTTGTTTGTATATTTGATTTAAGATTCGAGTCTCTGAATAGTTACAAAAAATAAATTATAATTCTGTTAAGTTGTATATGTAAATGAATTTTCTTTCATACAACTTACAATGCTTTATTAATCATAGTGGAAAGGACTGTACATTGTTGTAACGTTTGAATTTCAGGGTTTATTTTTAATTGACTTCTTAATTCTTTATAATGTATTTTATTTACTTTTCCTTGTTTTCCTTTTTCAGTTGCATCCATTGTCAAATTATATGGATACTGCTGCTCAATACTATTTGTATTCTGTATTTTGTGCCTCAGTCTGTTGTAATACTCCCAGTAACTTTTATTTAATAATTCTTGAGTTTTTGATGAAATTCCTTTTGACCTTTCAAACATATCATCTGTATTTGATTTTGGAGATTTGCAATATTCTTTTTGCAAACCTGTTTTTGATAAACTATTAGTAATTTCTTGCCTTAAATCTATATGTTTATTGTTTTGCAAATAATTCTGTTCAATAAAATTTGAGACATTATCAATTTGTATATTCATGTTTCGTTTGTGTATAGAACCAGGATGAAAATATTGACTATTTTTTCTTGTTTTACGGTTACACAATTTATGAATATTTGTATGATTACGTTTATATTTGTTATATTGACAATTAGGCCAAATTAAAGTATAATCAGAATCTACTTGTGCTGAATGAGAATTCTTTTGAAAGTATGATCTAGCTTTCCTAGAAAATTTTGCTGATCCTTTTTTTTGTTTAAGCGTAATATATGGTTCTGAATTGTGATAAAGTTTTCTGGTACATTTATTTTTTGTAGAAAGTAAATATTGCTCGGATTTATTTCTATCTTTTGTCTCATAGATACCTATTTTATAATTTTGGTATAAAGATTGATCCTGATCATTAACAGTTACATTAGATTGAGGTATTGGCTGATGATATTCATTATTTTTTGATAAATAATTTATTTGATTATGACTTTGATCTAAGATTTTGATATTATCATGCTCAGCATCAGTATTAATATTGTTAATTTTTTTTGGAATGGATTCATTTATGTCAATGAATTCTTTGTTAAGTATAATGTCCTTTGTAATTACTTCAGAATCTATTGTTTCTTCACCACTTGTATCACATGTTACTTTTTTCATTTTTAGACATTGGAAAACATTATTATGTACATTTTTTTTATTTATATTAGGAACATAATATTCAGAATCGCTAGATTCTTGTTGCTTTTGCTGAATATTTGAATCTAGTAATTTTCTAGAAACAGATGAATTTTCTGAGAAATTTGATTCCAAACAACTTTCCTTGTTTTGTTCAAGTACACTATTTTGTGTCATCAATGCAGTTTTCTTCTCATGGATATTCTTTTCTCCAGTGCCTGAAAAACTATAACTTTAATAAATGGAAAATAATGTGATTAAAATAATATTTACTGAATTATTACTGGTAAACGAGTTTTTATTCTGTGCTTGGTTTGAATGAATGTGCTGTTCAGATTCTTTTTTTATTAAAGTTTCAGTTTGGTTTTTGTATTCTGAATGATGTAAACATTGCTGTAGTATATTATTTGGTCCTGTAGTAGATACTTGCATTGGTACGTTTTGATAAGTAAGAACTGGAAGTTGTACATTATAGCATTGATTTATATATTCTTGAGGAGCAGTGACTGTATCAATTTGTATTGCATTTAAAGGACGTGATTGCAGTTTTTTGTCTAACACAAATAACAACTGTCCATTATTTTCCTAAATACATTAAAACAATAAAGAAACTTATTCTGTTTTTTATATTTTTAATAAAAATATAATTATAAAATGTTAGAGCGTATACTTGTACTGGCACATAAGGAATGTCCACCTGAGTATTAGCGTCATTAACTGTTGATTTTGATATATGTTCAGAAGAATGTACGTTCTTTACATGTTCTGTAGTTTCTTTTTTATTATCGGTTTCTGAAACATAATCTTGTCTTTTCAATTCTGAGTTGTTTATAGAGTGAGTTTGTTCTGAAAATAATTCTTTATCGTTATAAAACATATTTTTTTCCTTATAATTTCGTATTGATTCAATTTTTTTTTCTTTATGAAGTTGTTGTGCCTCTTCTATTTTGATTTGTTCCCTAATAAAATTGTAGGTAATTATAAAAGCAATACTGTAATACAATATACTTTTAATTAGTCGATATTTACTTTTCAGGTACTAATTTTTCCATTTCTTCTCTACGTAAATGTTTTGTAAAAGTAGTAATATTAGATTGATCCATTTTTTTTTGTAATGATTCAGTTGATGTAACTTGATTCTTCTTAATATTTGTCACTCTGCTTAAAAATATTTAAGCTTCTTTTTACATTGATTTTAACTTTTATCTATTTTCTATTATTTATTTTTTATGAATGAAATACTTTTTAAAACGAGGATCGACGTAACCAGGAAATCGTTTTAAAGTGTATATATTTGAACCAGTTTTTTGATGATGAAAAGAAGAGTATGCACTATCTTTAGTTATTGAAGATTTAGGAGATCTATATTTTCAAATATATAGATTTATAGTTTTACTAATTATAAGAGTTAAGTTTTACTGTAGATTACGCAAAGTTTTGAAACATTTTAATTTAATACTTACTGATTTAAAGGTGTTTGAATTACAGTACGACTCCTTCTAGGAGTTCCAGTTAATTTGACTATGTATGGGGGCTCAATAGTATCACCATTAGTTAATTTTCGTTGCGGTATTTTAGGCCAAGAAGGATCAGCTGGTATACTAAAAGAATTTAAAATAGAAAGTATTTTTAAATAAAAAATAAACATTCAATTTAAATACATACCGTAATGATCCAGCATTGTACTTTTGTGGAACTGGTAATAAATTTTCACTATTTACTAAGGAAATACACATTACTTAAATGCTACATTTTAATTTGAAAAAAATATTTTGGAAATCCTTACTTTCAATATGTAATTGCAGAGCATTTGCATTATCCTGATATGCCATATTGAAGCAGTCGTACATTTCAATACTTTCTATTTTTTTCAAAACATTTGTAAAAATAATTCCCAGACTAGTTATAAATGACTAATATTACAAGAAATACAAAAACTGTACAGGTTTAACATTAATTTCATGTTTCACAAAGTAATAGTTCTATAACTTCAAGCAGGATTATTTTTGTTTTCCTAGAGTCAAATGTTTTTTCTGTGTACAATTACAAAAAAAATTTGTACTGGAATAAACATCTTTATTTCTCATAAGAATCAATAGCTTTTTGTATAAAAAATCAAAGGTATTATGATAATCAGTCGTTTTGTTTTATTAATGATAGATGTATTTATATAATATGTATATTATTCTAATCTTAATATTAAAATATTGTATGTACAACAATATACAACTGTAGTAGATGCAGGAACAATCAACTATGATCTACATCAGTATCTTATAGCTTGATTTATATTACATTAAATTAAAGTATTTGCGCACCATAATAATTATATCACAATATCAAGCTAATTTATACACTTATGTATGGACTTCTTAATATTTTGCTTACAAAATATTACAATTTATGATATAAGGAGTATAATTCTTTGTTATGTATATATACGCATAGTGTATATGTGCAAAATCGGTGTAAACAATATAATTCTTTTTTACATATTTTCCATAACATAATAAAGAAAATTGTATGCATTGTTTATTATGACATAGAAGTTATTAATCGTTTTATAAACAAACTAAACAACATGATTAATATAGCAAAATATACATATGTCCATTTTTTATTAATAAATAAATTGATTATAGGTGTTATGCGTAAAATATATTGTGATAAAGGAATGTATCACAATTATTTTGACTAGATTTAAAAAAGATGATAGAATTATTATTTTTATAAAATATAAAAGATGTATGCCACAAAATGCATTGATGAACTTCAACTTTCTTTAGCCATCATATTTCTTAGTATTATCAAATTTGAAATTGGTCCAAAATCTAAATATAATTCCATTATAACGGTCTTACATCATTAAAATTGCATAAATATCTCACTGATGTTGTCCTAAAATTTAGGGCATACTTCATTTTAAATAAGTATGTACAAATATTTTATATACGCTAAGTTATTTTGGAAATATGCAACAAAACATAAATTAATTTCTACAATTTTGATAATTTTTCTATGTAATTTCCAAATAATATTAAAAATAAAGAAATATTTAAAGAAATTATTGAAGTAGTACTTTAGATAAAGCGATATTAATAATAAATATTATAATAAAATACTACCAATACTTATTACATAATAAAATAAGTACTCTTTTGTTTCTCAGACTTTTTTTTGACGTAGATGTATGTAAATTATCTTTAGGAAGATTGAGAAACTAAAGAGTGTACACAGCACTGATATCTTTATAGATCACTGTTGCAAATATAATTACATAATAGCTTAATGCTGATGAAAACAATGTCTTTAACATATTTATCATAATCTACATTATTAATACTATTATTTTACATAAAACATCACAATCCATTTTCAATTCATGTACTACAATTTTTTTAGAAACCGCAGTGAATATAAAAGCTAAATATAACTTTTAATACTCTTAATTTTGTATGCATGGTAAAAAATATAAAAACTTCTTCAAAAAAAGAAATCAACTCAACTAATCAGCATAATAAACTTTTTGGAGAAATATGAACAAATATTTTTCTATTTGATTTTCATAAAATAGAAAAAAATAACATTCTTATAAGTTTTGTTTTTAAATAATATATACATATATGTATTGAACAATGTGCAATTATTGTCTGGCAGTATTCTGCACATGAATGGAATTTTTATGACAAATTAATATAGTGACAGACATATTGTAAAAAAAAAATTATGATTATTTTAGAATGCTTAATATTATGTAATGCTTCGTGAAAATGCTTTATAATCAAATATGCATATATTATTCAGTTTAAATTATATGCATATCGAAGGAGATATTTATATTAAGAAGACATGTACACAATATATTAATAATATTTTATGCATGTTGACGAAGCATTTGTTAGATGTAGAAATATACACAAAACACATTTGTTACATATCTTTTTCATTATTGTCGAGTTAAGCTTCATGTTCACCGTTATTTATTCCTATCAGCGATTCTGTTTGTTCTGCTTCAAGATCTGGTATTCTAAAAATAAAGATTATTTTCTTAACTAAAATCAAATTTTATATGAACATATTTTTTTTTAAAGCAGTTATTGATCTCACCTTATTGATCTATTTTTTCTAAAAATCCAAATGTAAATTCTTTTTATTAAATCCATAACTGGATCCCAATTATCATAATATGATAGAAGAGATACAGTAAGAAATGCTAACAGCATTGGAATGGTTCCTAGATAGAAAATACAAGGATACTCAACTTTTTTTAATAAGACATCAGCTATCATCGACATCGGCATAAGTAAACTGACTGCCAAGGTTGCAATAAGGGATGATGTTAAAAAACAACCCCTACAAACAAATATAAAATAAATATTAAATACATTAAATTAGATAAGTTAAACTCGATACTTTTTATAACATACCATAACCAAAGCACTTGGCTTAAAACTGTACCAATCAAACCATTAATAATTAAATATGTCCACTGATGAGTATCTGGCCATTCAAATTCTTCCCAATGACCATAATGAAGAATAAAGAACATAGGCCATAGAAGTGTCAAATTAAAAAGTCCAACAAACCCAAAGAACATTGGAATATCCATCTTATCTTCATGATCTACTTTTCTCTTAAGAAACACAATGTAAGCTGCATAAAAAAATGCACTGACTAGAGCCAATATTATGGATGTAGGTATTCTACTAGCTTCTATAGTTAAATCTGAAAGACCAACTAAAACCTATGAAAAACAAGGATGTTTAAAAATAATTCACTTCCATATTAAAGAAGCATTTCTATAATTATACATACTAATCCAAGAATGCTAACAGAGACAGCAACTAGTTTAGACAATGTAAATTTATCCCCACCATTACTAGGAAAAAAAGCAGCAAGGAATAAAGTGAATAAACTAGAAGTTGATGTCAATACAGTTACAACTCCTGATTCAGTTTTTACTAATGATATTTGATAAGTATAATTTGCTATAAACCACTGCAATATAAAATATTTATATTAAGTTTAAAACATAAATAGTTGTAACTTATCAAGTTGATACCTACAAGTAAACAAAACATAAGTGCAATTTTAGCAATTTTCTGAACAGAAAACTTATTAGCTTGCCGTCTTGCATGTTCTCCAGCTCTTAAACTTGCTTGATAACTAAGTCTTGCTAATAATGCTTCTGTGGCATCACTTTCTGACATATGACGAACTTCTGCTAATTTACTAAATCTTACTGATCGTATTGATGAATCATCACTTTCTGTGCCTGAAGAACGATCACAATGATCTGGTGTTTTTATTGGTACAAATGTTGGATCACTCTACAATTAAATAGATTTATATTACTATCAATATTTAAGTTATTAATAATAAATTAATATGATTTGCGGAATAAAGAAAATATAAAAATAATAAAACTAAAATATAAAATATAAAAATAATAAATTTCTATTTACCAAACTTGTGTTAGCTTCTGAATAGAAATTATCATCTTCCACATTAGGATCTATGAACTGCAATAAGAAAAAGAAATAACTAAAAATTTGATTTGTTGAAAGAATTATTTGTATTTAAATATACCATATATGTTGCTGGTTTATTGCATTGATCCCTCCATGGAGGCCAAAAACATAAACCAAGCAAATAAAATGTAAACATTGATGTTTTTACATATGTAGTAAAAAATGGCTTTTCAAATGCTGCTTCTCTATAAATATACTGAAATATAAAAGAACATTATTAGAAATAAAAAGTATATCTTACATTTTATTAAATAATATTTGAACAATTCTTACTTACTTTAGTAAGTTCAGTACTAGAAACCCAAATGATATCAACTAATAACAACACTAACAATCCCAACACAAGTCTCTGAGATTTATTCATCATTGCTGCAAGCTTATGAGGGTCCTCCGCCATCCCCTGTTGTCTACGCTGTCTTAATTCTACAGAACAGCTCATGGTACAATCATTGACTTTATCTTTTCTACTTATGACAACATGATGATATTGATTGCTGTAAGATGATAATGTGATTAATAAAAATTATAAATTACAAGTAGTATATTTGATTAAAAAAAAAAATTCTTTATATAAAATGAAAAGTTCATATTATTTAAATTGCTTGTTGATCATTAAAACATCTTAATATTGAAAGCTAACAAAATAAATACTTTTAGCTAATATTCCTAAAAAGTATAAGCAAATAATATTCAACACAAAGTAGTCAATAAAATAGATATACAAATTATAATGTGCATAATAAACATTACATAAATTAATCAAGTGTGCTAAAGAGAAAAAACAGAAACAGTAAACAAGGAATTAAAAAAGGAGACAAAAAAAAAATGTTCAAAGTTTCACTAATTTAATTGTCTTATTTTAACTATAAATTTATATCTAATAATGTTCAGTATAATGTCGTGTAAAAGTTATGGAAAATACATATTTAAAAAATTATTTGTTGATTATACAATTGATAACAGGTGGACATGCGGCAAATATATAAAACTACGACCACATATAAGATAACCTATAAAAGTTGCAATAAGAATAGATAACAATCTTCCAATACACTAAGCAAGAATTCAAATTAAAATTGACTTACAATTAAAGCCAAGCCTTAATTCTGTGGCATTGATAAGCAATTTACATTCTAGTTATTCTTCTACATTTTGAAATTACGAAATGCTGAGCACTTTATGCTCTCTAACTAAACACTGAAGTAACACCTTTTACGCAATATGTAATTTAGATTTTTTTCCTTTGAATTTCCGATAATTTTTTTTTATTTATACTTTTTTTTTTTAAATGTTAGATAGTTCTAACATCTTCGTTTCGTTATCGCGTCGGGCAACTAGTCGTAACCATGTTGATATGCTGATGACGTTCCGTAGTTCACTCATTATTCTGATGGCGCTATATGTCTTATATATCTTTTAATTTATTACTTATTTTTACTTTTCAATGTTTAAATTTTCTTTCGTAGTTTCCTTATTAAAAATTTAAATACTTTCTTTCTTATACTACGGTAATGTAGAAATATTTTTTGACTTTTATTGCACATCTTTATCTATATGCATAAATGATAAATATAAGATAATAAAAATTGTTATATATTTGTGTTTAAATCTTGACTTTTAGATTTTATTATCTATGTTAAAGCATGGGACAAATATTACGCGACCAGTTATATGTTACAAATATATGCGATCAGTTCAGTAATTAATATATTATTTTCTACTTCGTAGAAAGTTAACGATATCCTGTTGGAAAAGTAAATTTCTTTTTTAATGTTAAAAAAAAGCTTCGTATTTACAGTTTTATTTTTCTCTTGAATTGACTTTTTGTAAAGAAGACTTAAAATAACGGTTGTCATGACAAACAATAGTAACAACACATAGACGAATGTGAAGTGTCGTTCGGATGTAAGAATAATTTGAAACATATTACTTTTGCATTCTAACAATGGCTAATAATGTTCTTAGTAATGGTCGCATTCAACAGCAACCGATTATCTCGCAACGACTAACAAGAAATGAGAAAGGAAAGAAAGGTATTTCTCTTTGTATAATATTATTTAAGGATTATTATATGCAAAATTTTCAATGTTAACAAATACGTTTACATGTATAATTTAAGTGATTTACATCTATAATTTGATAAAAGTTAGTCACAATTGTTGAAAAGGTAAAAACATCTGCAAAACTCTGATAAAATTGCAATTTCGAATAATAAATTTTTTGCGAACATTCTTTTTTACATTTTCAATTCTAAAAAATAAATATTTTATAAAAGAGATTAAAAGATATTTTTTTAAGTTGAAATTCTTGATATAATTTTATATGTATATTTTTTATGTTTAAATTAGTGCTAGAAATACCAGCGATAGAGAGCAAGAATTGGTTGCTACATCGACATTACACGCGACACGAATATAAAACTTGCAAAATATTGATTGATCAAGAATTAACAAAATCGAATGGACACAGTGAGTATGCGAATTATTTAAAGGTAAGCAGAATTTTTACATCTGTGTATCAATCGATCTTTAATATTCAAATACTGATATTAAAATTTTTATTTCCTTATTTCCCACAGGGTTTAATACTGAGACGAGAGGGAAAAATTCAAGATTCTTTAAACTGTTTTCAAGCCGCCTATAACATTAATTCAACGAATGTTAATAATATGAAGCAGATAGCTAAATCGTTGTGAGTAAAGAAAATTTAATTTTAATTATGCTATTTAAGAATGAGATCAGATTCAGATACATCGAGTTAATAAAAATTATAAATGTTAATTGTGATTAATATATTATTATGCTGTCAGAAAGCATAGAAAATATTTAAGTACTTTTTATAATATATTTTACAATGTATTTATATACTTACTGATGTTATTTGATAGTTTAATAATGGGCAATCATAAACATGCAGTTGATGTATTTTTGGAAGCTGAGAAGATATTAAAAACACCAGATTGGGAAATTTATTTTAACCTGGGTATGTATTGATTGTATTATAACATTCAAGAATAAATATAAAACTCTTTTACTTATTGATATTGTAACAGAAAGAATGTCATAAAAGTTTATAAAAGTTTTTAATTAGAATAAGTCTGGGATAGTCACCGGATAAATTGTTAATGTTTTTTATTGGAAATGAAAGTAAATGATTTTAATTTGTCGCAAAATATGATTTATTTATATCTTAAATAACGCAGACGTTATCTAAATTTTCCCAAACTAATAAAAAACTCTGACAAAATAAATAAAACAAAAAAATGATATAACTATACAATAATAAATTATTTGCATATAAATTCATAGAATCAAATCGTTTTTTTCTAGGTGAATGTTACACAAAGTTAAATCAATTGCACGAAGCAAAAAAGTATTTAAGAAGGTCGATTGAATTGACAAAAAATGAATTACCATATATTCTTCTCGCGAGAACATATCTTCTTGAAGATAATGTTACAGAGGCACAGAACGCTTATACAGCTGCTCTTAGGTATACGATTAGATATGCATCTCATTGTCATTATTTTTGACGGATTTTGTAATAAACACTCTCTGATCTCACAAATATCTTACATGTGCAGATTTAATTCCAGCGTCATGAGATTGGCGGCTGAAACGTTCTTGTTTACGATATATATTCCAGAGTATTATGTTTTACATCTCGTAACAAAATCTAATTATAGATTTCAGATTATAAAAGATGCAAACTAAACAGGAATAACGTAAATTAATGATTGATTACGATGTTAATTAACGTTATATTTTGTTGATTTTAATAACAGTATATTGTTTTATTAATCGCACATTTAAAATGATGTCAAATAAATGGAAATTGTTAAGTTGAAAATATGTTACTCTATGCTATGCATTTTTCATATAATTTTTATTATTCTAGACATTTGATTTTTTTCTTCAGAAAAATAAAAAATAATAGAAAAGATTAAACATTTTTTTTTAAAAAGCTTCGTTTTTGTGATATGCGGTTTTGCTTTCATTTGTTAAAAAAGATTTTAAAATATTCATGTAATAATAGAATAATCGAATTATTATGTTATCTAAAATAAAAAATTCCTTGTTTGAAAACAGTTCATTCTATGAATAATGTTTTTTTTACGCTGTTCTCCTTAATTGAGCTCATTTCCTTGGCCTTTTCAGTCAGAATCCTGAAAGCATAGACGCTGCAACTGAATTGGGACTTCTCTACCTCAAAATTGGCGACGTTCAACGAGCATTCCAACAATTCGGCACTGCAATTGCTCATTCTCCAAATTACACGAAGGCAATGTTACCAATAGCATACATAATTCAGGTAAGTACATTACTTTTGAAAATATCAAGTATTATTAAATTTCAAAGAGAAGAGAAATTATTTTCGACGAACGAACTTATTTGATACTATTGTTTCATTTTTCTTTACTTTATAAGAGCTATTCATTAATATTAAATTAATAACATATAAAAATAATTTAATATAAACGAAAAAGATTTGAAACTGACACTTTTAGTAAGAAATATAATAGCAAAACTTACAATAGTTAAGAATTTTTCTTATATCCTTCTCGTGATTTGAAAATATATATAAATAACAAGTTTATTGTTAGGAAAATATATGTATATAGGAAATTCTATAGCAAACTTTCGATTACAATGTACTTGCAATTTATTGATTTTGGCATCAATGCGCGAATAAATTCGTAAGAATAAAATAAAGTATTACATATAGAGATAAAAGGTTCACTCTTTAGAATCACCAAGAATATGACGTTGCGTTATCGAAATACAAACTGGCAGCACAATCGATTCCAGAATCGTATATCTTATGGAATAATATTGGAATGTGTTTTTACGGCAAGCAGAAATATGTTGCCGTAAGTACATTCGCATAAATCTACTTGTTTGTATAATTCTTGTATAATTCTTATTGCACGCTTGTAACATTTAAGTTATTAAAGCTTAAAGATACGTGAAAGAAAGTCAATCATAGCCACTTTCTGCGATGTTACATTGCACAAAGTTAAAAAAATAAAAAGAGCAGAGAACAAAAACACACTGAAAAAAAGTAGCATCGTTGACACGTGATACTATCTACACTTTATCAAGACACGTTCATAGAAATTAGAAAAAAGACAAATGTAACATTTTTTCTTTGAGAATGCGATTTTATTTATGATAGCGAATCCGTGCACGTTGCTGAATTTAATGATGAAAATTAATTCAGAGCTCATTAAAGGGTGCTCGCGCGGAGTTTCAAACAGGATGGCTGGGACTCACTTACGACCCAAAGGAACTCAATTAAAGGATAAAGCTTATAATGCACCGTCACAGTCAAAATGACAAGAAATTAGAGAATGTGAATTCTAAGAGAAAAAGGAAACAAAAGAAAATGAAGGAAAAGAAAAAATGAAATATTTTGCGCAAAGTATACAAGTAATCACTCTCTCTTTACTGCAGCCAATTCTTTTTTTTTTTTTTGTCTAAAACTACTTTAATACGGAAAAAGTAATTCACTGAACAGAATTAAACCGTAGATATTGTAAAATATTTTCAAGGCAACGGGGACTTTTAGATTTGATGATTAAAATTCGAGAAGCAGTGTGCACGGAATAGAAGTTTCTTAATCGATTTCGCCATAACTTGACGATGGGATGAGGTTTCTCACAGGATGAGAAAAAAGAAAACACATTTCCCTAGTTTGAGGAGTCAATTTTTATTATTTTCTTGCAAGATCGGAGTCTCGATTGTGTTTATAACACAATTAAGAAAATTCAGAAGATTTCTGTCAAAACGCGATTTTTAATCTCATCGATCGATTCCCATTATCATTTAGCTATGTGTTAGCCGCTTTAAGATACAATTGTCATTTGTTCTCGCACAAATATCTGCTTCGTAGTTGTCGGACAAATTGGTTGTAATTATTTCCAGGCAATTAGCTGCTTGAAAAGAGCTCATTACCTCAATTCTATGGCTTTTCTGCCCGCTTATAATTTGGGTATGGTTTTTCTAACTACCGGTCAGCCAGCCTCGGCCGCAATTTATTTGTGCGCTGCAGTTAGTGCCGACTCCAAAAATCCAATGCCGTATCTTCTACTTGGACGTAAGGATTTTTGAAAAAATATTGCAACCTTCAATCTTGCTAGAGAGATAGAAATAATTTTGACGAACGGAAGATAATTACGAGCAATCAGATAAAAGTTTCTCTTTAAAGAGAAACAGAGATTACTTCGATTTCATGTGATCAGCAAACATATTATCGTGACGAATATTTTATCATGACAAACACAATAAGTACTATGTCGAAGAACTATTTAGTTTCAAATTCGTCATTTAATCTTACTCATTCCTGTCTATTTGTGTTTTCGTTCATGTACTTTTTTTTTTATTTCTACATTGAAAAGAGCACAGCTGACAAATGATAACGCTTTCGACGATAACATCTGTGTTAAATTTACAAAAAAAAAAAAAGAAAAACGCTGGAGAGATGACAGCGCTTTTTTAGCGATAAAAAGCAAACTACTGTGTCATTGCCATGTAAGAAATTATAATCGTATCCATTTCGTTTCGTCTTTCATCGTCGTCAGCTAACACGATAATGTGCGATAATAATGGAAAAAATTCAATTCTTTATTATTATTACAGTCGCTCTAAAGCGTCTAGATGATCTGGAGGGTGCGGAAAAAGTATTACAGAAGGCTCACGCTCTTTCACCGCAAGATCCTCTGATATTAATCAATTATGCGATAATATTAGAAGCGCAAGGCAAAAGAAATATCGCGGCTGAATTTCTAACAGCGCTAAATGATATTACGGCAGTGATTGATGTGGACTCACAGGCAAGTGTTCTCGATAGAGTAGAGAAAATAGGAGCTATTTCGCGTTAATCTTCCTCTCTTCTTTTATCTTTTATCTTTTATCGCAGATAACGCAAATTGCGAAGAAATTGTCGATGAAAATTCGCCTGGAAAAAACGAACAAACAGGAGGAAGAACCAAGGATACTCAATTCAGACGAAGTCTGAATCTCTTTGTTCGAATAAAAATAATTCTGCCTCCAAAGTAGTTTATTAATATCTAGTCTGAACTTTTTATTCAGGCTTCGTATTTTATTTTGAATTTATATATTATTAATTGAATATATATATATATTAAATTGAATATATATATTATTAATTACAGGATTGCCAGAAGAATATAAACAGGCAACGTGAAAGTAAATGAAAATAAAAACAATTAAACCGAGAATATAAATAAATAATGCGAATTTATTAAATAAAACAAATGTAAATTTTTTATTCGGCGGAAAGGGGAACTTTAAACTTCAAACTATAATTTTTCCATTTTTATTTTAGGTACATATTTAATGAAGTTCTTTTTATGAATCCTTGTGCTATTGAGTCTGCTTGTTTAATAATCCAAGTGCCAAGGAGAACAAGTTTTCTTATTTAACTTGTTACACTCGTTATATACCCAGTGGGTGCTGTTTCAAGAGTGTCAAGGATTAGTAGATGATCGACATACATGGTTACAAAAAAAGAAAATATATTGCCTTTTTTTGCTGTTTATGGTTTAAGGATTATTGGTTACTCAAAATTATACGGAATTTAAACTTAATCCTTTATATTCTTCTATCACAGAAACGACTTTATAATTTTTATTTCTTCTATCTATTTTTATAAAAGTATAATTTTATCGAATATTGTCATTTTTTAATAATATTTTGACATGTTTGTTTTTTTTAATGACTTTTCAATATTGTTAGTAAAAAGTTGCAACCTCCTAATACTCAAACAGTTTTATAAAATTTAAAATGAATGCCAAATGTCAAATATTAAATACTAAAGTAAATTCTATACGTGTTTCTTTGAAATTACCAGCTAGAAACTTACTTTAGTAAATTATTCAACACTACAATGAAATGTCGATCAGTCACGAAACCGAGCAGCACGAACTTAATTTGGAAGTTGGTCTCAAAGTGAAAGGAGGATCATATGTCGTATTCCCAAGCATCGGGAAAGTTGAATTATGCTCAGAAAGCGAAAGTGTCAGCTGGGACTCATTAAGGGTAATTATTAATATGCTAAGACATTTGTCTTTGTAATTGCCTTTGAAGAAAGACAAAGGGAAATAAAGAAAAGACAAAGAAATCTCGAAGAAGATTTGATTAATATTAATTACGATAAAATTGTATCAAGATACTAGAATGAACCTATCTGAATTTATCTGTAAACTGATCATAATGATTTAAGCCATTCATATTCGAGGTAGAAGAAAACAGCTGTTCCTTTCCCAGGAGTATTGTATCAAATATTTATCATGCTCGTTAAAACACTTTAAATTTCCACTTACAATTAGACGAAATTTTGTTTCTTCAGTTCGTTCAAAAAGGGTTTATGATGGGTGGTGGGTGATGGTGAAGAAGATGCACGATAGGTCGTAAAAAAATTTTAAAAATTTCTTTCAAGCATGCAGTCCGCTACGAATATTTTGTCAATTCAGAAAACAGATATTCGTGATTCCTTGAAATTCATAATCAATGATTCACATCTACATATCGATGTGTTTCGTTTCAATCCACGAATTTGTGTCAGGTTCTTTGTTAAATCAAACGATTATTATATTTACATTTACTTACATGATATAAGAGCTCAATTCACACAATATCTACGATCATGGCAATTGTGGTATATTACAAAGCATTCACCAGTAGACGCGATACTTATCGAGGACTGCGTGATATATATCTTGTAAATCTTATTACAAATGTCGACGGACTATCACGCAAACAGATCCACTGAATACCGATCCCCTCATATCAGATCATTTTCGTTTCTTTCAATTTTTAGTGAAAGTTTCAGTGTAACGTGGAACTTTGTCTCGAGTCTTTAGACAGCCTTTGGACTTATCCTCAGAATTAAATATTTTATTGCTAATCATTCCCAGTGACTAGCTATTTTTTGACTTATGGTTTGTTAGTGGTTGGTAATCATTGTCATGTTACGTATTTAACAAGTACGAGGTATCTCGTTATCGTCTGTTTCCGACTATTCTTCCCCTTCTTTCATTTTTCTTTCAAAAATCCAATCCTAGTCGCAATCAATAACGTGGAAAAACATTTACGTCGCTTTCGAAAAGGATGTCTAGGATGTTCCCTGTCATGTTGCTGTCTTTGGCCATCCTATTCCGTGTCGTTTGCGAATTATCCCTGCCGAATAGAGCGAATTCGGATATCATCTACTCCAATATACATCCCTTCTTAGAAAAATGGGCCAAGACCAGTCACACGAAGCTGCTAACTGTGATATTCGACGATTACGATGATCACAGCGCTTTCGACGTCCCTCGTGGCGTTTTAGTTCGCTTAAATCTATCCATAAAACTAGTCAGCCTGAAACATCTAATATCTTTGAATTATAAAGACGTGAGACACGATTATCACACCGAAAGTTGCGTGTTATTATTGTTCTCGAACGTGGACCATCTGAGAGATATCCTCAGTTCTCCGTATTTGACCACGTTTTGGCATCCAGAGAATTTCTATATTCTCCAAGAGCAGAGGCGACGAGTCATCAATTTGTCCGAGTACGAGAAATTTTGTAAGTGGGCGTTCGAAAAGCTTTGGAGTTTTAGAAGGGTTTACAAGCTACTTTTTCTCGCCAACGACAAAACGATTCGACACGATCCCTTCGGTTATGCCGCTCGTCACATCAGGCATTACTTCAACACCAGCTGCGACTGGCAGTGTATCAAATCGCACGAGGACGATTTTCTGTTGATCAGCGAGCGAAATGCCACTGATATATCGGATATGTTCGTCGAGGATAGAAGGGACTTCAAATTGTTTCCCTTGAAGATCTCCATCTTCGAAACGAGCACAATGATCTTCCACGATGGCCACTTCTCTGGGCTGGATTTCAACTACCTCGAGGAAGTCTGCAGAATGATGAACGTGACGTACGTTCTGATAAGATCGAAGGACAAATTCGGCTGGGAAGAGAAGGGTGCATTTTTCGGGACCATCGGACACTTGGTCCACGGGTTCGCGGACGTGTCTTTCAACGAGTTCTTCGTAAAGGGCTACTCAACCAGACAGTTGGAGTTCACGACCTCGATCACCAGTGACAAATTGTGCGTTGTTGTTCCGAAAGCTTCGCCAGTGCCTGATTGTCTGGTGATGGTGAAGATCTTCACAGGTAAAGCCTGGCTGTTGGTGTTTGCGACGCACTTCGTCATCTCGATGATCTATACGATCTTGAAGAACAAGAGAAATCGGAGGATCTTCGCGGCCATTCGACAAGGCGGAAGAGCGTTTTTCTGCTGCGAATATCCCGTTGATACGTACTTTTTAGAGGAGATTGTTCCAAAGACGACGGAGAAAGCACTGCGCGACAAGGTGTACGGGTGAGTAAGTGTTGAAAACATAGAATACATCTGTTTTTGAAATATATCATCAAAGGAAAAGGGGAAATTGTAGCGGATTATCGAGAAAGGTTTGCGAGAATATGCCCGATATTTTGTCTGAATATTAGAAGAGCCATTTTAAATAAAATGTAAATTAAATGCGAAAGAAAAAGGCGAATGAAAATAGCTCGAGCTTTCTATAAAAAGATATATATGCATGTATACGAAATAATTGCAAAAATTGCGAAAAATTGTTCAAAGCTCTTTGCTTATAAGGAGCATCCTTACCCAATTGGGAAGAAAATGATTTTTCTACATGGAAAAATAAATCGAAAAGAAAGAATAAAATTTCTTCACTTAAGCTTTCATGTTCGAGAAAATCAAGTTTAGAAAATATTTTTGAAAGATGAGTTCCAATAAGTGAACATATTCGACATATAAATTTTCATTTATATTACATATGGTTTGTATTACATTATTTTTGCTGCGATAAATATGGATCGAAATGTGGAAGCAATATTTTCGACAATATTTGACAAAAAAGGTCAATTGAAACAAATACACAATGTGTTTCAAAATTTAATGTAGCAGCCAATCTCCAATAAGCCAAATTAATTCTTGTTAATTCCGCCATTTGAATGTAATTCGTATATTTCTACAATTTTCAATATCCAATCACAATATAGAAGAAGAGACAATAAAAGAATAAGAATTGTTTATCGCCCTAGGTATTCTCGTCTTGCTAACGGAATTTGTTTGTTCAGGAAGAAGCAAAATGTCTGGCCGATAATAAAAACGAAGAAGGATAATTCGAAGCGATTCAATCGAGCGTTTCTGTCTTTTCTCAAGTTTGGAAAGTATTTCTCAAAGGTCGTATTTCAACTGATGCAACCCTTTAAATTAGGCCAGGCTTGGTTCCCCGAGAGATTATTGCTGATGTGCAGTTTGCTTCTTAGCTTGATCCTCAATGGGATTATCACTTCTCAACTTGCGTCCAGTTTCAGCAAAAGGATGTATTACGAGGATATCGACAGTTTGGAGCAGTTGGAAGAAAGTGGTAATATTTCACTTTATTCGTACTCCGTCTTATATTATCTATTTCATATTTCCATTTTATTCTGTCTCTAAAAGGATTATTTTCACTTAATTTCTTTAATCTGTAACATCGTCTAACTTGAAAGTTATACATACATCCATATTTTGGAAATTTTATTTCTTATCACATCAGTATATTATTATAAAAACATAAAATAATTTATTTACAAGTAAATTGCAGATGTTGTGAAGATGATATGAAGATTTAGTATTTAAAGAAATATCCAATAGACTATTATAATATTGAATATAGATGAACTCTTATTTCAAGGTTTTACTTAGATTTTATTTCTTCAGTTATGTTAAAAAATTGCATTAACATCCGCATTATAAAGATTTTAATTAATTAAAAATCTTTTTTAATTCCGTTTATAAACGATTACGAACGAATCTGTTATATTATATTAGGTCCATAAAAAGGTAATTATTCTCAACGTTTTAATTGCATAATAAATTTGAAATGCGCATATATATTTGCTGTTGCACCTTTGTTTCCACTTGGAATTATGCTTGACAGGTCTCACGATCTTGACAGACGCCAAAGATGTTATAAGCGACGCATTTACTGATGTTACATCACCATTGATCAAACGACTGAACAAAAGATTAGAATATGCAAACAGTACGGAAGTTAATAGAAGATTATTTGAAACGAAAGACGCTGGTTATCTTCATCGATTCTCGACGCTATCGTTAAAATACAACGAGAATCAGAGGGAGAGACTACACGTCGTCAAGGAATGCCCGAAGGAGTACATCCTCTCCATTATAATGACAAAAGGTTCACAATATTAATGATCGTTGAAGTATAATTTTTCTCACTGTATCGCGTAAATAAGATGTTGAACTTATCAAACTTAATAATCTAATCTTCACTTCTGTTTGTTCATCCAGTGCGGTGAATCAGTTTTCTCCAATTTCGATATGAACGAATTAAACGAATTTACACACGTGCTGATTTATGCGTACACGTTCACATAATTATCTTTCAAAATTCTGATGATACCGAATAGAAGTTTGTAAAATTTTGATTTTTGTAACTTTGATTATAATTTGACGAGGAATTCTATAATATTTTCCTCATCATGATGTTCCACAGATATGATGAGAAAAAAGTAATGCATATCAAATAGCAATCAACGATTCGAAAGGCTATATTCGTCTATATAAATTTGGTGTCGATGTGAATATACGACACGCAAATTTCTAGGCTACAGATTTTCATACATTTTAAAATGTAAAGAATGCGTATAATATGAAGAAATACATATTATATAACAAATATTCAAAGTACAGTACTTTTTATATTTGGTACATAAGATAATTTTCTATTTTACGTTTTATTTTATTCTCTCTTCGTTCTATTCTTTATCTCTTTATTATATTCTCAAAAATATGAGTTTGCATAAGTGCAAATTTGAAGTTCGAACATTCCATATGGAAGATTTTTATGAAGGGTTTGTAAAATATATATAAAACATACAAAGTAGAATAATTTATTAGAATATTTAATAGACGAAATAAATTTCTGCTCCATTTCTACGTTTTCTTTCATAAAAGATTTTTCAAATGTACGAAAATTCGCAGTCCATTAATTTCCTCTTGAAATCCGCGTTCGTATTATAAACCTGAATAATGCCATTGATCCTTTGCATAGTATATTGTAGTAAATAATATTACTGTGTAATAGTAGTACGCAGGTTGAAACAGAAGTTTGCAAATCATGTTATTCGTCCAATCGAAATTTCCGTCTGTAAAATGTAACTGTTGTTACAGGGTCTCCATATAGCGGTCGTATAAACAGGATCATTTCCCGGCTAAACAATGGTGGTTTCTATGGGAAATGGTATCAAAGCATGTATCATTTGCAAAAACGGCCGGAACAGGTAACAAATGATACAACGTTACATAGGAAGATCACTATCCGACATTTATTTATTCCATTCGGGATACTATACGTAGGACTGACTATGAGCATAATCGTATTTATCTACGAGTGGCAACAAAATGACGTTCGACAACTTGTTCAACAACGTTCTTCTTAGAGGAATGCGTTTGATATGATTGAACGAGCTAGAAGTAAAGCAGTACCCTGTATTACTAATTTTCCTATGCAATTGAAATCTTTAGTCCATCATCTTTAATGATGAGACCTGTAATGATTTGTGAAAGAAACGTAAACGTGTGATTATGTGAATATGAATGTCAATATTGTGTTGATTAATTATGAAGAATTAGGGAACGTGGAGAAAAGGTACACAGAGGGAGTGAATCGTTATCTAATTGGATAGAAACAAGAAATATTCAGCTAAATGATCTGTTACATTTTCGACGTTTGACGTAGAAGAGTGCGATGAAAACGTTCGTTTGATTTGCTTGAAGTAAACAGAACAAGAGAAGACAAGTTGGAATTTAAGTAGCGAAGATCCGCGTTAGTCAGACACCAATCTGAAGAAAAGTGTGTTACAAACTTTTTTCGATGGTCGGATAATCTACTTTTGTTAGATTCTCAACACGAAACTTTCCACGTTCTTTTTGTTGAAAAGAATCATTGATTACGTTACTTTTTATTACGATCATTCCTTTGAAGCGTGCTCGCTTTATTTCTCATTTTTGTTATTCTTTTGCTTTTTCTGATAAGATGAATCGTCGTCAAGTAATAATTCTCAATCATAAATCATTGAACACTTGATAAAATTAAATTTGGCTACGATTTACACAATCAAAAAATGTTTAATTTGAGCCTGTACTTTCTTTTCATACCGCTTGAATTATTGAATATTGCATTTGCAGAGATTTTCCAAATACAAAATTTTATATCATTTCATTAAATCACTAGATTAATTGGTCATTAAATAATACGGCCAAAAATTATTTCAATGTTCTAATCATATTCTTCAATAAGTATCCGATGTACTTATGTTCGATTTCTGATAAAAACGTAAAAAAAAAGGAAGAGACGTGTTTGCGTTATCGAACAGAGTTCGCGATTTCTTCACTTTGTATCTACATCGATGATTATTTTTTTTGCCTCCTCAGATAAATGGTGTTTGCACCATTTTGCAATATCGATTCAAAGGATTAAATACAATCTAGTTGTCAACCATGATTCTTCTTCGATTCTAATCTCACGAGGAGTCTCTTATTTCCATAAGTTTTTCATCGAACCGGTGCATAAATATTCGCACACGCGCCATTCTCGTAACGGTTTCGCGTTCTAGCTTGAAATCGCTTGCATTCACATAAGCAGATAGCATCTTTCAGTTTTCGACGTTACCGCGAGTGTATTTTTCCAAGATGATCAACAGCTGTCATCTATGTAATATTAATGGTAAATAAATCGTTCTTCTAGCGTGTAAAAAAGATTGAACTTTAAACTGCCTGGAGAGCTACGTAGTGCGATTCAGTGGTGATAGGGAAGTTAGATCGCTAAAAATAATCTAAAAGCTTATAAAAGTTATTCTAGATGTCATTTTTTTTTTTTTTTTGTTATGATGAATGATCAACCGTCTGTCATGTTAATACTAAATGTTAATATTAATATTAACATAAATATTAATATAAATTAATACTTAATTAAAAGAGTAGAAAGAGCTTTAAAAACTGGAGATGTAGTCGCATAATTCGATTCAGTGATGGTAAACAAAGTGACTGATTAAAAAACAGGCAAGGGAACTATAAAACTATCCTACTCGACGTCAGCCTTTCGTCGTTAAATTCTTGCGATATCCTTTGAAGAACAGAAAATAAAAAATCTCCGAGCAGTGTGAATCACTGAAAGCAATAACAAATACACAATATTATAAAGCAACAAAGATATACAAATATAAATATACAATACTATAAAACAACAGAAATGTTACATTCAACGTACCTGATCTCCCTTGGCGCCTTATTCCTCTTCAAGTCCGTATCGGCGAAACACTCGCGGAACTACAATAAATTCTGCTCGTCGATCGAGGACAAATCTTCATCCAGTCGAGAGAGTGACAATCTGCGACAGCTGTTGAACTTCATTCGACGATCCCCCGATTTTCGTCCACTCACGTTCTCCGTAATTCTGCCAGAGTTTCAATCGAGCTTTGTCGAACTTCTGCTCAGACACGTCGGCGAGAATTCGATTGAGACCTATAAAGTCCGTGCGAGAGATCTATCCATGAAGATCCTCTGGATGAAGCGTCTGCAACTCACCTGGATCCTCGTCGTTCGCGATCTGTCCAGCCTCGACGTGTTCATTTACTGGCAGCCGAATTTGTGGAAAGTGGGAAACCAATACTTGATCATCTTCACGGGGAAAGCAGCCACCACGCTGTGGGAGCAGGTATTCAGAAACTTGTGGAGACGGTACAACGTTTATCGCGTCATCGTCATAGACGACGATTTTCAATGTCTGACGAGGTATGCGCCCTTCGAGGCATCTGACGATGGATTCGGCAGGGCGTACAGATCGTGCTTGAAAACGAATCCCACGAAACGATCTGGAAAGGATGATTGTCTTCAGAATTCGTTGGAAGATCAAACGGGATGTTCGGATATTCAGTTGGATGCTGATACGAGGCTGTTCGAGAATTTTCGAAACTTGAACGGCTATCCGGTGAAAGTATTGGTGTTCGAGTCTCTGTTGATGAACGTTTCGTACGACGATCAGAACAGGCTGAAATTGAGCAAATCGGACGCGAACGTGGTGTTCGCGTTGGAGGAGGCGATGAGGGCGAAATTTCGCGTAAAAGCGATGAGATTGGTCGATTTCAAAGACGATCCATTCCGCACTTCGTTGAATGGCATCGAGGCTGGGAAGTACGACATGATCGCCACCGGATTTTTTATCAAGGTTTACGAACAATATCAAAAGTTTCAGTTCACCTGTCCCATGTACGAAGACAAGTTGTGCTTCGTGTCGCCCGATTCTGGTTTGGTGCCCAAGGCTTACATGCCTTTTCTACCGTTCCAAAAAAGCTTGTGGTTTCTTCTGATGGCGTATAACGTAGTAATTACGTTTCTGTGGTGTCTGGTGGAATACATCAGCGAATCGTTGCGACGTCCACGTTCGATCAGTCGTCGATCGAGTATTAATCGTTCGACGATAAACCAAAGACGGAGCTTCAAAAATTGGATGGGAAATCGTTCTGGAACGAGAGATCTGTATAATCTCAGGGATCCACCAGAAATCCCCCGATACATCGAGAGATTATTCATCTTCATGGAGTACCTTTGTTATCCTCTTCAAACAAGCAGAAGAACAAGCCCAGCGCAGAGAGCTCTGCTCTTTGGTACTCTGTTCTTCGGTCTCATCGTCAACGGTTTGTACCAAAGCGTTTTGGTATCCAGTTTAAGCAAACCTTTCCATTACCCTCAGTTGCATACGCTGAAGGACGTGGTGGACTCTGGGAAGATGGTCGTCACCAAGTACGCCAACCTGAAGAACGTGTTTCTGAACGATTCCGAGCTGTTTCGGAGGATCCACGTGATTAACACGCAACGATCCACATGGGACATCGTCGCGCACGATGACAAAATCGCGATCACGAGGCACTACGCGATGGAGCTCGAGGACCTCGATTATTACGACAAAGAAGGGAACACCCTTTTGAACTTGGTAGACGAGTGCTCGTTGAACTACAGAGTGTCTTATGTGACAAGATTGCATTCACCTTACGCGGAGAGGGTCGATTTCTTCTTGTTAAGGCTGAGAGAAGCGGGACTGCTGAATTTCTGGTTCGGTAACATGTTGTACGAGATCAAGACGAGTAAGATGAAGAGGAAAACGTTGGACAGCGAGAAAAGGAGGATCAGGCTGTCTCTGGAGTACTATTCCTTGACGTTTCTACTGTTGTTCGTTGGCCTGCTTGGATCCGTTTTAATATTCTTTGCAGAATTGTACGTCGCGCAACGATGTACCTGCAAGAAGAAGTATGTCAGAATAAGGAAAAAAGATGAAAGAGTTTCCAGTTTCGAGTAGTTGAAAAGGAAGATCGAAATAAAGAAATTTAATTTAATTTAATTTATTTAATTTAATGTTTCACGCGCAACATTACCAAGGCATGAAGGAATAGTAGATCACAGTGTTTCGAGCTTTCCAGCCGTCTTTCTTTCTCTGTACACGGTGAATTAGTCAGCGAGGCCTGAAGGAAATGATGGTTTATTTTAGGGATCTCTGAAAATACGCGTACACGTTCCATCGTTGAGGCTCAGTTTCTTGTTGCCCCGCAATAGGATCATGGCTCTCAAACGGTGTCTACTTTCGATCATAGTGATAACGATTTCAATCGGTATGTATTTTTCTTCATTCTTTTTCCCACCTTCTCCTCTCTTTTTCCTTTTTATAGTAAACGAAAACATCACACAAATTTCCTATATTGAACCATTTAAGAAAAAGCTTGAAATAAGTCGGGAACGCGTTGATATACAATATTTGAAAACAGAAAAATTTTAGACCCATTTCAGTATTGCAAAATAAATGGAATGAAACTGAGACTGAAACGTTATGTGACTGGTTACAAAAAAATATTTCGAAAATAGTGTCAATGGTTCAATCTAGGAAACTGATTTGCTATAACTAATTTGAGCCATAGATATCCTAAATTGGACCATTACTATAAATAACTTTTATTGAAGAACATACTATAAAATAAATAAAAAGTTATTCTAAAAAGTGTACTAAAATAGTCTGGATATGTATATTCAATTAAATAATCAATCATTGTTTGGGTAAAAGTTCTAAAAAGTATATTACTTGTTATCTTTCTAAAATTTTAAGAGTTCAACTTGAAAGTAGCCTTTTTCAACGATCATGCGGGATTCTATTGCATCTCTTTATTCAAAATCTTCTCTGATAATTTCGATTTTCAGAAAGCCACGAAATAATTATATTTTCTTTTCTTTCAGCTGTATCGCCAATTTTCACGTGGGATCCCGATAATCACCGGTGGGTACCATTCAGTTCCTTTCGATTCTCCAATTATTATTAAGATACTCGCCAATGTTTTTTTTTTTTTCATTTTATAAAATAAAGATTATAAAATGATCTCAATTCCCTTCTCCTTTTGTCTAGCAAACAATATAGCTTATTGTTAGTGTAACTGAACTTAGTCGTGAAGTTTACGAAGAAAAGAATTTAAAATTATCTTTAAAACTCAATTACACCTTTCTCAGCTAAATTGTTTCCCTAAAATATTTAATCTAAAATATTAAATATTAATATTTTAAAAATTATAAATAATAAATTATATATTTAAAAAAAGTAAAAACATTATATATATTTTTAAAATTTAAAATATTAAATAAAATGTTTAATTTAAAATTAAGTTTAACCAAAGTCACTCTTGCTAACTATGTGTTTTAATTTATAAGCTACGAGAGTTACGATCTGGAAAAAGGTCCAGTCTTCTACGAAGCTTACTATCCAGACGCGAACGAGGAACCACGTAGCAACTATCAAAAGAAACGTTACTTCGATCAAGGGACGATTCTGGAGAAAACTTATCAAGTACCCACCGAGCATCTCGCGTATCCGGAGAACAATATTCAACTGGATAATTATCAGAACAGAGCCGACACCGGCATCCGAAATGACAATCGGTTCTTCTTTGAAACGAACGCGCGGCCTTTGGACGTGAAAGAGATCTCGAAACTCGCCAGAAGAGCGATTACCCGGGATTTGGAAAACTGGAACACCCTTGAGAATTATTTGGATCACGTCAAGTACCAGGATCTTGTGTATCGTCGTCGATACGTCATCCCTGAGCCAGGATACAGAGTCGAGCAACCGATTCGTGGACAGGAGTCGAATTTACCGGATCCCTTGAACGAACGGCGCGATTTAAGAAGAGATCTCTACGAAGAGGTTCGAGAAGAACCTTTAGCCTTACCCAGTCGCGTTGAATCAAATGGAGGCCAGAGGGATTCGCTCAGAAGATTGACTGTGCGTGACCTTACTAACAGAGATTCCTTGGGATCGTTCAGATCGATACGGTACGAAAATCAATCGCCAAGAGAACGTGACGATGTGATACAAGCTGTAAGAACGAGCCAGATAAATATGCCATCGATGAGAAACACTGATCCATCGAGCTCGGATCCGATCGTGGATCCTTATCCAACGGAAAACATTTTTGCACCGCGACCTCAGGTGATTAATTACATCTTCTCGAGGAAACCGGAAATAAAAGAGAATGCGGAGAATAAGGTTCAGAGTTTACCTGAAACAAAAGAAACTGGCGAACGTATGCCCAGGAATTACGGAGATAATTTGATTCGGGATGAAATGAGAAAAACCACGGAGGAGGATAAAGACGTGAAAGTGACGTCCATCGAAGTTAGCGAAGTACCTAGACACAAGACTCGCCACCATCACGGGGAATGGCCAAAACGCGACTATTCTCGCCGTCGTCAGTCGTAAAATTTGCAATTCTCGTGTATAAGGCTTGTTCGAAGAGAAATTGATTTGTCTCGTTAATTTCGAGTTCTTTCGGAGGATGTTCAGGACGAACAATATTTTATTTTCAATATAGTATGTAGTTGAAATATTTATTTAATATAGTATGATACAACAACGATACAATTTTCTATATAACAACATATAGATATTTCGCTACGCCTTGTTCGTTTAAACATCACCTTATCATCACATTTATGCAACTGTACATGTACTAACAAGCGATAACACCGCATATATATATATACATACATACATACACATATAGGAAAATATGTAATTTTATTTTTGCGCTCATGGAAGCAACAACATGCTGATATTCGATAAATAAAATGATTTAGATAATGTTAGAATGCATAAACAATGTACAAATGTGATGAATTGATGAAACGATGGTGATGGTAATTGTTTCGAAAGTGTTGATTTTCATTTAGCATGAAAGTATGTTGGAAATATCGAATATAATTTTTTAGAAATATTGGCGAACAAATAAAAAAAACATGTGAAATATGTTTAAAAAAAGGCGAACAGGAATGTTTAGGTGATGCCTTTCTTTCTGATAAAATGGCAATATGATACATTTAGGTGTAATTGAATTTATGAATGAATTTCGGATACTGTAATAATTATACTATGACGAGGACAAAACCACAAGTACTTTATAAGTAATCTACACTATTGGAACACAACTTCGTCTGGTGAATAGTCTCAGTTAGCTACATCTAAAACATTATATTAATTTTTCAATTCTCTTTTTAGATATCTAGCCCATACTAAAATTCTATGTTCACATAAATTGACTGTTCTTTGTGTACATTCGGCAAGATATCATTAATCTAAAACTATTTCACACCTTTCTCTGTATATTAAAATATTAGAGTAACAAAATTGCACTGAATCTATACAACTTACTGTTATGTATGTAAATACTGTACTACATGTTTACTACTCGAATCGTATGAGTAAAAATATTTACAGAACTGTAAAATAAATTACAAAAATAACTTAACATATGACTTTACATACAATCATTCTCTTTAAACACTAAATCGAAACATTCTGCATATTCCTGTTTCCTTATTCATAATTTTATTTTAAATTATAAATTCTTAATCTTTGCTTTGCGATAGTTAAATGACATTAATTTGTATTTTTATATTAACACTTATATTAATGCATATAATAAACTTATAGGATCCTGTGTATATTTACTCTATGAAAGTCAATTTAGTGTTGTATAAAATTATTTCGTTAAATTTATTCTTTCATCTTTCAAGTTTCGAGCATGAAATCGGCACGTTTGATACTATTATAATTATCTGTTATTACAATTTACACGATAATATACAAAAATAATTATAATTTAACTTTAAAGAAGAATGTACTATTAGAAAACATATGTTTAATATCCTGTAAAGTATTGAAAACATAGATATAAATACTGTTAACTAGTAACTATATAATATGTATATATTATTTATTATATGTATATACCTGTTTCACCTTGCTTCAGGTTTGATATCACAAATTTTTTTAGTTCCTCATATGCCTTAGAAAAATTATCATTTTCAATCACTATATCAAAATTACCAGGCTTCTCTCCTAAAATAATTCAGTTAGAAGTTATACATATTTCTTTATCTAACATAAAGATACGTATCAAATGCATTCAGGTTTTTAAGAAAGCAATAAATTAATCTACAACACTTACCATATTCTATCTCTGTTCTAGCAACAGCTAATCTTCGCTGCAAAGTATCTTCAGTTTCTGTTTTCCTAGCTCTTAACCTTTTCTCCAATTCCTCGATAGATGGTGGTTTAATAAATATATAAAAAGGATCCAAAGAGCTTTGTTTTATTTGTTTTATACCTTGCACATCAACATCTAATACACAAATTTTGCCTGCTTCTTGTACATCCTCTACTGCACGTTTACTGAAAACATTAAAAGAAAATTTACATAAGAAACAAAAGCTACTATTTTTTCTGTTGTTTAGTTAAATTTGATTTTTACCTGGTGCCATACATATTCCCACTGTATACCGCAGTCTCAAGAAATTCATTCTGTTCTATCTGCTTTTGCATTTTATCCTTAGTAGTAAAGTGGTAATGTTTTCCATTTTCTTCACCCTCTCTGGGGCTTCTAGTTGTATGAGATACAGAATAACCAAACGTATCTGGAAATTCTTCGAAAAGTTTCTTTATAAGCGTACTTTTGCCACTTCCTGAAGGACCACACAAAACTAATGGACGTGGACCTTTATGAAGCATATTACAAGTACCTAAAAATAAATGCAATAACATCACATTAATTTACATTAATCACTGAATTTACGAGAAAATGTAAAACGTTTGCTTTACGCTTGAATACATTCAATCATTTCATACCTAGAATTAATGTTCTAAAATATGAAACTGATGTCATACTTGCACGTATTTATAATTCAATTAATTTTCACACGGTCGAAGGAAACCGTGTAAGCGCAGGCATATCTAATGTTGTATTTATGATGAATTTGATACAAATCGGTGAAAAGTATGGTGGACCAAAAATACCGAAAACATAATTGACAGCACAATTAAAATAAACACGCGATACAAACAAGAATATAGATAATTACTTGCAATACCTTGAGATTCTTAAACATGATTAAAGTGTGGTATATTCGGAATATTGATTTCTTGAAAAGGAAATGTGTCCAAGATTGTGCAAGTTGTTTAATAAAACAAAACTTAATTAATTTAAATTAGACGTACCGAAGAATCCAAAAATCTTTTTAAAAATCTCATTTACTGCAATTGATGCATGCGTAATTTTCACAAAACACGTTGAAAGACAAGAAGTAAAATCATTGCATGAAAATGTTAACAGTATACTTTTTCACTTTGACGAACATCGAGTCTCACCTTTATAGGTAGTTGAATTTTTCAAAATGTATAACACAATAACAAATACCACTAAATGTGTGGTGACAGTTTTCTAGCAAAACGAAGTTGGAAATCCGATAGTCGGAACAACTACCACGTTTTCATTCAGCAATGGGCGACTGCGCGTATGCTGTCGCATAGTGAATCACGAGCATTATATATATGACGCATACACTATAGACATCTATAGTAGAAACTATAGAAATTTATACATAAAGATAAATGTATACATTTATGATAAGAGAAATATTAAATAATATTTTTATTTTTTACTGTACATTTATGAATTTATTTTTTCTTAAAATTAATTAATATTTTTATTTTTTTACTATATATATGTGTGAATTTTTTTTTAAATTTGTACGAATAATTTTTTATGTAATAAGAAAATATTCCCTATATAGAGTGTAAATTTATTTCCATTTTTTTTTTATAACTCATACTATTTTTATAAGTTTCTATAAATTTTTAAGAGATAAAATTATCATTGCTGAAAATAATAATATATGACCGTTTATTCGTATATATTCTAATTAAAAATAGAATATGAAATTTAACATTACAATTACAACTATTTAATCATTTTAACTACAATCAAGTAAAATTTGTTTTATTATATACAATTAATAATTTATTTAACAAAGTACTGATCAAAAATTGAAGTAGATATATACCATTTTTACATTTTATTAAATATATATATATAATTTTTCATAAATATTTATATTATTTTTAATATTTAAATGGTAATTATGTATAATACAGATTATAAGGTTTAAAATTTCTCTGATAATCCATTTTTATACCATATATAAATCGAAAATATGAGTTTAAATACACATTTCCTATTCTATACACATACACAAATTTTAATCAGAATAAGGATGATTTTAGTGATGTAAGTTATATCAATAACTCTTATAAAATTATAATTTTTATATAATATAGCTAGTATATTACTAGCTACATTTGAACATTGCACAAATAATACTAGATTTATATCAACAAAATGTAGTCTTGTCATATACGTAATCACGTGCGTAAGTCGTAATTTTTCATATCTTTTTCTTCAAGATAGAAATAAGATCATTTTAAACTTCAGTAGGGTCAGTAGGTTTGTCTTGTGTTCTTCGTCGTGCCAAATCAGACATGTCAACAGGACCAATATGAGGTGATCTTGGGCTACTAGACATTGCTCTATATGTGGCTGCTACTGCTCTCTAAAAAGATGTTATTAATTTGACTTATATATTTATTTATGTTATTAATTTGATTACTTTTAATGTACATCTATAGGGAATATTGTATACCTTTAGGCTGTGAGGATCCCTAGTACTGTCAGGTAATACTTTCTGTGGAAGGCGATGACGATTGGCAATCCATGGATATTTTAATATGGCAGCTGCAGTAGGCCTCCGATTAGGATCAACGTGTAACATTGCTTTAACGAGTTCTTTAGCCTCATTTGAAATTTGACACCATATTCCGTTTTCAACATCAATATAACCAGGCCCAATATGATCTAATATGTCTGTTGCACTATCACCTGGACTATTACGAAATGGTGTATATCTAAAATATATAAAAATATAATTTAGTACATAAATATTTACGTTCCTTAAGTTTTGTGTCTAGTCTAATTTACCCAGCTAACATAATGTATAGCAAAACGCCAAGTGACCAAATATCACATGCTGCATCATATCCTTGACGTTTCAATACTTCTGGCGCTACGAAATTCGCAGTATAACAGGGAGTCATTAATAAACCATTATCTGCTCGTAACTGTTTTGCGAAACCAAGATCGCATAAACAAAGTGTCGATGGATCAGCCCCCGGCTTTGAATACAATATATTAGATGGCTTTAAATCTCTGTGAACGACCTATTGATTACATAAGCCCATTAATCAATAAACATGATAAAATATAAAATGAAAAAGGTATTGCATAAATAGATAATTACTCCATTTTCATGAAGATAATTGACTACACGAGCTATTGTGTATATTACTTCAGCTGCTTCTTTTTCCGTAAGATTACGCCTCTGTAGTATTCGATCAAGTAATTCTCCACCGCGTAATAATTCTAGTACGAGATAAGCTTGTTTATCATCCTCGTGAACAGCTTTTAAAGTTACAATATGAGAATGTTTTCCATATCTCAGTAAAATTTCTATTTCTTCTGTCGGATCTCTGTTTGATTTTTCAATTACTTTCACAGCATACTCTGCTTTGGAAGCTTTATGAACAGCTAAATAAACAGTGCTGTAGCTTCCTCTACCAATCTCTTGTTTAAACTCGTATTCGTCAGTTACAGAAATGGGGCTCACGTAAGTCGGGAAAGTTGCACTAAGACTATAACAGTTTTTATATTCAGGAGTTTTTAAATGATCCTCAAGAAGGCATGGTGCAACAAAGCTAAATCCACGAAACAATTCGTGAGTATTAGCACTTGGTGGTACCCCAGGAGAATCTAAGATATAATAATTTTACTCATTTATAATATAAATTTAATTATGTAATATATTAATTATGTAATATGTAGTATTTATTATATACTACCTTTAGGCGTCTTACATGTAAATTCACTATCAAAATAAAATACATCATCATCTTGACTAACAGCTGGTTTAAAAGGCGGTTTTATTTCTTTCCTGTAAAGTGCATCCCAATCAATTGTTGCAAAAAACTCGTGATTTTTCATCTGTTCTATTCCACCTCAAATAAATAAAAAGAAGGAATGAATATAACATAATAACTATCTTCGTAATTTAAAAAAATGCTATAAGTGAATACCAGAGCCTAATCTATTTGCAGGATTTCTTTTAAACAATGCTCTCAAAAGCGCCTGTCCTTCCGGGGAAATGTTAAGTGGCATTCCGAGTTTTGCTTTTAATATTTGTGTCATTGTTTCTCTACGGTTTGCACCTTGAAATGGAAGCACTCCAGTCAACATTTCAAACTAAAAGTTAAAAATTTGTTTAAATAGCATTTAATGTATATATACCATTATACAACATATCATTTCTATGCAACTAACCATAAGAACACCAAAACTCCACCAATCTGCAGCAAATGAATGCCCTTTCCTATTTACAATTTCAGGTGCCATATATTCTATAGTACCACAAAATGAAAATGTTTTACAATCATCTACAGGCTGTTTACATAGACCAAAATCGGTTAAAGAAATATGACCTTCAGTATCAAGCAAAATACTGTTATAAATAAAATAAATATTAAAATTTATACAGTTTGTAATATTTGAATTATCGACAAATGATATGATACAAACTTTTCTGGTTTGAGATCCCTATAAATAATTCCAAGCTTATGTATGTGATCCAATGCAAGAGCAAGCTCAGCTAAATAAAATTTTACATCATCTTCAGTGAACATTACCTAGAACAATAATCATAATCATAATATAAAGTCATATAATCATAATTATAATATAAATCAAAACTATTACTACTGTAAACTATGTACCTCCTTAGCTAATCTTGAAAATAGATCACCACCTCTTAAAAAGTCCAAAATTAAATAGAGATTGCCTTCTGTTTGGAATGCATAATGTAACTGAACAATGAATGGATGCTCAACATCCACTAATATGTTTCTCTCCATTTTTGTCCTAATTTTGTCCCGAACTGAAATAATATTGCAATATTAAACAACTTTAAGAAAAAAAAAGAAAGGAAGAATTTTTAATAGGAAAGAATTGCTCTGAAAATTTTCTTTACGAAGTGTTTAATACAAAAACTGAAATATAGACTCTTAACATATTTTATACTTAAAAATCTTTGTATTTTATATTTAAGATCAATGTTTTTATTTAAAACCTTCAGAGCTATTCTTGTGTATTTAACATGTTAAGCACATTTCAATGTTGCCTTCTTTAACACCTTCATAGCATAAAGAGTTCCACTATCTTTTCCAACAACCTTCCTTACTAGGAATACCTAAATTAACATGGGAATTTTCATTAGTGAGGAAATTGCATTTAATTACATTTAGAATTGTATTTCATTTACTATGACATTTAATACCTTTCCAAAGGATCCTTGGCCCAGAACTTTGAGCAGTTCAAATTGAGATGGATCTGCTTTTTCATGCCCGTCCCTAACTACCTCACGGACTTCTATCTCATGTGTCTCGGAGCATCTATTCGAAGGTGGTTCAACCACATTTTTTTGAACTATCGTTATCGGATCCTCTTGAGAGTCTGATGAAAGGCTATCCTCATCTTCCTGAAGGATTAAATTATTTACAATACACGAGTTACAACTGTAACTGAACAATTAACAAACCACGATTGGAACGTTCTTTAACATCGATCGGTCTGTTCAGCAATTATAAAAATAATTACCTTTTCCATTACATCGGACCAAGGAACTGTCAAATTCGCCAACGGCATTATATTTGACGTTGTGTTATTATCTGTGAAATTGTAAATGTTCTCGTAAAATTTTCTCGCGTGTGCGGCCGTCATAAATTTAACATTTAGTTACGTTACAATGGCACAATATAAATCACTCCAAGGAACGTAATGCGCTACGGGAATTCGCGGTAAATTGACAGACGCATCTATGATATATACTTCGGTATTGACCACAGATAACACATTAAACTAAAGGCATTCAAAACCAGATCTCTGACGCGAACCGGAAGTGCCTGCTTCGTAGCTTTAAATAAAGCTAGGCGAAATGGCTGTTTTTCAACAAAATTTCACTATGCATCTATAAAAATATAGAGAAGCGCGTAAATATGTTCGAAATAATATACATACGTAGATATATCACCTGATATAAGTAAAATGTGAAATATTTTCAACGAGGCAGATACGGCGTTTAGTAAAACATTTAGCAAAACTTACTTGTTGATCTAATATTAAAAACCGATGTTCAATGTCCTTTATAACGATTATCCTTTTTTTACGTTTCTCTCTGCTGGCCTAAGAAGTCACCTTTATATGTATCTTATCGATTTGTCAACAAACAAGACAAAATAAACTAAGAAAATGTATTGGACAGATATAGATAATATATAATGTGATAACAATATATTAGAACAAACATTAAAAAAGAAGTACAATTGTTTTATATTAAATTAACTATCTTATTATATCAATGTAGTTCTATAAGTTTTATATCACATCACTTGATGATATACAAACAATCAATTTTTTTAATTTTCTTAATAAAAATTTTACTTCATTTCTTTTTTAGTATAGTATAGTGTATTGTAACAAGTCTTGCTTAGAAATGAACAAAGTATAAAACGGAGTATTTGTTCTATTTGATGTGAAACACGTTTACATAGAAAATATATTCCTGACATCCAACAAGTGGTAAGTACAACTTTATATATAAACATATATAAAATAATGTTTCTCATTTTTACATATAGATGTCGAATTGCAACGGAGTATATGTAATTCATGCATAGCTTGTGAATGATTCTTGTTTATAACGAACAGTTCAAAAATATTGATATAACAAGTTTTTGAAATTTTTTTGAATTGAACGAATTATACGCGTTTGTGATAAGAAACGTTGAAACAAGCGAAAGAAAAAAGAAAGAACTTGAAACGTTGGCAGTTGTCCTAACCTATTCTGAGATTTATGAAATAATATAATTGCTTAGCAATTTCTTCTCGTTAGGTAATAATTTTATGATAATATGTCAAGTAAATTATTAAATCGTCATTTGTATGTAATTGTATTTGACATGGAAAAAATTTCTCGCAGTATAAGTGACATAACCTCAACGAAGTGCCATTTATTTATATGAAGTTTTTTTATGTGTGTTATTTTGTTCAAGAAAAATAAAAATGCCATGCTGGTACTATGAGAAAAAAGAACTGCGAAATACACCATCCATCCAAGATGGAATTGATTACGAAACAGAATGCAGATATAGGAAAGAGGGTGCAAGATTTATTATTGACACAGGCACAAAAATGGATTTAGGATATAATACAATGGCAACTGGAGTTGTTTATTTTCATAGGTTTTACATGTTTCATTCGTTTAAAAATTTCCCAAGATATGTGAGTATTTAGTGATAAATATGAGATATCTTAACCTGAGAAAAATAAATCTCATACATTTTATAAACGTTACATAGGTGACTGCATGCTGTTGTTTATTACTAGCAGGCAAGGTAGAAGAGACACCCAAAAAATGTAAAGATATAATTAAGACTGCAAAGTCTTTGTTAACTGAACAAAAATTTATGACATTTGGAGAAGATCCAAAGGTAGATTAGTAATATATCTGTTTTTGAAATACTTATATATTTGTGAAATAATCTCGTAAATAAATGTAAAGCAATCTTTCTATTAATTCTTTTAGGAGGAAGTCATAACATTAGAAAGAATTTTGTTACAAACTATAAAGTTTGATTTGCAAGTTGAGCATCCATACAGTTACTTGTTAAAATATGCAAAATGCCTTAAAGGTATTAAAATTCTACATATTTAATAAATAATAAATAACAAAACGATATAATAAAAATATCAATGGTATATTGCAGGTGATAAAAATAAATTACAAAAAATGGTTCAAATGGCTTGGACATTTGTTAATGATAGGTATGTTGTCTGGTTAGTGAAAATATTTTTCTGGTGCAATAGTGCAGATTAATATTTAATATAGATTTTATCATCCACTATTATCCAACTTACATATTTTTGACTTGACTCTTTGATTTCACTTAATCACCTAATATTGATTGTTCGACTGATTTCGTTTTTTATTATTCTGCTTTTTGTATTACAGACGATTACTTTTAATCATTTGAATGTTGAAATACGATCGCGCTCGTCTGTTATTTTGCTAACAGTATGGAAAACGCGATCATTAACACTGAAATGGTTGAACTATCTTTCGCATTTAAATGGCTCCGACTGTTTTATCGGTTCTCTGACTTTTTTTAAAGTGATTGGTTGTAATCATTGATAAATAATGTACGCACACATATATACACACGTGTACGCAAATGTCAAAACATTCGACGTTATGACAATTTCAAAACTATGATATCTATCAATCTAAATTCCACAATACATTTTATTACTATTTTTAAAAAAATTTTACTAATCAATGTAATCTTTATTTTTTTAATTGTAGTTTATGTACAACACTGTCATTACAATGGGAACCAGAAATTATTGCTGTTGCCCTTATGTACTTGGCAGGAAAACTTAGCAAATTCGAAGTAGTAGATTGGAATGGAAGATTACCAAAACATTTACGTTGGTGGGATATGTTTGTTGAAGATATAACTATGGATCTTCTAGAAGGTTTTCTAAAAAGATTTTTAAAATATATCAATATAAATAAAAATATGTGATTATACATATATATATATATATATATATATACATATAATTTTTTATTTTTTCAGATATATGTCATCAAGTATTAGATTTGTATTCACAAGCAAATAATACAAAGCCACCAGATTCACCACCATTAACACCATCTAATGAGCCTTGCAGAGACAGAACTATAACAGCACCTCCCACAGAATCAGCATCTACAACGCCAAATGGTATCAACAACAACAAAAATATTTATTTTATTATAACAAATGCAAAAATATCTTATTGATGTCAAATTATAGTTACACCAGGAAAAACTATTAAAGTTGAGACAGCTGCAGTCTCCGCAAATGGATGCTTAACTACAGATGCCTCAGAAGCAATTAAACCAATGGATGTGCCAACACATTTCCCAACGTATCCAGCTAATTTTGCACCTAGTAATATCAATTATCCTCCAGCATTTCCTCCAGCAAATGTTTCTGTACCTCCACCTCCTGTAAATACAATGAATCACATTGTTCCGCCAATGCATCATATGGGTACTTCCGCTACCATCAGACCTGCACCACCAGCACCTACTACAACACCAGCACCATTTCAGCCATATCCTTATCCCACAAACGCGACATATTTTCCTCCAAATAATCCAGTACCTTCAGCACCTGCACCACGTACATATTACCCCCCACAACCTTAACACATACAAATTTATATCGAATATTTTTGTTTGCGTGTGTCATTATTAGATATTAAGTTAGCATTATTATAAAAATAATACTTAAAATCTTGTAAATATTGTAAATATGTAAGGTTCATAATTGACAATAGTATTTAATTATAAAGCTTTTGTATTATCAATATTCACTTATTTTAATTTCTAATTTAAATAAGAAAATACAAATATAAAACTTTTAAGGAAAAATTATCCAAAGTTTCACATGTAAAGATTGCCTTTATTGAAGAAGTCTTTTCCAGAGAATGTAACATTATGTAGTAATGTATAATTTGTTAATAATTTTAAAAGCGGTTCTGCAGATAATGAGTCTAGTACAAAACTATCTGTATATAAAATATATAAAACTGAAGGTAGTTCCATAATTTGAGAATATGACAATACTGAAACATAAATAAGTTTATTAATAGACTTATATCTTTGATATATTTTGTATCATTTGAATATATATATTAACCTCCTGCTGTTACTCCATATACAATATTTGGCTGCTCTAAATATGGTTCTTTCAACTTGCAAATATTCTCTCCACTTGCTGTAGTCAACATTCTTAAGAAAGATGGTACTTTTGGTATATTCTTGTTTTTATATTGTGATATATGACGACATGTTATGCAAATTGTATTTTTTGCACTTGATATAATATCACCCATCTAACGGATTTAATAAAATTAATGCAAGTTATTAATATTAAGTACTAGGTAATTTCAGGTAAATTTCCTTACTTTTTCTACAAGTTTGCCTGACAACTTTACATCAAAACGTGAAGACACAATACCTATGTAAAGCTCATCATTGATTTGATAAATTGTATATATTTTCTTCTGTTTTTCATCTTCCACAAAACATATTTCTCGTGAATTTGAGCACAAGCATTTTTTTGAAAAATCTATTATTAAAAACATTTAATAACATGCTCAAAATATTAATATCACCAACTAATTAAATAAATATATATTACCAATTAACATTTCACCCTCGATTACAATTAAAGTATCGATACTGGATGGTTTTTCTTTTAACCATCGTATAAAAAATTCGCTAAAATGTATATAAAAAATATAATATCTGAAATTCTTTGAATATACCTAGGTTAGGTTTAACGAAATATAACATACGGTTGATTAACTAAAGATTCAGTTTCTTTATTTTCATCTTCATCGTCCCAAAACGCTCGCGAAACTGGAAATACTACTTCACCAAAAAAACTTGCCATTTTGTAAATAAAATTAATAGAAATCACTGTAAAATATAGTCTCCCTTGTAGGACAATACTTTTATTACTACATGCGTCATACTAGATGATGACTTTGAAAAAAATTATGTAATTTATTTCTTCCCAAAACATTGTATTTCGGATGCAGTAAAAGATACAAAAAATACATACAATAATTCACGAAGGTATACAGTTAACTATCTACAATATTAATAAGTTTCAACATTTAGTGAGATCATCTTTAACACTTATACATATACCAAAACTATTTATACTACATATATATATATCTATTAAATACAAGTTTGCAGTATGATTGTAGCAATCATCTTTTATGATAATGCTATTAAAATTTCAAGATATTTTAGAAACACACATAATATACACATAAAAGTTTTTTTATGCCAAGTGTACAAATGCTTTTGTGAGTCATATCTTGTTTATTGAAACTTAATTTTATAAAAGATTGTACATTTCATTGCAAAAGAAATTATATAATTTTAATATTACAGCTATTAAAAAATTTTTTATTTGTCCGCTGTACATTCTCATATAAAAAGTATAAAAATTCTTATTTTAATGTCTTTATTATAGAAATATACTTTATATTATATAATATACTTTATATGTCAACAATATTTCTAAATTATGTCTAAAATATATATATATTTTTTTTGATAATCACACTCTATTCATTGTGTCAAAGATTTTAAAAAATGATGTGCTTAAATTTAGTAATAAATGTTATGATCATTTCTTTTGGTTTCATACTCCATTAATTTGGACCCTACATGTGTATGTGTGTGTGTACATAGACTCTATATAATCCTAATATGATTGAAATATTCTAGAAAATAATGAGCATTGCAATTCTTAAAGGTACAACTTTGTAACATATTTTGGTATCTAAAGGTACCTTTGCTAATATTTTATACATATTATACTTTAAAATATACGGTATAAGATCATGTACTTGACACGTGACGTGTACTGTTCCCAAGCTAAACCATATCGTATTTTGCACCGTTCATTATCTCTTATTGCTCTGTGCATCAATAATCCTGAGCACATAATTGCATAATAATAAGGCAAAATATCACATGCTAAACTTATACTCGATATTGACCACCATATTATTATATCACCCAAATAATTTGGATGTCTCACGTGACCCCATAATCCAGATACAATGAGCTTCTTACCACGGACAGTCGGTATAGTTTCTAAATCTATATAAATGTAAAAATAATATAAATATATATAATATAAATATATATAATAAAAGTAAATTTTGTAGTATTAATATTAATTTGATTATAAGATGACTTTATACTTACGCATTAATGATGGAGATAAAGGATTCCTTCTAAATTCATTCTTTTGTGAATTGCTAATTCTATATAACAAATATCCAATTATAAATGCAAGTAGAGGAAAGACGAATAGGTAAGTAAATTGTATTCTGAAATTGAAAAAACGTCCCAATAAAATAAAATTTCAATTATATAATGTACTATTAGTTTTTAGTTTTAATACTTACTTATGATACAGCATGTACTTTGTTGTAAGAGTTGGTAAAAATGGGTACATCATATAACCGGTGCATAACATGTAACCTGTCCCTTCGTACATTATTTCAAAAGTCGTCAGTATTGTAGATTCAAAAAAAAGCGCGTCTATTGCATAAATTATCTGCAGCAATGCACCTAATAAAACACCTATATTAAGATGCTCTAAACTATAAGTTTCCGTTTCTTCAATTGTTTTCATTACAATGGACAAGTTTATAAGAATCTGTAATTTGAATAAAATCATCAATATCTTATAATACACATTTCTATAAATAAACAAGTTTAAAAAAAAAATTATTACTATCGCTATCATAGAAGTCCGGAAGAGAGTTATTTTAAAATCCACAGGACCAATTCGTGGATTTATTTCCCTTCCTTGCCAAAAGTTATAAATCACACTGTTAGTAGATCCGTGTATGTTTAAATTAGCTACAGGTGCTCTGCCTCCTTTTACAAATAACAACAATGATAAAATTGTTCCAAGAATCCAACCACTGATTGAAAATTGTACAGAATTTTGTGTAATAAGATCAATGATTTCTAGTTCCTCATATATACATACAGCAAATATGATTACTGATAAAAGACCACATAAAAAACCTGAAAAAAGAAAATAATTTTAATCAAACACTTTATATTTAAATACAATAATTTAAATAATAACTATTACCATTTAAACGATATTGTATTCTTCCAATTCTAGTATGTGGTCCATCAATTTTTCGGCCAATTGGTAGAGTCGAAAAAATTATTACAAATAAAAAGAAACATAAATACGCGGTAAAAGATTTAAAATTTGTATATAATGTAATATCTGGTATCTTAGGATATCCAAATAAACATTCATCTTTTGTACACATTAATTGCGGTAGTATTACAATCATGGGTGATAAAATTATAAGAAAAAGAGTTCCAAGCCATCCACCCCATTCTTGTGGTTCACTAACCATGCTGATTTCCTTTTTTCGTTTTTCTAATACTTGTGGATTTGTATTTACATTTTCTTCATAATTTAACGTTTTTAACAAATCCTGAAATCAAATATTAATAAATATATATAAAACGTTCGTTATCTATATTAATAAATTATGTATAAAAATCTTACTTGATCTTTTTGTACTGAATGGCCTCTTTCTTTTACGTCAATGCCAAAATCATGCATTTGACCTTTCCTTTCTAAAGGAAGTGAGACAGCTCGATTAATATTTCTTGTTAACAAAACCATTTTATGGTCTGATTCAGGTTTTAGCGTACCAGATAACAGTCTTGTTGATCTACGCGTTGCTGTGCTTAATTCCTTCAATCGTGATTGAAGAGGCATTGATTCAACAGCATATTCATCATCATTTACATTTTTCTTATTGGTGACATCATTATCTATATATTATGTGTACAGAAGTATCAAATTACAAAATTATTGAGTAACATTGTCAAGAAAATAACTCAAGAAAATAGTCATATGCAGATTTATTATATTTACCTCCCGGTACTTCTATCCGTGGTAGAGTAATTTTTGCAAACTTTTGGTTCCTAGTTGATTGTTTACTGGCAGATGGAGATCTTCCAGCTGAACGTCTATGTGGAGATCTTTTGGTTGATGAATGTCTGGTAGGACTTTTTCTACCTCTACTACTAGCTCTTGTTGTACTTCGTGATGGTCTATTTATCTAAAATTTTGAGAAAATTATAATATTTAAAACGTAGAGAATATCATAAGCTTAACAAAAACAATACCTTAATATCAGTTGAATGAACATACTGTTCAATGCCTGTTTCAAATTGTACCTTATAACGTTCACCTCTCATACCCAATATTTTAACTTTATGATATCTATCAGTACTTGGATGTTTTACAAGCACTTCGTCTCCTTCTGAAAACTTCATTTTACACCTAAAAATTAATAATAGCTTTAAAATATCATTACGTTACATAACAGTTGAATGCATTAGATGTGTCATCAACTTTTAATTGTATTCTAATTACAATAAAATCACAATTATAATTATTTCCACAAAAGAAAAAACAGAAAAAATGAAAATGAATCAAATATTATATTATTGTTCACACTGCACAATGAATTAAATTATGTACAATAATTCGTACAATTGAAAACTACCGTACATGTGACGATTCATGAATTAAATTCTCACACATGAAAATATTAATCGATATAATTTTTCAACTTACACGTAGTTTTACTCAGATTACAGTAATATCTTCTAATGAGATTCCAGTTAGTTTAAAAATAAGAGAGCTTCTAATCGCAAGGTTATAATTAACGCCTTTTTTTTGCATCATAACAGCGAAGACGCGCACACGCTATAGCGTTCCAAGATGCATAAAATGCAGACCACGCTAAATAAATGCGTCCATTGCATTATGATCGATTTACAACAAAGCATGTTTTGCGATTTAAGTATGTTTCATAGAATGACCAATATAAATTTATATTTTTAAACAAATATATTTTTAAATTTTATATATATATATATATATGTAAAACGTAATATTTATTATATAGTATTTGCATCAATATCGGAACTTCAAAGAACTACATATAGTAATATATAGCGTTTTCATTTTGACTTTATTATCAATTTAATTTTAGTCATTAAATCTGTTGTTTCCTTGCAGCAATACATTACATTTTTGTCTTTTTTTCTTTTAAATCTCAAGCAATCGTGACATAACTATCGAAGATAGTAATAGAGTAAGATAGTAAGAATTATATAAAATATACATACAAATCAACTATCAGTGAGTACTTATTGTACATGTTTTAAACTGTACCGCGCTGGTGTTTAAATTTTCGCACCTTTTGTAACAATTTACATTTCATGCAGATTACGATAGTTGTCTCAACATGCTGAAAATATTTTCATTGATATCAATTCGCTAAACATATATGGGAATTACTTGCATCAACACGAAATTCAATGAAATAATCATGGACAAAAATATTCAAGAAGAACAAGCAAATCTAAAAGACGAACAACAATTTTTGGTTAGTTCACATTCATTTGATATTTCTCTGATGTTTAAAGAACGATTAACATCAATCATTCTATATATCCTGCGATTTATAGAACGTGAAAATGCTGCTGGAAATGACGTTAGGCAAATCTACATCCGCGTAATAATTTTTCAGATTTCCGTGGAGGATACCCTCGACACTGTCAAACGAAGTATCCATAAATTTATAACCGACGTTCCACAAGCGCTCGCAAATTCCGGATTAGATTTAGATTTGGAAAAATTGAATATAGAAAATGATCAAAAAATTCAGGATCCCATTTCTGATCAAACAAATAAGGGTATACGTATCTTTTTTTTTTTTTTAATTTACAACATTTCGTTAATCGACGTTTTTGACTTTTGCAGAAGAAAAAGAGAAAATTTCAGCCCTGAACATGAAGTGTGACCAATTGCAGAGTCAACTGCAGCTACAAATAAATAGAAACAAAAAGGCAGAGGAAGAAATAGAATATCTGAGAGAACAAGTGATTTGGCCATAATTTAATTTACAAAATATTCATTAGCATTCATTACGTTAATAGGCATGTTCATTATTTCTGTAGATATTGAATCAAAGTACGTACTGCGCGACTTTGGGAGCGGTCTTAGGAAATTTAACATGGCGTGCATCTCGATTTCCGGAAATCGTCGATGTCTGGCTTTCCGGGGTAAATACTTCTGCCTCTGGAACTCAACAGCACAGCTTCGCGTTAATTACTCTACTCTTACTATAGTTTCAGCACATGATCGGCGAATTTTTATCGATAACGGACGGAAGTTTCGTCGCATTCATAAACACTTATCGAAATGCTTTCCCCCCTACATGCAATGTTGAATATCAATTTATAATTGGATTGTTAGGCATTGTAACGAATATATCTGCAACACCAGAGGGACGTGAATTTTTGATCACCGATACGAACGGCAAAGCTTTCGTGCAGAAAATGGTGAAACTCATGCCCACGTTGCCACTTTCGCAAGGCTCTCTGTCCCTAAAGAGGTAACTCTCGTGAGTGACGGCTATATAATTGACAATTTTCCTAATCGCGTCAATGTCTGTCATAGATTGATGCTGATGATATTCTACAATGTCAGCATGAATAAAACCGGACTGCAGTATCTTTTCGAGTCGCGGGTAAGCGACGTGTTAGACTGTTATTTGAGGAACAACTCGTTACCGGATGAGACACAGTTCCTTTGTCTGCGCGTGCTGCAGTCGATGACATACGGTCTAATGAATCCCAAGTACATTCAAGACCTGACCAACACCCTACCGATCAGCAGAATAGAAAATATAGCGACATCGAACAAAAACGAAATGAGCGCAGTCGCGAAACAAGTGATAAAACAGTTGCGGGATTCGCATAAATTCATTCACATGAATTAAGCGCGTGACTGTCCGGAGCGTGACTATTCGACGAGCTCAAATTTTGTTAATGAGAATGGAATTTCTATTCGTTCATATTCCAGATTAACGGGAATTATTAAAATATTCGAACGAAGTGCAGCTTGCCTTCCCAGCCGAAGGACACGAATTTCATATTTTACGATTGCACCGCTATCACAATGACGAAATATCTTTAGCGTTCGTGACTCTGAGAACTGTCGAATATCGATTTGCCTTGTGCAGCTACAAAATAAAAGCAATTGTGCGGGATAACGTACGAAATAGTACGAAATCAATTATACGTACGGTCGTTATCGAATGCACAAATATTTTCCGAGCCAATTGAACCAATTATGCAAATGGTTTCACAATGATTGAACGCAAAATACTTTTTCTAATTTTCTTTTTAATTAGAGATTCATCGGAAGCATTTTATTTAATGCAAATAGTTAATACATAAGTGCAAATGGCACAAGGATGCGCTAGATGCGGTTGAGGAACATGTTACTCTAAATTTCATTGAACATTTGCGACCTTCAATGTCGAAGGTTGCGACAACACTGCAGTATCTCTATTACCGAGAGAAAACCCAGCGTTTTTCATTTGCAAAACCTCTGTTTAATTACATGAATATCTTAAATTGTAATTATCGAATCGTTATCGAAGCCTAGGTAAGTATGTAAGTATAGCTGTATTATTTACATTACTTTATAACAAATTGTTCAACTTCACGAAGAAAACAAATCCTTGTCAAATCAAATTCCCCTTGAACTCTCGAGAGGAACGTGAAAGGATAAGTGCGATTTCTAGCTTCAATTTTATAAAAAATTGAGAGCCCTAATATACATCCGGACTAAATGTCACGAAGAAGATTAACCACGAGTCATTACAGTGAAAAAACCCCAAGTTCAGTCATCGATTCCCGCGGCAAGTGGGAGGGGAAAAAAAAAGAAAAGAAAAAAGAAAAAAATCGTAGCATTAACAGAAATAGTAATTCGGGGAAATCAGTATGTCTCGTTACCCCGCGTCATAAAGGGACAGATGAAACGGAAGAAAGGAAGACAGAGGGAGGAAAGAGTGCAGATGTACAAGACGCATGCAATACCGACTATCGCATCGATAATCGTGCTGCGCAAACTCGTGGGGAGAGACCACGTGGGGGCGTGCGCTGAAGGAGATCGCGCTTGCGTGTCGCGGGTAGATCCGGCGCGTTCGGCATCCGCTGTGCCGAAGAGCGACGGGGGAGGGGGATATGCGTCGCGACATCTAGCGTCGCGTGAACGGGAGAGATCACGGCAGGCAGGCAGGCAGGACCTAGGAAAGGCGACGGCCGGGCGGTCGTTTTATTGATCCCGGGGCGCCGCGGCGCTACCCACCCGCGGCGGGATCGTCTGCGAGGAAATTCTTTCCAACAGGATTTTCCCATTCTCTGTCATCTAGTTCCGCTGTAAATTCATTTGCACCAACAGCAGCGACGAACGGTGGTTGTTCATTTTTCCACGCAGTTTCACGCTGGAACGCGGACGATCAAACGGAACGGACCGGGGGAGGCGGTACGTAGCAGGTTCCTGAAAAGTGGATCGAAATACCGTGGACTAGGTCGTGCGCGAGGTATAAGCTACATCCTCCTCGTCGTCGTCGTCGTCGTCGGCGGTTTCGAACGATCTGAAATTGGTGCCAGTGGTGGCGGTCGCGTCGACGTCTTCGCCGAATTCATCGTAACGAGGAACACCGGGGACGAGGGGCTGACCCGGTGACGTACGACCGTCGTCGTCTAATCGCACCGAATTATCCTTCGACGATCGTTTCTTCTAACGAGAGCAACGTCCGTTTCTTTTATCTTCAGAGCATTAACCGTACACTGCAGCACCGATGGACTGAGAGGAAGAGGAACCGGGAAAAAGGGAAGAGAGAAGGACGCGGCGAGAATCGTCCGGAAGAGGCTGTCACCGAGCAGCTACAGCTTCCAGGATTGTTCATAAAACGCTAATGGAGAGCTTATAATTGAAAAGGGGGCGCACCGGACCGCCCGAAGGAGGTGTCATCCGGCTGGTGATAGCTCTAATCTCGCATCGGTTCCTCGTACACCGGGGACGCGGGATCGCGGAGCCGTGGTTGTTTCAATTTCGTTCGAAGATAGTGACAACCGTACCTAGGGTAGGCGCCGCGGCGCCGAGATGGGCCCCGCTAGCAGCCGCGAACAGATTGGGGAGCAGATCGGTGACGATGATGGCCTGCAAATCAAGGCGAAACCAACGGCCAATAACATCGTGAGTCTCTCTTTCATCCTCTTGTCGTTTTACGTTCCTCTTCTCAGCATGTTCTGCCAATTTACACGCATAATCGTTCGTTTTCCTTTCGCTTCAAGTTTTCTTTGATTTTTGTAGGCTTTATTTTTGTGTGACTCAGTTTGTATTTGTACGGCGAGACAATAGAAGAATCACCGTAGAAGCTCGGACGTTCGAAACACGTGAAATGGGTGAGCCGAACGCTGTGATTTGCTACTCTATTTTCGTCATAAAACAGAAACGTGTTCGCGCATCTGCGTTGGAACTCCTTTCACGACGAAACGCACGGAACTGTTTAATTTAGGAAATAACCTTCGTATATTCCTACGAATACGATTCCCCTACAAAAGCGAGATTTAAAATTTCCTTGTTATTCTTTTACATAGGTTTTCCCTCTTCGTTGCTATCGTTTTCTTTCATCATTCCGTCACTGCGTTACGCGTGCAGTCGAATCGCATGGATGTCCGCTTTTGAAAGCCCATATATCGCGGCCGCTCTATAGAAGATCTTCATCTAACCGTAATATCTTGTGCATATTTGGAACATCAGGGCGTGCACACAGAACCTTTGTACCTATCGATAGGCCGGCAATAGCGCGTTTTGTGTCCGCGCGCGTGAGACATCGTGGATGACTGCGTGAACCTGGTAGCGGAAGGAAGACAGTCGGTTTTGCGTGGAACGAAGAGACAGCTAGCCGACTGACGGATAGGAACATAGAGGGAGAAATCGTAGAAACAAAGAGGGAGGCATCCAGCAAATCGAGACGATAGAACGTACAGAGAACAGTTGGCAAGGGAGATGGATATTTCATAGAGTGGGGAATCGGATGGACTCGACGACTACGATGCGATAAGTCAGCCGGTGGTTGAGCAGCGCGCATTTTCACATCGCTTGTTCCTCGTACCGCAGCTGGACGCTGTCCACTCAGGTGGCGCGAGACCCGCCATCTCTCTTTCTCTCCCTTTTTCTTTCTTTCTTTTTCATTCGCTTTCTCACTCGCCGAGAGGGTGTGTTCATCTTCATTCAAACAGGACAGGCATCCGTACCGCACGATGTCACCTAAAAACAAGGTATGTAACATTGATTCGTTTTTTTTTTTTTTTTTTTGATCTAGTGAATACGTGCAGGAATGCCTGCTCTTAATTACTTGTTTTGTACTTTGTTATTGTTACACTGTAGACACTGCCTCGCCGTTGTTAACACTGCATATCGGGAAAATAAATAAATTGATGCATGTAATTGATGTTCGATCGCGTTAAACGACAACTTCCAAATAATCAATTTTCAATGTAAACAACGTACCAGTACGTGGCCCAACAATTTATGAAAGGTCGAGGTAACATGAATCCATTGTTCCGTTTGGCTCAACGAAAATTCGATTCGAATGAATAGCGAAATGGCGCGGTCGTTAGATTGGTGAGAGTGTTCTCTGTGTGTGTACGGAACTTTAATTGATAGTTCTCACGGCACGCTGTATTTTCGGCGAACATCGTCGATCGCGATTACCGCGGTTTGCCAGAGAATTTTTAACCAAGTGACACGATCGAGTTAATCACGAAACATACGAGTGATTATTAGGATAATGCACGTTCGCAAATGGTCCAGTGATATATCGCTGGTAATATTAGAGACAGATTTCGCGTACGAAATTGTTACGTTCGGGTAGTGTCAGTAGACATTATTATTTTCTTTTTATTGTATTCTTTTGACGTGAATCGTATCACGTGCCAGTTTACAATAGATCGGTGTCGAGCCATGGATTAAATTGTATTTTATTACGTGCGAACATCTTATCTTTTGAGTGTTTGTTGAATTCGTTATCGTCCTCTATCGATGTCAAGTATTTCCCTTATCCTCGAGTTATTCGGCCCCAAGACTGTTATGTCGTAAGTAGAAATACGTGTCCATGAATTCGATTACTTCTACCGAAGGCTCTCATTTAAACCTACACAGAATATATAAAGTATATAAAGTATTTGAACGCTTGTTATTAAAGTCTTTTATGTATATATTACGTACATTGTGTTTTATGTACATATTACGTACATACGAAATCTTTTTGAAACTTCATTAGTATTGTAATAACATACGATTAGCATAATTCGAGACGAAATGTATAAGTTATACATACATATCGCAAAAGTCAGAACTATTTCAATAGTTAATTGTTAAGGCGAACGATATATATTATTTATGACATGGATATGTTCTAGACTTAGCATATCAAATTAGGAATTTTTTACATTCTTTTTACATTTTTCCCTCTCATGTAGAACAATTTCTATATCATAATTTACGTACTCGAAAGTATTGTGCAGGCAACGAGATGATTTACAGAAATCCTGATGAAATCTCGTCAGTCCATGCGAATCATTCTTATGAACGAAAAATCCTGGAAACCTCCCCCTTACTTTCTGCCATGCTCGCCACTTCACGATTCTTCAGAGTCCTTTGGGAGGCCAGATGAAGATGATCGCCCTATATAAGAGCACTCTGAGATTACAGTTTAGTGACTAGCAATCCGGGCGATTAAATTGAAGTTCAATAGTTCAAGTACGGTAATCGGCAATCAAGTTCAAGTTCAGTTGTCTGCAGAAATACGGTCGAAAAATGTCAGACGGCGCGATCGTTAAGCAGTAAAGATACGATATCTGATCGTGCAATCAGTTCGACTCTACGAGTCGACTAATTGGCACCTTTTGGCAATGAATTTTATGTCAGAAATATTTCTGACACTCAAACGGTTAATAAACTTCGCTCTTTAAACGAGACCTTTGGAATAAGGACTGTGCCTCGTTGTATATGTTGTATCTCACTACAATACTAATGAAGTTTTAAAAACTCTTGTATAACACGATACATTCATAAAAGTCATCTATAGTAAGCTTCACGAGTCAGTGTAATCGACGAAAACAAATTGAACTCGATAATCGATAAACGAATTTCTCTCACCTTTGTTACTAACGAGATCGATGAACCTTTACGATCATCGCGGAATGAATTTTACGATCATACGTAGACGGAGCAAATAGACGTAATCGTTGCGATTACGAACAGAAACGAATTTTCCTAATTCCCTCGAACCAATTAAGTACGATCAGGTACGATTAGGTGGAATCACATTGTTCGTAATATCGACGATTTATCAACGATTCTTTTTTTTCTAAACCTGGTAGTTCTACCACGTTTTAATCTCTTCAATCAATTTTTCCAACGACTGTTTATCACGGCGTAATAAATGCACACGGATAAAACGAGGAAAGGAAAATATCAATTCAATAAGGTTATGATAATTTAAAACGCATACTCAGACAACGTGATTCATCGAAGCAGGAGGAACGACGACGTCGTTCTTCCTTTCTCGATTATTATGTACACGCGTTTATCACGACTCCTGGTATCTCGCGGTCCTAAGCAAACTAGGACAACGAAGAAGAGACTGACGATGTCGTAAACAATGGCCTGTTGCAAATCGAAAAAATATCGTGATGTACATAGTTCTCATTTATGGTTTCTGAGTCATCTCAGTCCAGTTGGTGCCGCTAACGTTTCCAAGAAAACGAGGACCACATGTTCCGATGATTATTACAAATTATTGATCTTGTTTGCGTTTCTGCACGCTCTGCGATGTTTTTCGTCGAAAATCCAACAGTTGTTCGAAACCATTGGTTCGTGGTTACTTCGAACTAGAATATTACTTTAGATCCGATCTTATTGTTAGACAAGGAAATTAATCGGGTGTGACAAGCTATTCATATGATATTTCATTTCAGTAAGCAGGATGAATTCTGTCGTTGTATTCATCGAATGCCACAAACTGACGCTTTCCTCTGCAGCATATTGTGTCGTTACTTTTGTCTGCCAGCTTTTCCGCGGAGATCAGAAGCAGATGATGTTTTCATGTGTCGTGCCTTCAACACTAATTGTCGCTGGTTATTATCTAATTAATTCATAAATGTGCTCGCGAGTAGAGACGAGCAGAGAGAATACCCAGTGGAATGCAGTATGTTGTGGCAGTAACTCTCGCGTGATCGTCATTGCATACCAGTGGTACCATTCTCCTCCCGTCTACCTATCTCTTTTATCGGTACTGATTCTTCGAGTGTTTCCACCACTGTTACACATCGACTCGAGATCATCTTCAGAATGTTTACTTGGTACCCTCCTGCCTCATCGCCCCGCCTCCTTTCGCCAGCTCTCCCGTCTGTGCTCGCTATAATTCGATCGTTTGGTGATTTTCGTGAAGACGGCCATCATTAGATGGCAATTGATTAAACCGAGATTGTCGATAATCTTGGCGTTACGGCCATATATTTCGGTAACCTCCGTCGCGTGCAAGATTAATTTCATTCCAGTGTAAGCATCGACTTAGATTATTAGTGCGCGCGTCACGCTACCCGCTACAACATGATATACATTTTACGATGCACGATGTTTCCCGTATGACTACAGTAGTGCTTCGCTAACTGGCCACGTGTTGGGACCGTATCTGGCCAGTTACCGAGGGAGGTATATTTTTACGGAATCTCGAGTATTTCTCTTCCCCGTTTGAGTGCGAAGTATTTTTGATGTTCAACAGATGTTCGGAGCAAAGAGTAGAGTTTGAAAAAAATCGGACATATTGTTCAAGTAATTTCTTTCACGCGGTACACCATTTTAAATGAAACCACATTGATCATACTTTTCACGAACCAAATAAACTGTTGCAAGTTTAGTTTGGTATAATAATACACAAAAACGAGAGGAGAGTTTACGGATCAGTAACTTGTAACTTGTCGATTCGTTGATATTATTACTTGGTATCATTATGCAAGAGACATCAGAGTCGCGAAATCAGAGAATAACTATAGCCAGTTAACAGAGCGAAACTCTGGTCAGTTAACGCGACACTACTGTACTACTGTATTACTCGACTTGCGACCGTGAATATAATTTCTCGAGGCTACCCGATAGCAACACATCACCAGGAACTGTCACTTTCTTTCTGAAGTACGAGATCGTTGCCAGCAAATATTTGTTTAGTGAGGTAACGTTTCGAAACAGCTAAAGCTCTAAAAATTGCATAAACCTCGGATGACGAGGTGGGCACGTCTCCCTGTCCTGTGATATTAAAAAAAA